TACCAATGATGTTCAATATGTACATCACTTTGCTTGATTGTTTTTTTTTTGACAGCCCATCCCCAACTCCCAAAGACTTTGCAAAGTTTCAAACAAAAGAAGCTTTGCAACTTTATGAACAGTGTCGATGTTGTTCATAATTCCATTTCTTGATAGACAGCATGAGCGAACGACCCCCCAACTCGGTAATAATAATAATATTTTGTGGCTTTTGAAGCACTCAAAAGAATTATCGACATTAAAGTTGAGAGAAGAAAATAAAAAAAAAAAAAAAACATGCAAAATATTGCACATTTAGCGTTTGCATAAAAAATTTTCAGCTTATGCAAGCATAAAAGTCGCGCTGGTCGGTGGGTTAATACGATAGTACACTTCTGCATTAACTCGACTAAATGAATAATATTTAATATGTATCGAAATGCTATTACGTCTTACTTTTAAATTCACAAAATAAAAAGTTTCTTCAATTCATTCAGAACAGAAAAAAAATATACAAAGTGAGAGAGATCGGATTGCACATATGTAAATATAAATTACTTATTCATTGCTCGTGCTTTACACATTACTTATGATGTCTTAATAAAAGCATGAAGTCTAATTTCTTTGATTTTAATGTTGAACTTTGAGGGTTCATGAAATAAATGGTAAAATATGATAATTAATAAGGATGTAGAGCTTTAAAATGAATGTTATGAATTCAAATTTGATCTTAACAATTTCCTTACAATTGAAAATATTTCTATAACGGTTAATTTTTATTTGAATATTGATGAAATCTTTTTGATTCTTGAATTTTACAAAACCGTTAAATATTCATAAAATTGAAGAAAATTAAGAATAGAATTGCAGACTTTTTTTAATCGTTATTGAATCTATGAAAGGATATAAACTAGTCAAGCTACAAAGTAAGACTCAACTGTGTTCACTATAACATGAAAAGCGATCATGAAAAGGTTAATCTAAAATCATCTTGTTAATTACACACAAAAACGAGAGTTACAGTACGTCCACCTATTCATCCTTATTTATTTTTTCTTTTCCTCTTTTTCGTGCTATTATTATCAATCACATGTGTGTACAAAACGAAACGACTTTTTGAAAAGAAAAAAAAAAGATATATAAAATTAAAATTAATGAAATAAGAGCTGATTCATCATCAATCGTAACTAAGTATATTAAATTGCGGCGCCACACAATTTGACTTCGCCTTGCGCAATTTTCATTTACAGTTGAGATATAAATGAAAAAAATAACAAATAACAAATAATGAGCGATTTATCGCAATGTTGAGAATATAAGTGAAAGAATTAAAACGACTAATTAATCACGTCGATAGTGATAACATGAAAAGAAAAGAAGAATCGACATACACACACGTGTATGATGTACTCACAATTATGAACAATTTTTCTGATTTATAAGAAATTTTTTGTTTTGGTGAAGGGGTTTGGTGAATTTGGAGTTTTTTTTTTCACGAATTTGTGGTGAGATTCTTAAATTTGTGGTGAATTTGTTGATTTTTCCTGAGTTGATTGAACTTTTGACGAGTTTTTTTAAATCAAACTTGTGGTGAGTTTGGTGAATTTCTCTAATTTGTTGTGAAATTATCAATGATATCCAAAACATTGTGACATCACTTATGGCTGACCCAAAAAAAATTGAGGCGTTCGAAAAATAATAATAAAAAGTATAATTATAGCTATCTATTCTTCAAAACTCATGTCACTCGCCTCTCATTATTTTTGTTATTGCTCATCGTGTCTCTCGACCGATATTGCAGTTTTTTTTTTGTCAAGCGCGCTATTTTTTCTTTGATGGTGATAAAAGAAGACGCACTATCATAAACAACATGAGAGCTGAACGAGCGATTGGAGGTGGAATGAAATGAGTTGTTTTGTCAGTCTGATTAAACATTAAAGCAATAATTAATTGTAAGAAATTTTCATATAAAAATGACTACAAGGTAGAAAGTCACAGCACAAGAATACAAACATTATATATAACTCAAATTTTATGTCTTGTGTGCGGTAGCGTGGAGGAGGATTATATTATACTAACTTATTTTTTTTCGGGAAGGAATTACTAATAATATTATATTTGATGAGAAGATTTTCGAAATTTGTAAATAAAAATATAAAGATATTGTTTGTTTAAGGCGCCATCTCGAACTAAAAATATCTCTTGTTAAGGCGTTCATTGATTCTTCTCAATCTGGCGGAAGTTGACCTCACTGTTTGTTTTTCACTCTAATCTTTCAATTGTTTTGTGATCCTCACATCTCTTGAGAATAATGGCTTGACTGGATAATGACTTTGTCTGGATTCAACAAAAAGATCAATTTAATTTATCTAAATTCAGCAAAATATGGAAATCAATTAGGTGTTGTCTGTAAATGACGTCTAGAATTTTTAAAAATCAATTCAAAGTCTAGAGTTTTGTGACTCATGGGGGGGTTACAACATTATAGGCACATAATTTCCCCATCAAATTGTGTCCCCCTCAGACGTCATTTCTATCCGTTCCCTCAGCCTTTTTACCCAATTCAGTCACTCTCATATGTTTATGATGAGATGATAAAATATATTTAAACCATATACCAATCAGCCTTTCAGACGATCGTAATTTGTTGCCGCGATTTTAATCGTCTTTCCTTGTTTTTCCTACATATGAATATATAAAAATAATAATACGAAAATGTGAAAATCATGTTAGCGATTTCCATCAGACTAATCGAGAGACCTTCACAGTTTGTAGAAGAAAACATCAAAAAAAATACAAAACAGTGGAAAATTTGAAATGAAAATTTATGTATATAATAAGATTTTTCAATGATCATTGAATGAAAAACAAAACTCTCAAAAGCTCTTGTTCGTTGTCTAACTGCCGCCACTAATAATGCCGATTATTGCTTGAAACTGGGGAATATGACGTCATTTTTTTGACTATCTACATTTAGATGTTCTGCTCTGTTTTTGCTTCTGACTATTTATGCAAGTAAAATTAGCTGTTGTATGGATTTGCTGAAGTAAAATTAGCTGTTCTATGGTTTTGCTGAATACGCTGAATTCATAATTAAAAAAATAACCGTTAAAAAAATAATTTTCATCTTAAACTACACTTAATAAATTTAATAGCGCGAAAAAGTCATGCATAGCAAAAGGAAAAGAAATGAACAAAAACAAATCTCTTGAGAGCATGCATGCAATCAAGTACCTTCCACAACAGACAACTACGCGTATATTGTGTGTTTATGCCATGCCTAATTATAGTATTTTATTATTGTATATCAACCAATTGACGTTTCAGCTGTTCATTGCGCGCCCACCCTAATGTTAATTGAATGTATTTGTATAATATACAGATCTTCGCTAATATTCCTCAATTTACGATGAAAAAATATCTGAATGAAAAACTCACGAGTTTTTCTTTCTCTTTAGGCAGTTAAACAGAAACAGTTCATAAAACTATGACGTCGACGCAATTTAAACGGACATGTTTATATTGTACCTCATATGTAAAACATCTATTCCTTCACATTTGTTCTGTAATCAATTGAACATGGTTCTGTTCAGCTCTCATATTCCGGAAGTCAGTTCTTTCATTCCAAATTTATGCTTTAATGTACATGAGATCTCGTACCTACCATGTAGAATAATATGGACGGTATGGAAGGAAGGAGGAAAAAATATAATTAAAAAAATGAAACATTAAATATTGTGGGCATAAAAATAGATAGAATAATCTTCACATCTCTCATTTTTTTCGCATATATATTAAATATATATTTATAGACAAAAATAAATCTCTAAGGCGCTATTTTCATTCGACTCTTCATTTTTCAATAATATTGTCCTCCAATGCCAATTTTCTTTTCCCTGCGCTTGCAAACAAGAGGCATGACAAGATTTGTGCTTCCTCTCTCTCTCACATTTCATTCATTCAAAAATAGACATTAATAACTTTATTTTTATACTTTACATTAAAGAAATAACAGTCAAAGGCATGTGATATTGATTATCATGTTTTCTCAGCAGATTTATTTTTATTGCATCATTTGAGAGCTTTCCTCAAAGGAATTTTTAAAGAGGAATTTTTTTGATGATCAAATTATTTTTTTCTTGATGACTTCGAGATTAATTCTGAAAATTGCTTTTGTGGTTTATAATTTTTGAATTTTTTGCTGTTGACATGTTTTGATCTTGAATAATGTTGGCTGTTGAGAAGTTTGAGTGCACAAACAATCAAATAGCTATTGCTAAACATAACATAAACTATCAATCATTAAAAATTGACGACAAAAATGTCACAGATAAAATCCTCAATTTTGTAAAAGAAATAAATTTGTACGATAAAATTTAACACCAAAACACATAATATCCTGTAATGCAGTTCGTATTTATAAATCTAAAATAATGTAAAACATATTTGGAATTGAAAATGGTCTTAAAATTTATTAAAAGGGACCTTAATAAAGATAATTAAGAAGAAGAAGAAGCTGTTGAGAAGCTTTGATCTTAATTTTTTCTGTTAAAGGGAATTGAAATCTACTTTTTTCTGTTGTATGGTTTTAACATTTTGTTTGAATAAAGTATAAAACTTAATTGTTGAAATGTTTCAATTTCAATAAAATTTGCTGCTGTAAGGTTTTCTATATTTAAAATACAAGCCGGTAAAAGACAATTCTGTTGGGAAAACCCTCAGATTTCCCATAAATTTGACTTTCCCCTGCCCTGCCAGAATTTGTTTTCCATGTAAACATCAAATGTATTCAATTTCCCATGTGAGCAATTCTTTTTAAAAATTATTATGCCGAAAAAAAAAACATTTCGTTGAGTTTGTTTTGAGGCAAGACAGTCGCCATAGAAATAAGAACACATCAAGAAATTTTCCAATCAGTAACCAAGTATGTTGTAAAGGAGAAAGGAATGTGGGAAAATCCAATGATTTATGTGAAATGTATCGACATTTTTATTCATTTATTTTTTTTTTATATTTTGCAGTCATAATGATCGTACAACACAATGGGAGGATCCAAGATCACAGCTAGCCACCGCAGCATTATCACATGGAAATTTATTTTCATCTTCATCAGAGCATTCAAGTGTTGAGACACTCTTCAGTTCACCCACACAAATAGCTTCATTAGGATCATCGCAAAATGGTAATTATTATTTTATTTCCTTATATCTACTTCTTGGTATCTTAGAGCTATATTATGGATAGTTTAATCACATAAAAAGTCAATAGCATTTGATTACTTAGTCAGATCACGTGCATTTTTACTGTTATTTGCTATAAGATCAATTAAACAAGTGAATTGCTTATATTTGCCAGTGAATTTTCATGGGAATCATACTTACTTGTGGATGTACGCAAGGGTGTTTTTGAGTGGGTACTCCAACTTTAGACTTGATTGTCCCTCTTCATAATAAATTTCTCAACATACCAACACCGATCTGAGTTCACCCCTGATATGTACTCCATGCGTACGTAAACAAGTGATTTCCCAAATTTTCAAACTTTTATTACAACATGAGGTTTTGCAATTAGAATCGAACAAACATGTTTTTCTTTTCGTCGACTTTTCCTCGACTTTCCCCGACATTCAATTTATTTTCAATTATTAGCTTCACGAATATATGTGTGTTACTGCTTCTTTTCCTTTTTTTTTTATTACATAAATATCAATAATATATTAATAACAGAAACTGCAATTTATGAATCATTCATACGTTGTAATGTCTTGATTTTGAAATTGCCTTTTTCCTTTCTTTACAATTTTTGCTTCTAAAAAGCACAAAATAAAAACATAACGATTAATCTAAGACAACCTATACCAATAAATGTGTAGCTTATTTTACCTTTACAAAATGCCAACAAAATGTCTATCAATTGAAAACGAATAAATAAATAAATTGAAAATTCATACATGTTGCTATATAGCTTTTTTTCGCAACGATATAGTTTTTTTTTGTGCATTTAAGAAATCAGACAGAAGAGAGAAATAAGGAGAACATGCTGTTTCATAAAGATCCAAGCAGACATTGTTGTAGTTTCATAATTCTTTGAATTATTTAACTTTTTTCCGTATAATTGCATGGCATGATCATGCATGTTTAATGAGTAAAATTAATTAAAAGAGCTGATATTATTGGACGTTGCTAGTTCATTTTTAAAGTCCGTTATTTAAAGAATGAATTTTGAAATTTTTGTGCGGAAATTCTTCACAAAAAATTATGGCTGAAGTGTACTTTGGGGGGGGGGGGGGGGGGGAGGGGGTCAATATATGAATTTTTTTTTATTATTTTTTTTTAAATTTAAAATGATGTAAATGTTTAGAAAATAATAAAATTATATTAAAAATAGAAAAATTGAGTGATTCTGAGTGAAATTTGAAAGTTCCAAAAAAACTGATCTAACGTAAGACTATAATGATCCCTTAGACAAAAGGTCCGAAAAAACTGATTTTACGTAAAACTGTAATGATCTCTCATACAAAAGGTCCGAAAATACTGAAAGTATTTCTGCATTCAAAACATAAAAAAATGTAAAAAAAATCTTACCAAAACTTAAAAAATTGAAGTTTGCAAAAATTTCAAAAATTTTTTTTTTCAAATTTTACTCAAAATCACTCAAATTAACTTTTTTTACTATAATTTTACTAATTTCTACACATTTACAGCATTTTAAACTTAAAAAAATAATAAAATTTTTTCGTATATTGACACCCCCCCCCCCCCCCCCCCCCCCCCCCTTCCTAAAGTACAATTGTACCTTAATTCGATTTGAACAGGATTTTTCTGGAACAAAACACCTACTCAAATCGAGGACCCCCAGTATTGAGACACCCAATTAAGTAGTTAACCAACCAAAGTATCACAAATGTTGATCAAAAGCTGTGCTTTTAACAGATTAAATCGCTAAAACAAAATTTTATTTATTTACATTAATTGAAATTTGATTTCGTGCGATTAAAAACATTAATTTAATTAAGTATTATCAAGATAATCTCTCAAAACAACGAATCGAATATAATGTCTTCTCTTTTGATTCACGTTAATTATAACAATACTAACAAAACTGGCACTTAACGATGTCAATAAAATCACATAATATATATTATGTACGTTGTAAATAAAGCCAAAGAGTAGTGAAAAGAGGAAGAGACACAAAAAAAATATACATCAGATAATGAGAATGAGTTGGTGGCAGTTGTCTAATAAAGAAGAGCTTTGCCATTTAATTTATGAATATTTTTAGAAGAGAATAGGCAAGAAAAGAAAAATTAAGAATGAAAATTCACAATTTCTCTCACACTTTCTCTCTATCTTTCTCATATGTCTTTATAGTTATCGATTCACAATCTCAAACCAACATCATAGCGCCGACACTAAATCAATTAGCCGGCAATAACAGTACTAATAATTTGACTCCATTAGAGTGGCCTTGGGAAGAAGGTCTTACGGAAAATGGTGAGCGATATTATATTAACCACCTCACTAGAACAACTTCATGGCGAGATCCAAGATTATGTACGTGTCAATGCTCATAATATAAATATATAAGCACATTTGATTACACATTTATAGTCATAGAAATCAATATTTTGTGATGCTAATTGACAAAAAAGCTAGTTGTTGATGAATTAATTATTCTTAATTTTTTTGTATATTTTTACAGCAAATCAAGAATGGGAACAAAATCTACGCATTTATAATTTGCAATTGGAACGAGAAAGATTGAAGTCTCGCAGGCAGGAAATTGCAAAATTAAATGTAAGAACTATTCACTTGTTATTCAATGCACTTAGTCTCAGCAACTAATAATTTATTATTTAATGCACAACACAGATTGGAGAGGATCCATTTCTTCCAGGAATTACTGACCATACGCGGCAGGAAAGCGGAGACAGTGGTCTAAGCGTCTCATTGTCACATACACCTGATTTCCTTTCCAGTATTGATGATAGTATGGATGGACTTAGTGTTAGTGGTAAGTCTTATCGTAACTTAGTCTCCATAGATATGCCTTAAACTCTTAAATAAATTCTATATTTTAGTGAATGATTCAACAATGGATATAATATCGTTTAATGAAGCGATGGAAACACCAGATGAATTTATGGTAAGGAATGATGAATAAAATTGAAATGTCAGCTAGCAAGAAGTCTCTTTAAAGAAAACCTTTTCATTTTAGCTTAACGATCCTCACTTGCTAGAGAAAATTGATGGTCTGATATGAGGATAATAAAGTGAAGGAGAGCAAAGAACTTTACATCAATCGGTGATGCAAAAGTGCCTTATCTATAAATTATGATAATAATAATAAATTTCATTAAATTATAGTTTGAATGCATTGAAAAGAAAATGAATAATTAACTTCATGTTTACTTAATTATAATTTAGGGGTTTTTCCAATACATTTTTTTCCTCTTGCGTTGCGTTTCGTTTATGATGTCAGAATGAATGAAAATAGACATGTCCAAATTTGAACGAAATATTCTCGAGTAAGCAGAAATGGCATTTATGGTCTAGTTATTTGATCTGTTAAATGCCATTACTGTTGACTCGAGTTTGAAATGCATTTAAGAATGTGAGCCAGGATGTTGAATGGAATTGCACAAGTTGATATCACAAAGGAGACGCAAAACAGAAGGAAAATCGTAATCATATCAAAGAAGATTTTGTCATAGCTCAATAATTAAATTAACTAAAGTATGCGCTAAATCGGCAAATTAATTTTAAAAAATTTTCCATATAGTCTTTGATCATTTAAAACGCATTTAATGATTATTGAGCGGAGTTTCTTTCTTTTTGGTTTGAGGAAGTTTCCTGTAAGCCATAATTTATTCGTGAGTAAGTATAATTTACTTTTCAATGTAAATACTATACACTTATGTTGACAAGTGCCTTTTATCAATGTTTTTAAAATATATAAAAAAGTGCCTACAAGGAAATGAAAGAAAAAAAAAATCAAAATTCAAAAAGAATTGTTAAGTTTAAGTAATGAAAAACATAAAAATAACAATAATAATAATAATACAACTAAGGTGTTGAAAATTATCTATCTAACAAGGAATGTGGATCATGTTTATTACTATTACTTTTATTATTTTTGAAAAATAATATTTGACTATCGCTTAAGAAATGAAAATTATACGAATTTGATTTACGTTTACATTTAAAGTATGGCAATAAAAATTAATTTAATGAGAAAATATGAAAATTATGAAGTATAGACAGCTTTTAGGTAATATAAATTTTTTTTTAAAAAAATTTCCTTTTCATTTTTGTTTCACATTTAAGTGTATCTGAAATGAATGGGAAAATGTGCCACATATTTTATGCTATAATATATATTATTAATAATTCTTAACTTTAATTGCACTTTATATGCAAAAAAAAACGAGAATGTAAATTAGGGAAATATTTTATCCACTTAATGATCATGACGATAAAAAATGCACAACTGCAAAAATAGTATTACACACTTAACATTTTTAAAACAAAAAAACAATCAATGGAAATATCTTATATTCAATCAAAGTATACCATAACTCTTATTCTTCTTCAATTTTTTTTTTATAAGATTAAAAACACATTACTTAATTGATTTAATTATACAAAAAAAAAGATAGCAAATTCGGTGTTTAATTCAGGGTAAATTCTACGGTTAGGTAATTTGTAGGGTTTTCAAAAAATGTCTTTGATAAATCTTACAAATTTGAATTCAGCAGCTTCTAATAGTTTAGTTTCTCCCCTGAGTTTGTTTCTTGATGAATTTTAGTACGACCAAATCTATTGATATATTTCCAGCAGCATTTATTACGCTGTCTATATTTCATCATTTTTTAATTTGTTTTTTGAACAAAAACATGTGCGGAAATCAAAAAGTGGTAAAAACAAGAAAGTCAAAAATTATTTTTCAATGATAATAAAAAGCTTTGATTCACAAAACAATGTTGACGGATAATGACAAAGAAAACACAATATTTGAGTTCTTAGTTTCAAAAAAAATTAATAACGAAAACAATGCCGTCCAAAAAATATGATTTTGTCATCAGAGATTTTTTCCTTTTGTTTTTGAAGTAAATCAGAATCAATCAGGAGCTTTTATTACTTTGTAAGATTACAATGCAGTTTTTTTTTTCTTTGACGAAATTTGTTCTTTAACATGTTGCTTTTTCCTCTTTTTTAAAGCCTAAAATGTATTATTATATGCGAAATTTTTGTTATTTCCAACGGAAAATAATTATTTGAATTTGAGAACCTTGCAAACAGACAAAATTAAACTCAAAACCATTCAACAGTTAATTTGCTGACCTAAAATGTCTTTCAACAGTTGATCTGTTGAAAACCTTATAACAGCAAAAACAGCTGAATATAAAACCACACAACAGCAAACTTTGCTGAATTGATCAAAATTCAAATTTAATTTTTCCGTTCTCAAAAATAAACTGAATTTTCGCAAATAATTTACATTAAACAAAGAATGAAAAGATGAATCAAGAGCAATATGTTGAAAAAAAGTTGAAAAACGAATCGAGGAATGTGAAAAGTAAGCCATCAAGCAAATATTTGTGATGAAATATTTCTTAGCGTTGATGCATATCAATTGATTATACAGTTATTAAAAAAAATCTGTGTGAAAATGTACAATTAAAAATAATATAAAAAAAATTGTGAATCTCTTCGAATAAAAAAAAATGGAGAGAGAGGAGATGAGGAGATTTTGAGATCGCAATTTTTTTTAAAGGTAAAAAAAATATTCAACCAAAATTCATCATGTGACATTACATTTACTTTACGTTTATTTGTAAATATTTTTTCTCCATTATTTCATACATGCATATACATAATAATTATTGTCATAAATCTTAAGCTAAATAATGCATCTATTTTCGAGCAATCAAATTTTTAATTTGAAATTAAAGTAGATAAAAAACTTTTAATAATTTTTAAGTTTTTTGATTTTGTTTCTAATTGTCAAAAAAAAAACAAAAAAAAAGTTGTAATGAAAACTGAAAGCAATAATAATTTTATATGAGTAAGAAATATTAAAGAAAAAAAATCAATAAAAAAATCGAAAAAAGAAAGGAAATTGTAAAGTCTTTTAATTTTACCTATTTCAGATATTATGAACACGTGGTTGAATTTAACTGACAAAATTTGAATTTTTTGAAAACCTTACAACAGCATTTGAAAGCAAGATTTGACAATTTCGGAGCTCATTATAGCTCAATTTTTGTCATAATTTACTAATCTAAAATCCAATGAAAAATTTCATTCATGCTACACTTAAAATCACAAAGAAACAGTGCCCTAATGTCAAAATAAAAAAACGGTGGTTTGAGTTTTGAATTCAAATTTTCAAATCGTAGCAATCATTTTTCAAACTGTAAATAATAAAAATTATTAAATCAAAAATGTCTAGTAAAATAGATGAAAACCTGGTTCTTTTCAATAATAAGTGTGCTAAACTGGATTTGCCACCAGAAAACTATCCAGATCCTCAATATTTACGCAAGTAAGGCACTTAAATTGACACAAAATTATAAATTTCAAATCTTTTAATTTCTTTCAGAATATTTCGTCAAAATTTATCATTTTTTGAGCTGTTTATTCAGAAAGTAGACACTAAATATGCTATAGAGAAGATCCGAAAGAACATCCTTGTTGCTCACATGACAAATTCAGTCAAAGAGAAAAATGTCATTCAACAAACTCATTTAGTTCCAGCTGAATTCAAAAAATACGTCAAGTATATGAATTTAAAAGAGAAGATTAAAGGTTTGAAGGAACGACAGCACTTCCAGAAGCACGAGGAAAATATTAAGGTGGAAACAACACAGAGAAATGATATTAAAATAATTAAATTGAAGGAAAATACTCGTCTGACTAAAATTAAGACAGACTTACTGCAAGCAAAGTCTTTAAACATCAATAAGAAGATTGAAGAGGAACTAGAATGGCAAAAAAAGATTAAGGATGTCACACCAGCAAAATTCTCCAGTTCAGATAACATTGATGATTTTTATAGGAACATCCTTAAATGTATAGATACTCTCAGAGAATACTCAACGGAATCAAATAATGTCGATAATAATTCAACAAAAGACAAGTTCTGGAAGAAAGTTGAATCGTTCCTTAAAAAAGTTCCCAACAACATCATCTTTCAAATTGCTATGAAGCAAATTAATTCAAAAATTGAAGATTCCATTCTTTCAACAATATCCAGTACTTCCGATGAACAGCAGGCAAAAATATCTGAGAAACTCTTACCGTACTTATATGAGCAAAAGATTATACTTGGAATAGAATATTTAGCACAAAAGAAGAGACTTGAAAACAGTAAGGAACGTTGTGCTGAACACATTCAAGCATTTGAGAATGAAGTCGAGAGTTTGATGAATTCCAGCATAGATTTTTCATTTCAATTGGAAGAAGACGATATCGTTAGTGAATTTGTATCAGAACTAATCGCAAAGGTAAATCTAGAAGGCAAAATTCAGTTCTACACAAATAATATAAGCTCAATGAAGCAACAAGTTGAGGCCAACACTTGTATTTATGAGTATGAGCAACTGGTGAATGACACAAGAAGCATTTATAGTTTTATTGATGAAAAAATAACAGCCGTACAAGAACACGTCGCTCAAGTTCATCAAATCAACGAAAAAATCAATTTCAGTAAAATTGTTATTAACAGAATGATTCAGACAATGAAATTGCAAAAGGCACAACAGCACAATAGAAGTTTATTGAATCAGACATTAAATAATACTGTGATAGCAGTTAATAAGGAGACGGAAGTGAGCTTGCCAAAACACGAATATGAAATACAACAGTTTTTAAGTATTCCAATCAATTCGTTTGATAATGCTATGGCAACAGATAAATATTTGGTATTGAGTGACGAAAATGTCGTTTCCAATATGATTCAAATTGAAGGGAAGTTCACAAATCCTCATCACTTTCTTAATCTTCTTGACAAGCGGATTAAGTTTAGAAATAAGATTAAATCTCTTTATACTGAAATTCAGTCACAAATTGATCAAAAAGATACAAAAGACGTCAATTACGATGAATTGCAGAAGCAGCGTGACGAGAATTGCGAAAAAATCTCTTCAATGTTTGATGAAATCTCTAGACTTAATGTCTCAATCAAATCTAATTTAAAGAATATTAACAGGCTGTACAGCTTTGCACTTGAAAATCCTTTAAAGAAGTTTGTTCCAAAAAGCAAGAAATTCGATGGAAAATCATATGAATCGTATGAGAAGGAATATATGCTGTACTACAAAATGGTAAAGAAGTGATATATTTATGCCGTAAGTTCATGTCTAGCGCGGTTTTAAAAGATAAATTTTTTTAATCTTAAGGATTTACTTTATTAACCCTCAGATTTAATTTTTAATCCTGCCATTTAATTTTTTTTTCACTAGCATTTAATCCTAATTAATCTCGCTAAAATTTAGACTTGTTGCTAGTGCTGTCATAGAAACGTAAAATTAAAGTTTGATCAATAAAAGTGGAACCAAACCTTTTTAAAACGGAGCGAATCTAAAGAAAAGTTTCAGTTAATTTCGCAATAAGGCAGTAAAGATGGGAAGAAAGAAAAGGTAAGACAGATGCTTTTGTTGTTGCACATTTGATACCTGAAAATTTACTCGTACAGCATAGAAAAAAATGATTTTTAAATTACTTAAGTTGATTCTTTATTTTAATTTATTTATGTATCTTTCAAATATCATTCAAAAGTCTTTGGTTGTTGATAAGTTTAATTGCATTGAATTTTGTCTCATTGTACATAACATACATACATTATAAATCATCTCATAATCCCAAAACAGAATTGAACAAATAAATATACGAAATTAAAGATAATCATTATTCACTTTTAAGGTTTTGAGCATTGAATAATAAAAATCTTGATAGGCCGAGTCTATAGCAGAAAAGAAAAGAAAATATAATTTAGTTTCTTATTACTTGATTGCTTTTTTAATGTCTACAGCGTGCAGCTCTAAGCAGTTATAAAATTATAAATTTTGAAGAATTAATAAGAAAGCGATAGACAAGACAAGAGAGTTTCCCAGAACCATAAATTGAAATCATAAGCATTGAATGATGTTTGAAAAATACTATTATTTAAGTCTGATTCCTCTATTTAAAGATTTATCCTGATACAGTTTGAAGCACATTTTTGCAATCTTCTGTTGCAATGACAAAGTTATTAGAAAATAACGGTTTCCAAAAATAAATTTCAAAAATCGGTTAAATCAATAAGCAATTCTAAATTACAATTCACAAAAATGTGCTTTAGTCATCCTTTTACGGATATATTTACTACTTTTTCCTAATTTATAAATTAGACTGGTAATTCAATTGATAAAAAAAAAAGTTTGTTGCTATAAAGAACATTAGAGCAACGCATTCAAAAGTCGATTCACGCACACACTAAAGTAATAAAATGATGATTTTTAAAGACTAGTTCTGCCACATATCTTAATTGTCCTAATAAAATTGTTAGTAATATAAATAATAAAGTTTACTTCTAATAGCTAAATGAGAGAGATAGTTGTGATATTATTGTCGGTTCCATTCATTCCAATTATCTTCTTCTTAATTTATAAATGAAATGTAATTTGTAAACATAAAATAATTCTCAACTAACCGAGCGACTAATTCATGACGAACAGTTGCCGTGAACTTATTGATAATGCATAGTCCAGTTGACACAATAAACACAAAATTATAAAGAAGTACAATAATGAAGTTTCCCAGCCACTGAATCTCTCCATAATCTCCAAGTAGATCGAAATTCGTTATTCCTGTACAAAAAAATTAATTCAATCATTAAATAAGTGAATATAAAGAGAAATTTGATTGTATCTTACCGAGTATTCGTGAGAGTAAAGGAAGAGCAGAAGTTAAGATTAAAATTAACAGACTATTGGCGATAAGATGACACAAAGACGTCTTCCTTCGTTTCGGTCGTATTTTAGAAAATATTGGAACTGTGTAAAATCCCACAGCAGATGTAAGAAATAGATAAACAATCACAAAAATCTCAACTCCTGCTCCAAAGATTCCTAATTTTGATAATGACGAAATGCCTAAAGTAAATTGCTGCAAATAAATTTATTTTTTTAAAGATATTCAGCGGCTTTTTTAAAATTTGAATTTTAATGGCTATCAAAAATTCGAATTTTTTTGTCAAAAATTTTGAATTTCCAAAAACCATTAAAAATCCTTAAATTTTGTGACTGAAACTCACTCTACTGCTCAGCGGAAGAGCTTTAATGCCAATAAGCAGCTCTATTGTATTCTGCATGACCAGCAAAACTGTTATAGATGTTAATAGAAGTAAAAATAGCATTGCTAAAGGATACACAAAATTCCTCGTTAAGCATGATGAGTCTCGTTGTTTTTGCAACTCATTTCTTTCACATTCTAATTCACGTAGTCGTGCATAAAGTTGTGCGTTTGATGACATGTCTTTTGTTTCATAAATTATCTGATCAAAAACTCGCTGATTTCCAATCGATATATTCATTTGAATTTCCAATAAGCTTTTATCGTTCATTGATATGCCATTCGTTAGTTTTGAGAAGCTGAGGTCCTCTAAATTTGCGCATAATTTTGAAGGCACCAACGTTGAATATTTGTCATTGTTTAATTTCATATTGCTTAGCTCTGTATTTGGAGAAAATAAATAAACAAAATTAAAAAGACATGCAATGTATAAACATGTGTCAATGACTTATTTCGCTCAAAAGTTAAATTATAGGTTTTCTGTTTTTCAAAATTTAAAGGTTTTGTAAAATTGAAATTATGAATTGTGTAAAACCGTTAAAATTTAAAATCTAAAACGGTTGAATATCCATTTACGATTATAATCGTGTTAAAAAGATCATACCCTGTTTTTTCGTTATAAGCTACTACTCGTTACTAAGCTACTAGCTTAGTAAAGTTTTTTTGAACTTGAAAATTGTTTGTAATCTTTACTAAGCTACTACCAAAAATATAGTTTTATTAATCTTTTTCAACTTTTTAAGTATCAGTTTCAATGTCTTATGACATTGTCAATGAAATAAAATCGAGAAGATAGCAAAATTTCTTTAATTAAGTTAAAAAATTCAAAATTTTCATTGAAGTTCAATTTCTTTACTAAGCTACTACTCGTTACTAAGCTACTAGTGATCCAAAAAAATCACTTTTTTATTCTTCTACTAGCTACTAGCTTATAACGAAAAAAAAATCATAAGCATATACTCACGAAAAAAGCAAGATCCTTTATCATATTTATTGCTTTGAATCTTCCTCAGCACTGCTGCCTCTTCCATATTATAAACTTGAAATTCATCGTTTATGTCACGAAGTAGATTAGGCTTTACCAAAACTTTTGATACCACGCCAAAAAGTCTTATAAAGCCCAAAGGTGTACATACTAGATTAACAATAAAAATTGAAAAAGATAATTAAAGAACCTTGGCAATAATCAGAATGAAAAGTTAAACGGTAAACTATCGACATTAATGAAATGCGAAATCATACAATGTTCTTAGCAACCTTTGACTTTTAAAATAGTTTTTTTATCATAAATTGCTTTGTGTAATCGATAAAGTTACTATTTGAGAGTTTTTTTTTTTTGTTTCGCTGCATTTACTCATTTAGTCATAAAGCTTTATGTGGTTAAGACAAGACTTAACAAGTTCTCTGATTTCTTATTTATTTTAACTGTTTGCATACAAAATAAAGAATCAAAATGATGTCAACACAACAAGAGGAAGAGTTTTGCGCTTTTGAGAATAAAGTGGACGAGGTGATGAAGATCCTCAATTTGATGTCATCAGACAATAAAGCACAATCTGAAGTTGGTATTGAGAAGGCAAATCAATTTCTTGGCGTCAATGAAAAAGACTCGAGCATTGAAGGTGTTGACATTGACAATTTTTTGGTAAAAACAAACTACGATAAGACGATAATAAACAAAAAGGAATCACCGCAGATTGACCAAAATACACAAGACGCTAAAAGCTTCATGATGGCTATTGAGAAGGATGCAAATAAAAGAGCAGCAGATAGAAAGCAGAGAGAATCTGTGGCACAGGAATTGAGAAAGTAAGTGAAAATTTAGCGGTTTTAAGAAATTTAAACATTTAACGGTTTTGTAAAATTTGAATTCTATCCGATTGAACACTAATTTAAAATAAATTTGACTGCTAAATTAATAAGTTCCTTAATCAAATACAGAATGGGGAATCAGGCATTTCGAAATGGAGAGTATGAGAAGGCAGTGAGCATGTATACAAAAGCGCTAGATCAAGTTCGTGATAGTCCAATTCTTTACAATAATCGAGCATTGAGCTATATCCGATTGTCTCTCTATAAACGTGCAATTATCGATTGTGATTTTGTAATCAATAAGTTGGATGAAAAGAATTTAAGAGCATGGCTTTATCGCGCAAAGGCATATTTTCTTTTAAATGAAAAGAGATTGTATGAAAAGAGCATTCAGGAAGCTAAGAAACATCATCCAAAAGAATTGAGTTATATTGACAAAATTATTGCAGAAATTGAGCACATTGGTGAAGGCGATAATGAAGTTTGCGTTAATATCGATGACATTAATAAATCGTAGATGATCACACTTACCAAGTAAAAGTAATACACCAATGAATGAAACACAAGAATAGAGAAATGGTAAATATGTTGTAATATCTGTGAATTAAACAAAATATAGAAAAATTAATTAATCATAAAAGTAATGAAAAATGTGCGAGAACATGTTACTTACTTAGCATAGATAGGAAACTGCTTTTTTCTGAAAAGACAGCAAGTAGAACATAGACAAGTCCAATAACGATCACCGTTAATAGGCTGAACACAATAAACGTTTCATATAATCTTGGTATAATGCCTTTCTTATGTCCTAAAAATCCCGTAGATTCACTAAATAGGTAGGCGAATGGCAGCAAAATGAATATAGCTAAATTTGAAAATAGGAACACAAAGTTCCATAATCCTTGAATTAATGAGCTGTTCAACCATTGAACATAGTAGCTATTTGGATACAGCAATAGAACCTCATTGCTTATTATTGATACAGGAAGTAGAAACGCTGATCCCAGCGCTGTAGCAAATGAAAATATACAAAATAGTAAGCTTATCCTATAAACTTTCAGCTCATCATCTTCTGTTGAGTATAAATCCTCTCGGTCACGTCTTCTAAATCTCTCTATTAAAATATAACTTCCAGCCATCAATAGCAGGAACAGTAAAACAAAGATCTGTTTAAGAGAAAAAAAAGAAAAGTGCGTCACAATATGTTTCGTCTTCAAATCGTCATATTTCAGTGTCTGTTTTTTTTTAATAAATTCATGGTCGGAAAGATAAACATATTTTATTTTGTGTCAACGACGAGCTTACAAATGTACAGCTGACTGGCACCGAGTGATACGACAAAGAAAAAAGTAATTACTTTCTACGATTTTTAAACCATTATTTTTGGTTGCAATTTGTAAATTATTTAACATGTATCTCCAATTATCGCATAATTGCCAAGACAATGCAATCGCGAGATACGGTTATGTCGATCAAAAATTCATTAATCTTTTTCAATTTTATTTAGCATGTTTTATAGACAGAAAGCTTAATTGTTCGTCAATTTAGGTGTTATTGTCTTTATTAATCATTTATAAATATCCTTGAATAACTGCCAAAATGTTTTCAAATATCTTGTCGTTCATTTCATTTGAATTTTTGAAAACCATTAGAAATTCAAAATCTTGAAAGCTGTTGAAATATAAATTTGATCCTCGCTGAAAAGCTTGAAAAAACGCGTTAATGACAGTCTTGTGAATATTTCACTATAAACTTTTAATATTGTCAGAGCTTCCTCATTGAATGATAGCACGAATAGCATGCAACAATTTGTACGGTTTCTCTTTCATTTTTTATACACCTCAATTTAATGGCAGTGCTATTTATAAATGCGTGAAGAATAAAGAGAAGGAAAAAAAAGAATAATCTTGTTTTAAAATTAACTTTGGCAATGAAATTGACTTTAAAATTAGAATCCAAAGATCATTGACGTCCGCGCCTTTAATCATTCATGTGAAACTCTTTGATTCTTGTCTGGATATGCTCGTTTAATTTACTAAATTTAGCAGAACGTTTACTGATTTTTCCGCTCTGCCACACATTGTACTATTACTTTTGATGCGGAGGATGCAGGGGCGTAGCCAGGGGGGGGCCATAGGGGGCCCGGGCCCCCCCTACGAAAATCTGATAATTGCTTTATTAAGTATTTATAGAGAAGAACCAGTTAATGTAGAGGAAGTGATGAAAGAAATGTCAAAATCAGCACGAAAAATTAAATTTAATGTATGAATAATGAATTAAATATTTAAACTTATGAAGAATGAATATAGATTTAAGGATACAAAATAACGGTTTTTTAATTTTCAAAAATGGGCCCCCCCTTGAAAAATTTTCTGGCTACGCCCCTGGGAGGATGTATTGACGTGAAATGCACAGTGTTAAATGTTTGTAAAAGAAAAATCACATAAAATATTCAAAAAGTAATAAAAACTACGCAGCAGTAAATACGCATCTGTTGAAAGTTCATAATGCGACAGCAGTACACATAAGCTCGAATTAATCGCGGTTCTTTGTTTGTAATCAAGTTTTTCGTTTGTTTTTAATTCTAAAAATAGCAATTCTCGTAAATGTAAAGTATTGTAAGGTTTTTATGCAATTTATCCACAATAATTAACTAGTACAAATAACAGGAAGTTCTAACGAGACCCCTAAACTAATGACTCAATGAGTCTAGTCTATTAAAATTTAAAATATTACCTCACAGTGTGTAATTATATCATGATACGGTGCCAAACATTTAATTTCTCTCACTCTTATCTAATTAAGCGCCGGTCTATCGAATCGACATTGACCTTTTGTAAAACTTTCTTTAATATCAATGAACGCGAAACGTGGTTATCACCAAGCATGTGCAAAATCTAACACAATTTAGGTAGACTGACAAAAGATTAATCTATGCACTTTGGTCTTTTACGTGCTATCACTATGGTCTATCCAAAAACAAAGATAACAAGGCGGATGACTCAAAAAAAATTACTTTTTTGTTTCAAAATAGTCAAAGCCATAATAAAATTGAGAACAATGAGAAACTTGCTGCATTGAAATGTCGAGCCATTGAATAAGAAAAAGACAGCATTCCATTCCATTTTGAGATTTTATTTCTTTTATAATATTAGAATCATGTTCTCGAGCGATATTGAACGGTAATGTAATTTCAATGCAGCTGCAATTAGACAAAGATTTACGGCAACAAAAAATTTAAGAAAAATCACAAAAAATAAGGCACAAGAAGCATCTCTCGAGTGAATGCTAAATGTTTTTCTCGCCCGAATTGCTTTTTTCTCTTTTTCGAAATTTTTTATCTATTAAAAGAAGACTAATTTAGACAATAACACATAAAAATTGAAAGAGGCAATAGTCGAATAATCTTTAAATATTCTTATCAGCAATAATCAATGGCACTTAACTAAATTACACTGACGTGTGCTTCACATTCTTCTAGAAGGTGAATTTTTGTGAAACTTTCTACGGCACTTAAATATTCATAGGATATAAAATGACTCGGTGCAGCATAGAAAAAAACGCATAAAATTCCTATTGACCTATATACAATATTTTTATAGATTTTTCATCACTTTCCCTTGATTAATTAACGTTTTGTTTTGATAATAATACTCACAATATTTTCTCTAACATTACTATGGAATGATAATGTTTCTTCATTCACAATATCATCTTCTTCATTTAAAATATCTAATGTGGTGAGATCCATTTGTGTAAGTAATTTCTCCTTTATTCCCGTTATTAATTTTGTTTTTCCTTTTCCTTCCTTTTTGTGTGATTTTACATTTTTTAACGAAAACTCTTCATTTCACTTGTAATTTATCAGTATCTTTAATATTAAAATATAGAGCACTTCCTTTACAGTCAATTTTGATAAGTTACTGATTTTATTGATGCAACAGAACCGAGTAATTTAGATATTTAATTGACTGATCGAGACGAACTTTTTATGCGACTGTTTTTTTTCAAGTTTAGATGATTTTTGCAAAACTTTTGTTTGTTTCACATTTTGCTGACTTTTGAATCTTAAAAATCCGTTCATTTTAAACATCATTAAATTCGAGTGTTTCAATTACTGATTGCTCATTTTCTATCCACAACTTGTGTGTATCATTGACGGGATACTTTTTTCGGTATCCACAATTGCCACATTCTATTTCCACTAATGAATCACTATAAGAAACTAATTTGCACGTCTCTTGATTAAATGATATAGAACATCGTTTGCATAAATCTCTCTTAATTGATGGATCTCTGTAATAATTAACAACATTTTTAATTTAATTAACATGATTTTAATACTTTTTCTTACATTTTAATGACCGCCTTATTTCTTAAATCCTTCAATAAGCTTCCGTAATAGCATGATAATGTTTTATTTTTGCTGGCTATGATTTTTGATGCTTGATGAAGGTAATTAATGCGTTGAAATACCTCTTTATTGTGTAAATTCTTTCTTTTCGACATTTTATTAAAATAATCTTTTAAATTTCACTTTCCAAACAATTAGCACTAATTTCGAGTAAATACTTTGTATGAGTTTGAATGTTATTGTATCCGTCTGTTCATTTTGGGGTCGTTAAGTAATTTCGTCTCGTACGAATATAAGTTTTTGGACCACATAAGCTCTTTAGTATTGCCTTAATTATTCCTATATTGATTAATATTACTTTGTTTGCGTTGTCATAAAAATCTCAGACTCAAACTCATTCAACATTACCTAATTTTTGAACAGGACCCTTAGTTTGTAAACAACAACACCAAAAATAATTTTAATAATGTCCAAAAAGCTAAATTCCGACATAGAGCAGTTTATAGACATAGTTAGAGAATACCCAATAATTTACAGTAAGCAAGGAGCAATTTCTGGATCAGTTAATAATAATGAGAAGAACCAAATTTGGGTAGAAGTAGCAAAAAGGTATAAAATCAACATCATAATAAATAATTGTTTACTCAAATAATGTTCATTATCGTAGATTAAACGAGGATGATCCAGGGAAACTCAAACAGAAATGGAGAAATCTAAGAGACAGCTATCAGAAAGCGATGAAATACAAACGAGATCTAGAAGAAATTGGTCAATTATCAAAATATCATCCTTACAGACACGAACACAAAATGTCATTTCTATTGCCGCATATCCTAGCAGATTTTCCATCAAAAAGGAAAAGAACCAAAGTGTATGATGAGAACGAAGACAGTAAATCTGAAAAGTAATTTAATTAATTAATCTCAGAATCACATTATTAATAGCTTTGTTGTAAATCTTTCAGGATTGATAAGAAGGAATCTGTAATTTATGCTATAGAGTCACAGGAAGTAGAATATTTGGTAGAGGACAGTGTGTATGCTGATAGGAACGAAGACGATGAGAGAATAGAAGCAATAGTTTATAAAGATAGCACTGAAGATGACATTGAGCAAACTGATGAAATAGAAACAGAATCGAATATATGCTATGAGGAAGTAGAAAGTTGTCATGAATTAAGCATAACAGAACCTTCAGAAATGCCTGCAAGAAGCACTTTAGATGATATCGATGTATGGCTTTCGTCCATAAAAGCTTCAATGCTCAAACTTACAAAAATCAATCGAGCACGAGCGAAACGAGACATAAATTCAATTTTAAGTAATTATGAGATTGAGCAGTATGAAGCAGAAAGTAATTAATTAATTGTACTATTTTAATAATAATTTAATTTTAATATTGATTGACCAAAATCATAACGAACTTTTAAAATTCAAATATCGTCTTGTCTCGTTATAAGCTAGTAGCTTAGTAACGAGTAGTATCTTATAACAAGAAAATTTTAAATTTATTCAATAAATAAGTGATTTGAGCAGATAAGCTTAATTAAAATCATGGGAGGAAAGCCAAAACAAGCACAACGAACCAAAGGAAATTTAAAAGTAGGTTGTTTTCATGTAATTCACCGAATATTCCTAAAAATATCAAAATTTCTATATAGCCTTCAAAATCCAGCAACTTCAATACTGATCCAGCACCACTGCTGAGCTTTACACCAGTCGATTCTGCTTTACTTCAATCGTCACTTGTTGCTGGATTCAATGTAGAAGAAATCGTCGAAATTGATCCAAATATAGATCAGAACTTTCAGGTAAATTATCGCAAACGTCATATCTTCTTCTATGGATCTAAAGTATATATTATATTTTTATACAGGTTGTCTTGCGAAAGATGTGCAAAAAGGACCCAACAACAAAAATAAAGGCATTAAAAGAGTTTATCGATCTAACGTGAGTAATCCATAAAATTTACATTCTAATTAATTCTGTTTTGATGCATATTTGTAGGAATGAGTCAGAGCTTGATGTCGTACTTACGGCAATTTTAATGTACGCAAAAGTCTATAATCAATTGTCAACAGAAGTCGATGCTCGAGTTCGTGAAAGCTGTCAGCTATCCTTACTTACAATTGTCAACAAGATTGGAAAGAATCTAGCTACGATTCTAAAGCAAATCTTTCCATCTTGGATCTGCGCACAATATGATACTCATCCAACAGCAGCTAGTATAGCAAAGAATAGCTTTAATAAGGCATTTCCACCAAACAAAGTGAGTGAAGTTTTTTCGTTTTGTGAATCGGAAGTTCTAGACAATTTCATCAAGAACCTGACTGTTTTAAATCCGCAAACAATATGCAATAGTAAAGTCTACTCGAGTGAAGAGTGTGAGGCAAAATATGAGCGAGTTGTGATAGGAAGTTTAAGAGGATATATTAATTATCTTGAAAAGATTCCGTCCGATAAGATTGAAAAGTCATTGGAACGAAATAGCAATTTAGTTGCACATGACAAGTTTTGGAGTTTTCATAAGAACAAGTCACCGTACATAAGAGCTGCATTCTTTGAAGCATTAACATCAATTTTACAACATTCACCAATTTTAATGAAGAACCTTGAGCCACAATTAACATCAACTGTCTTTAAAATGCTCGATGAAAGTGAACCGTCAGTTCTATCGCACATTTGGACAAGCATTTTACTTGTTCAATTAAAAGTTGAGGATTGGCATAGTCACATTAATATTAATAAGATGTTATTACCAAAATTGTGGAAAATCCTTCGAACTTGCTTATATCCCTGCATTATCTATCCAAACTTACTTCCTTTAGTATCGAAATTTAACAAAACAATTTTGCCTGATGATCAACTTCAAAACTTTTACTTAAAATTCTTCGAAAATATCAATGAAGGATTAAGGACTGTCCAATTAAGTAAATCGGAACTATCAACTGTTGCCTCAACCTATTTTGAGATCCTCCAATACATCATAATTCAAATTATTAATGACACAGAACAAAATGATGAAGAGAAATTGATTAAAGTCAACAGTCTTATTGATGATCACATTATAGCTGTAATCTATTGGTGCATAAATTCTGATAGCTTATTTGGTAAAGTTGTGTTCAGTAAGATTTCTGAGATAATTAAGCATTGGTCTAAGAATATAGCAACAAAAGACATTTATAGTAAAATATTTGATAGATTTTGGATTGAACTATATCAAGTACTTGAAGGAAGTCTTGAAAATAGTAATTTACAGCAAATATCTAATGGTCATGTAGAACTTATTAAAAACTTAAAGACAACAACGTCGAAGCCAAAAGGTGTTAAAATAAAGGTCGAAGATGATCCAATTGAACAGCCTGAAGTTGTTGTAATAACTGAAAAAGTCAAGGATATTTCATTTGATGGACCACTTTGTGAATTAGTCTATAAATTGAGTTTAAGCTATGTCGAGAAGATTAATACGACATTAGACAAGAATTTGGTTGAAAATTTAGACATAATGATTAAGGAATATCAATCAAAGGAACTGTTTAAGCACTTGGCTAGCAATCAAGAAGATAAGAGCATTTGTTCACTATACGATACATTCGCAGAATGGCTACAAAATGAAGAACTTAAATGTGAGGCAGTCATTGAGATAATTTTAGCACTTTACAAGTATTTGGAACCGTCTGAAAAAATTGACTTGCTTAATCGTTGGATTCGAATTCCTACAATCCAGAAGAATTGGCTTATTATGAGAGCATTAAGTTATCCATTGTGCTGTGATGCAGGCATAACAAAATTTCTTAAAATGAAAGAAGTAACGGATTATCTTTCAGAATGTGCCACTAATGTTTCAAATGGAAGTTATAAGGATAATTTAATTATTTTACAAAAATGCTTTTTTCAAACTGAAAATGGTGACATTTTGATTGATAATTTGACATGTGGAAGTATCATTGATATTATTTGCAATACATTAACTGATTCCACTAAAATTAATCAAGTCGATCAATGTGCAAGTTTCCTCGCTCAAATATTCTCAACAATTTGTTCAGATCCAACCAAAAAGGACATCCAGTTGAAGATATTTTTAAGCTTATTTGATTTCTCAATCACTAAGGAAGTATCTGACAATTTTTCTGAGGACACAATGTGGGAAATATCGACATCATGGCAAGATGCATTGTCTAGTGGCGATTTAGAGATGAATGATGAGCTTTTGGGTCATTGTAGTAAAGTCATAAACACAAAATTGAGTACTTCAACTATCGCAGATGAAAGTATTGAAAATGTCGAAAGGTTTGCTGAATTAGTGTCCAAACTTGTGCTGTGTTCGAATGAAGATAAGCAAGGCAACGAAAGAGATGAAGCTATAAATTCTATGCTTAAAGTTTTACTCAATCAAGAGAATATTTATGAGGATTATTTAGAAGATCTATGCCTGAGTATCAAGTCAATTCGTGGAGATAAGACATTCGAAGAAAGAACTCTTTTAGACAGCAACAATGTCAACTTTAATGATGCTTTAGATTCACATTTAAAGTATAAAATCTTTAGCTTAAATGTCATTTTAATGCTCAGCTGTAATATAAAGAAAAAGCAGCAACAAGACAAGAGCAGTTTCGATGACGATGACAGTGAAATTGACAATCATGAAATAGATTATTCAGTAATGAAGCAACAAGAAATTCAGGATGAAGAAATAACTGAAGATTATTGTGATTTAAATGAGAATTTATTAAAGGAATGGAAAGAAGTCGTTATGGACAAATTCTTTGATATTTCAATCAGTTCTGAAGCAATTCTTAATACATTTTTATTACATATCAGAAAGATGAATCCGAATCTTGAAAATTGGATCCTTTATACACAGGAACGTTTGAAAGTTTATCTTATTGAAAATTTACCAGAATCAATTCAGAATGAAATTAAGGATGAATTATTTGGACGGATTATGACAAAAGGAGAATTTTATGTCGATTGTTTACCTCTTTTACTCTGCACCAAAGCATATAATAATGAAAATGGAAAGGCTGCACTGTATAATGATATTCTCAGCCTAGTAAACAGTGATGAAGTGTCACTTACTTATATTAATATCCTTCAAACATTCGAAAAAGTGTTGGATAAAAAATTTATGTCAATTACGTCAAATCTTGCTGAAAAATGCTTCAATTATTTACTCAAAGTATCTGCAGCAAGTGTTTTTATAAGAAATCACTTGGATGTTTCTGATTTTAATGAACTCATTGACCGTATGATTATTGGACATGGATTGATATTGATGAATGAGATAATTAACAAAAATAAGGAACATCCATTCTTGTTGTACAACAAGGATGTGTCACTTGAAGACCCAAATAATGTTCTGACTGTCTCAGCAATAGCTAATTTCATGAGTGAATGTCTTCTTTATTTTCCAACTGAAATTGATGTTAAGCGATGGGATTTTATACGAATTGCTTTAAGTAGCTGGATCTTGTCTGTGTCTAAAAGTTGTGAAAAGTTTAACAACGAAACAGTCAAGAACTTTATTGTCGCTATATTCCGACTTAATGCTTCACTTCAAAAGTTCATTGTGGCTGAAAAAATAAAAAGCTCTACTGAGTTTCTCTCAAATATGATCGAGGAATGGGAAAATGTATTCGCAAAAGATGTCAATTTAGTGCTCATTAAATCATTTATTTACATCGTTAAGAATATCGGTAAGTACAATAATTTTTGTTCCTTATATAATTAAATAGTTAAAACTTATAATTATCGTTGGGTTCTAAAGAATTGCTTGAATTTTACTCATTATTGGCAATGTTGGTACGAATCCATTCGTGGTAATAAGCAATTCGGGCATGAGCATCAGGATATCCTTTAAGATGATATTAGTTTAATTAATTAAATTTTCTGTTTAAAACTAAGCACATACCAACGCCACAAGGAACTCCAAAGTTGACAACAGCTGCGAGCTTTCCTTTATAAATTAAAGGACCGCCACTAAAATTAATCATTATCAAAAAATGATCACTTAAATGTCTGTATTTAATTAACTCACGAATCTCCATTACATGATCCTTCCCCAATTTTATTGTATGTACACAAATGACCATAATCGACATCTTTGCCATGTGCTTCTTTGCATTTCTCATAAGAAATGTGAGTTAATTGAATTTCTTGCAAATGATCAGGAATAGACCCGTCTTTGACTCTTCCCCATCCTGTTAATTTAATTTCTGAATCTACAGGAACTTCACGCCATTCATATTCAATTGGTTGAATGTTGTCTGTAAATGTTATTTCTTCCTTCAATCGAATCAGTCCAATATCGTTATAATAAAATGGCAAGTTGTGGCTGAAAAATGGCGTTAAATATTCAAATATTTAAAAATTTGTTCAGTAATCTATCAAGCTCATTTCAGTTCAGTTCATTTTGAATTTCTTGAAACCGCTAAATTTTGAATTTCAAATATTCGTTCAGTAAAGCATTAAGTTCATTTGGGTTCAGTTCATTTTGAATTTTTTGAAACCGCTAAATTTCAAACTTCAAAAAGACGTTAAATCCTGACAAATTTACATACCGAATATGGATGATGAATTTATCAGGAGTAAAGTAAACACTTCCTTCACTAAGTTTATTGGTTCCAGCCATAATTACGTAGTCCTTTGGCTTATATCTAAAAAATTATTACATCAAGAAATATTTTTGAACATTGAAAATGAAGAATAATACCCATCAAGGCAATGAGCAGCAGTAACAATGAATCGAGGATGTATGATCGCGCCACCGCAATTATGTCTTCCTTTTCCTTTTTGAAGTGAGACTTGATAAGGCGCAGATCCATCCTTTGCATCCACACCACCTACAACTCTTGATCCAATATCATGATCATCATCAAATTCGACACTTTTAGCTATTCCAAAATAAAAAGCACTAACAAAAACAATTGCTTTAATTAAGTACATGTTGTTTGCTATCGTAAGTTCTCACTTCCACTGATTTTCACTGTGAAAATTTTCACTATTTTATACCTGACTAGAAAACAGTGTCAAGAGACAGCATGACTAGAACAAAAAAAAAGTTTATCAATGAGGGAAAAGTCAATTAGTATGACTATTCACGTATTAAGTGCACACTTGTGTTAAGAGTATCTTGACCATAACATAGAAAAATGTAAAAATTATTAAAAGCAGTAAGGTTTGTTTGTCTTAAGCAATTACAGCAATTTTCTTTTTATTTTCTTCACAAAAAATGGTTAAACAATTGGAAGAGCAGAAAAACTTGACGATGCTTAAAAATGGATTTCGGTTGATTTTCCTAGAAAATGGAAAATAAAAATTAATGAATCACTGCTGATTCACAATAATTTGTAGTCACTTACTCGTAAAAAAATATAGAATGTGCTTCGGCAAAAATTAAAGATCGACACTGGCAAATTGCAGTTGGATGTGCTATTATGTTCCTTAAATTATACGGAAGGTATTCGAGGTCGTTTTTAAGTTGAGAATTTGTCATGATTTTCCTCATACATAATTCCTTTAACGACACTAGACTGTGTGATGAGTGATTATAGAACAATTTGGTGAGGTCTTGAGGTAAATTTGCGATGATTCCATTGGGTAATGTGATGTGATTTATTGAATTTGAGCTATTTGTGATGAAATCCGTTCTGAAATGAGAATGTTTTTTAATTGAATATGCCTAAAGGTCGATTCATTTTTAAAAGTCTGATTTTCAAATCTTCGTTTCAAATAACGGAAGTTCAAAATTCAAAATTTAAGTTCAAAATATCCCCATTTTTTAATCACTATTTTCAAATATTTTTGACTGTTATATTTTAAATGTTTTTTAACCTTTATATTTTTGAATCACGGATCAAGTTTATAATAAGATCAAAAATAATATACCTTGCTTCGTGTAGATTATTCAAGTTATCCTCATCGATCATGTAAAAATCTGACGCACTTGTGGTGACTGGTATGAACTTAATGAATATATCATGTGGAACACAGTTTAACAGTTGATTCCCGTACAGTGACAAATGACATAAATTTGAGGCAACAACTGCGGGTATTGTTATTAAGTTACATCCCCTAAAGGATGCACTCACGAGCATTGGCATTGTAAATAAATTTTTTGGGAGTGTAAATAGTCGCGAGCATTCGTCAAACGAGAGTTGAAAAATCTTCGTACATTGAGTGAGCTCTTGCGGTATTTCCATTAGAAAATTTCGATCAAAGTTCAGCAGTTCGAGATTCTTTAAATTCTTTATGGCTGCAAAAATGAGGTTGAAAAATCATAAATTTTAATGCTATTTATACAATCAGAAACGCCTTTTTTCTTTCCTAACCTGGGACTATACAATCGAGATAATTCCCCGATAAATCTAAATATTTTAATTGTACTAACTCAAAGAAGGTGGGCGGAAGTTCCATTAATTGATTATCAGACAAATCGAGATAATTTAAATTTTCGAGCGTATTGATATCAACAGGAACGAATTCTAAGGCATTACACGAGATATTAATGTGCGTTAAATTCTTTAATCGCATAAGCCAATCTGGAAACTTTATTAAATCACATGCTTTAAGATAAACTTGCTCAACTGATTCCTTTGGTATCTCATTGTCATCACAAAACGTCTCATAATCAATCTTTCGAAAACTATAATGCAATGCTATTGACATTGAAACTACTTTTTTTATTTTTTTATTTTTTTTTTTGAACACTTGAAATTTGATATGGAAATTTTCAATAAATTCCGTTCCTTTAAAACACAAGACAAGACAAGAATGAATTTTTACGTGATGAGATTCAGATTTAAACTAAATTTAGATGATGAAAATTTCTTTATTTTTTTGGCGCGCTGTGCCTCTCTCTCAAAAAGAAAATATTATAATTTTCACGAAAAAAAAGATTTTCACGATCATTGAGGACAAATATTGAGTCTGTAGATGTTGACCTCTTTTTTTAAGATACCGAATCGTGACGTCATCACTCTCAGATTTGACACATCCTCAACAATATTTTATTTACTTGTGTATATTTTTACATTATTTTCTGTTCCTTCACATGTGCTGTTTTATTTGTTTTTTTTTTCGTACCTATGCATTGAGTTAGTTCCTCTAATATTGTTCACAAGCTGTATTAAAAACAATAACACACGATCTGAACCAAAATAGATGAACGATTAAACTTGAAACTTTACTGTGCGTTATGTGCGAGCTATAAACCTTTACTTCTGTCTAGGAACTTAGTTTCTGAGACTAGTTTTATCAGGTGTTGTCTCAGCTTGCCTGCTTTTTTTTTAAACATAAATTTCAAATATTCTTTGACCGTTATTTTTCAAATATTTTAAAACCGTTTATTTTAAATTTATAGCTGCATAAATTCTGATTTCGCGTAAATACTCTATCTTCAGTCACTCGTGACCACATTCTATATTTAATCAATCTCTAAGTCGAATATTTTATTTAAATAACGCATAAATAGTTTACATAATCGAGATATAAATTTAATTTTTTTTTTGTTTACAGATTACAGTTCGAAACATCACGAAGTATTTGTTGATGCTCTATGTCCACATATTGAATATATAGACTTTAGCTATGTACTACAAGGAAAGAAAATCGATCATACATTCTCACTGGATAATTTAGTTGAATTTTCATTAGAAAATTTATCGAGCAAGCATAATGGAATTAGCATAACTGCTGCAACAATCATCAGGCAGCTAACTGATGGATTCTTAAAGTTTGATTTGGATACATTGAATAAGAAAAGCAGTGAGGAATACAATGAAAGTGAAGACGATGAAGAGAATTTAGAAAATTTCAGATGGCACATTTTGGAGTCGTTTAGAGACACACTAGAAAGTTATCAGGAAATCATGAAGGACTTGTCAGAAGATTTCAGGTAAATTCTACGAAATTTTAATTGTTTTTAATGTCTTAATTATTTTTTATACAGCTTTAAAGCCAACGATATGGAAGACGACATGAAAATTCCATCGGAAGTAGCTTTACCGTATCTTTTGCTTTGGCATTGTATCTTAAACTTCTGTTCTAAAGCACGACCAGAATTAAGGACTGTTTATGCTCGTTGGATATCAATGAATAAATTCGAGGAAGTAAGTTACTCAAAAAATCTATATTTTACACATTTATTAATTTTATTTATTATCAAAATAGGTCTTTTTGTTCTCATTATTCAAAATGATGCCTCGTGAAATTCTTAAGAATCCCGATATATCCACTAAACTTGGACACACAGCATTCTCAACATTAGATTGGAAAGACATTCAAGGTAAGTTTGATGTTGATGGCTTACAAAATTCACTTTCTACTCTATCCTTAAACTCAACTTGCCATTGTGGCATTGGATTCATATTTCCAAAACATAGACCACGACCCTTTCGTCTACGAGCACGTTTTCTTGCCTTTGCTTCTTCCTTTTCTTTTATTTTACGTTCAGTTTCTTTTGTAGACTTCTCTAAAGCCAAAATTTTCTCACGCTCAGCTCTTTCAGTTCTCCTACCATCCTTTTGTGCTCTTTTCTCAGAAGCTTTAATTATTTCGTCATTTATTGTTCCCATTACTTCTTGACATTCTTCTAAAGTTACATTTATTTGTGAAGGTCTCAAAAACGATAATTTCGCTACTACATTCTCATTTGACGCTATTTTTATGTCATCAGAGCTACTTGTGTATTCCTTCTCTTCGTCGTCATCAGTTCCATCATGTGATTCTAATGACTTTTCTTCTTGCTGTATCTCAAATTCGCTTTTTGTCAAATTTTGAGGATAATAGCTGTCAATTGGAATGCACAAATTTTTGAATTTCTTTAAACAATCGCTTTCTGGCTGATTTTGTTGACATTTATTAGGGCTGTTTTTTATGTAGTCACAAACACAAACTGCTAGCTTATCAGCAAACTTTATGTGTGCCTTGTCAATTGTATTTGTGGAATTTTTATTTGGAACTTTATGGCCAGTCATTTGACATATTTTTGGAAGGATTAAATCAGCTAGTTTTCTACAGCCTTCATTCATATCCATTGGACGATCACATTGAACCATTTGACGAAGTTTAGAGATGATTTGACTTGATACATCCTCAAATCTCTTAGATTTTGCTATTTTTATTTTAAGCTTCTTGATTTCGCATTTCTGTTGTTTGATTTTATAATTATCATAACCCATTTGTTGCATTATCGTTTGCACGACTTCTTGTTGTGTTTGATGATCACCGAAATTCAGTCGTTTTGTCAGATTTTCCACTTGATAAAATGGCAAATGATAGCGATGCTCATTTAATGTTGTAATAATATTCGATTTTTTTGGCTGTGAAAGCTTGTTGAGGTGTACTGTACATGGTGGAATATTTCTTCGGACCCATTTTGGATGTGGTTTTTCGTAAAACTTAATGAGAAAATAAGAAAGTGGAAGATTAAGGTCTAAGATAATTCTGGGTTAAGATTATAAATCCTAAGATTAAAAAGTTAAATCCCAAGATTAGAACGAATCCTACCTTCTTTGGCTGCGACAGGAACTTCAAATACTCTTCTTTGTCGAAGGAATTTCTATCGACTATATAGTCATTTTGATGATCACATGAGGGATACTCATTTTCACGTGGGTAAACTAATTTGCAGATGTACAAATTAGTCGGTTTTACTTTCTTTGGCTTAAATTCAGCTACGTCAATTGTCTCAAGTTTACTTTGGCATCTGACTTTATTAAGTTTCCTTCCGCAATCGATTGACGATTTTAGTGATGGTAAAGCAGTTTGAGACGTAAATTTTGATATACTGAATTTTTTATTGAGGTTCACTTCGGATTTAGACATTTTTGCTCTTTTATGTGCCGGGAATTTAAATAGAATTAAGAAGCAAAAAAAATGTTAATTTAACTTCAATGACAGCCTTGATTTAAAATTTTAATTCATTTTTTTAGATTCAAAAATTGACATCGAGCGATATTCAGCATTTTTGTATGGAGAAAGTCTTCGAGTAGTTCCAGCGATTGTACGTAAATGGTGGCATGCATGTAGCACAAGACAAGCACAAGTGATTGATAAATTGACAGCAAATTACGTATCACCAATTTTATGTAATGAAGACTTGACTGTGCTGACAAATATGAAGGAACGAGAGGGACGTAATAGCATGAACATTCGAGTATTAATGCAGGCACGAGAAGTTATAGCTACGTACTCATTAGAAGAAGCTAAAATGGAACTCGTTGTTTGTTTGCCACAAAATTATCCTTTAGGTGCCATAAAGGTTGACTGTAAGAAGCACATTGGTGGCAAGTTTCAAGCTAGAGAAATTGTGAAGCAATTGTCAATTTACTTAACACATCAGAATGGAAGGCTTTATGATGGAATCTTCATTTGGAAACGAAATCTTGATGGGAAATATGAAGGCGTTGAGGAATGTTATGTCTGTTATTCAGTCATTCATCAGGAGAATCTTCAATTACCAAGAAACACATGCAAAACTTGCAAAAAGAAGTTCCATTGTAAGCTACTCAAATTACATTAAGTCTACTATCCTTAATTGATTATTTTCTATTCCACAGCATCCTGTTTGTATCGCTGGTTCACATCATCTAACAAGTCAACATGTCCTTTATGCAGAAATCCATTTTAAATTCCATAATACCTAATATGTCGCGAAAAAAATAAGTTATGGCTCAAAAAAAGAAATGAATAAAAGAAGAAAAGAATAAAATTTCAAGATTATTTTCTGATGGACTATGCAGTAAGCAACATTTTCTCGTCTCTTTTTTTCTTTATTTATTTATAAACTAATGTTTGCAAAAGATAATGCTTGAGAAATTGAAGGACATTTATTCAGCTTGGATCTTTACACTTCTTACTTCTTGGTGGTGGAAGTTCAACATTAGGTTTAAATATAGTATTCTGTAATTTCTCTGTAGAGTTCCTTAGCTTCAATTCGTAAACATTAACCTCGGGTTTCTTAACAATTTGAACGACTTGCTTTTTTAGAATTTCTCCAACATCTATGCCGATCTAATGTATACATAAGAATTGAAAAGGTAAACAATTATAGTACTTGCTTGTTGTGCAAAAAAAGATGAAATTTTGTGGAGGTGTAAAGTGACTTACTGATTTATTATTTACCTACCTTAATTTTTTGATCTATTTCGTCTTGCTTTTCAAGATCCTTATTCTTACGAAATTCTATTCGGATTTTCTCCTGTGCTTGATTTAATGCCCTCACATCTTGATCAAACACTTCCTTTGCTATTTTATTTAATCTTTTATAAAGTTCCAGCACTGTTTTTCGGCTAGACATTTTGAGCGATACTTGCGAGTATTATTATCAAAATAAGGGTGATGACTGCTTGAAAGAACGATTTACTATGCACAAACTGAGTTGGAATTTAATGTTATTTACAATTATTTGACTTTTATTGATTTTGATGCTTTTCTATCCACAACGTGACTTGATTGAATAGAATTTTAATTTAACGCACTTTTGAAATTTGAAATATATTGTGTATAAATTTCTTAACGGATACTTTTGAATCAAACAAAAAGTATTGCAAAATATACTGTAATTAACAATATGATAAGCGTGTCACGTGATAAATGTGCAGCATAAGAATCGTATAAGATTACTCAACATTACCCTAAGTCATATAATAAATACACCACAAAATAATGTAAATTATTTAACGGCTGATTTAAATTCAAGTTCATTATTTCACGGATATCCCAAAACGGATAAAAGTCAAGCAGATAATCTGTCAGTCGTCAACTCAGTCAAGACGATAGAAAAGAATATTTTTTGTTATTTTGGGGTTTAAATCATTAATTAAAACATTTAATATGATTCCGGAGAATATATTCTAGGCGAAGGTAAGACAGGACATAAAATTGTGAATAGAACTGACTAGATTTACGTGTTTTTTGTTTCTGCGTGCCCACAAAAGAATGGAATTATGATTCTTGACTTTGTTTTCTTTAGAAATTTACATCTTTAAGTAACAAAAAAAGAATAATAAGATATTAAATAAATAAAGCAATTATTTAAAATGGCATCTGATCAGAGATCAATTTCTGGCAGTCATTCTGTTCCATTTAGCAGAGACTCTGTAGACGCGTAAGTTAGTTCATGATTGAAAAATCGTAATTACTTAATTCATTTGCATACAATAATGTCATCATTCTCAAGTCATAATGACTCTTTCTTCGTCATTTCTCATGATTGTGATCATTAGATAAACATATAGTCCTCATTTCTCATTTTGTTTACATAATGGCAACAAAAACTCTCGTTACAGCTTTCAGGATATGACTGCTTTCACTCCTCCACCTGATAGTTGGCTAGCTCGTTATCCGAAAACTGTAAACACACAAACATCCAAGAAAGAAGATAAGACATCGTCATCATCATCATCATCAGTAACAACAAAAACAACAACCGAAAAGAAAGATATTAGTCACACGAAGAAATTTAAAGTACCAGAAGCAAATCAGTTGGACGATACTTGCAAGAGATACATAGAAACAAGTGAAATTCCAATAAAATCAAATAAATCTCTTGGAACTGACGATCATTTCAAGTCTGCTGTTTGCTCAAAGAATCTTTTAAAAGCTTGCGAGAAACTTATGACAAAAAGGGATTATTTGGGTTCTGCTAGTGAATTAAATGACGATGACTTTGATGCAGAACTTTCATTGATGAACGAACAGAGTCGTATGGAATTTTATAGACACAAATACGGAAATAGACGTGATTCACAATCTTTACCAGCATCGCCAAGAATGGAACGAAAAACTCAAGGAGCCGTTACTCACAATCCATACTTTACAGTTACAAAACAAGAAGCATCAAGACCTGATACGAGCATATCTTTCTTGGCTAATCTTTTTGGATTAACGGCTGTTAAGCCAAAAGAAGCTCAAGCTAATCTTGCTCAAAAATATGAATCCACAAATGCTTCAATGTTTAATGGAGGTGACAAACAACAACAGCAGGGAACTAAAAGCAGTCGCCAAATGACACCTAATCCACATCCTTATCGTGAAATGAATATTTTTTCTCCTACATCCATGTAGAATGTTTATCTGAACTTTCTGTCTTTTTTTCTTATATTTTTCAGTATATCCAACCTGTGAAATATTTCAAAATTATTATTTTTTTTTGTTTCTACCTTATATCCACTATACTTAATCAATCACAGCAGTTCGAAACATATTTAACTTTCCAATTCTTTAAAGTAATATAGTAGTATTAACAGTTATTATTTTTGATTTGTAGAAGTAGAAGACGATTTCGGTAAAGACATTTTTATTACTGTGTAAATATGTTTTAATTGTGTACGAAACTATGGATCTTTAAATTTTGATGAGTTTTAATCATTATAATATATACTCGAAGGAATTTTTTCTTTTTCTGTTTTTCTGGAAATATAATCATCATCATATACAACCTTCCAAATTTTTTTACATAAACGATTTTAATAAAAATTTATTGTTGCATTCGAAAACACTGTAAATAAACACTTTATTAAAGGTATAGGCTGGCTGACAACTTTCAATATCCGTAGATTAACAAATTAAAATAATTTTTTTTAAAGACATCTCAACTATTCATTCGACAGATACTACTGTCCAAAATGTGATTCATGTATATTAAGATATAATTATCATGATGGATAAATAATGATTACTTCTGATCATGTGCATGACTTTTTGCTAATGCTTCAGCTTGTGCCTTTTCATTGTACTCTCTATGCCATTCTTGATTCATCTTTTGGACAGATTCTCCTCTTTCTGCAGCTTTACGTCCTTGAACAATCATTATTCCACATCCAATAAACGTTAACGCAATCATGATGTTGGCTGCTCTGATTCGGAACTTGTTTCTAGCTCTACAAAATTTAAGTTTGATTAAATCTTGAGATTAAAAAATAAATTCATCGGATTAAAAAATAAATCCAATTCAAAGAAACTTTATATCCCGGATTTGAATAAAATCCAGTCAATAGATTTCAACATAATGCACAAATATTACCTTTCAACAGCTTCTTCACTAACGTAGCCGGGAATCTCTTCAGTTGTCTTGTACTTTCCACTCCAAACCAATAATTTCTTCTCAAAGTTATTAGGTCTATGTGTTCCTCTACTTTTTGGATCAATTGACTTAGAGCTTTGAACTGGAGTACATAATGGACGAATACTCTGCCTGAAGAGATTGATGAGGACTGTATTACGACGTGAGATTAGCGACAATGACATTGTTGTTCCTTCTTTAAATATATCTAAATGAGAATAAAGATAATTGTAAATTTCAAGAACCAAGGACATGTTTTTAAGTTAATTGGCGTGTGTTGACTATGCTGTATGTTGAGAATAACAGTTTAGAGGTCATAAAAATATACATGAACTTTAAGTGGAAGAAAAAGAACAAAATCTGATACAGGAAAACACATTTTAGATAAGTTGGTACCAAGTAATTTACTTATCAAATTATTTACAGGCACGTGTAAAAGCTTATTAAAATTGATTATCTAATAATTAATTTATAAAAGCTGATGAGAAAAATTCGCGAATTATGAAATGTTTTTATTGCCTTTTTATGAGAAAAAATATTCAGCCTTACCTTAATTGCATAAAAATCGCTCAAAAACCAATAAAATTAAATAATTTTCAAATGAAAACTGTTGTGATGATCAAGGAAATTGGGTTTCCAATGTGAAGAACTATTATCAATTAGTTCTGATAAGTTTTCGAGACAAAATCTTTTATTAAAATGATCCACAAGAATTACAAATGCCGACTGAACGTGTTTTTGTCAAAGAGCTTTAAAATAGACCTCGAAAAATGAAGAGAAAATGTTCACTTATCACACAAACAAACCCAAACTATACGTCCGTAAATAAAAAAAATTCTCTCAAAATTTTCCAATGACTTTTTTAACACAATATTTGTGTGCGTGCTGTTCTGCTCATTTTGTCATAGGTCTCTAAACAGCTGGTATTGATTTACTGGATTTAGTGCAATCATTTTGAATGACGACTCGATAGGGGGTAAACCCAAAGATATTAATTCCACGATCCTGCGGGATAATAACCCCGAAAAACGCAAATTTTTAAATGTTCTCTTACACGTGGAATTATTATCCTTCCGGGAAGATAATAATCCCACCTATAATTACAAGTGGGATTATTATCTTTATGGAACACGATTAAAATTATGGATTAAATCAAATCCAAAAACTTATTTGTCACAGTGGATAATAATTCCACTTGTATTAATAAGTGGATTTATTATCTAATAGGATTTTAGAAATCCAAAAAAAATCCAACTTATTAATTTGTCAATTTCATTATTCCAAAAAATTAAATAAGAAGAAAACATAAATAGGGTAAATACTTTTGAAAATTGCACACTTTTGAAATTTGCACACTCATGTGAAAAAAAAAGTACAAATTTCTCCCAGAATATCCACTTCTGATAATACTTTCTTCACAAAATCTTTGTGTAATTATTGTACAAATGCTGTTGTACCACTTTGAGTTGTATAAAGGCATCAGGAAGATGAATTCCTTCAGCAATCAATTTTTCATACAAAACGAAACTTTGCAAAATATAAAGTTTTGGGATACAATCAGTGGCTTTTTTAAATATTTCAATAACCAAAAAAAAAATTTCAAAAGTTTTTGTGCAAATTTTAAAAATTTCCATGCAAATTTCAAAAGTTGAAAATAAAATGCGAATATCACTGCTGATAAGCATCGTAGCTTTAAAAAAGAGGTTGGAAATGAAAATTTCCACTTTTTTCAATAGTTTAAAACCTTAACAAAGATCGGTTAAAAAGTTTCACGCAAATGAAATTTTCATGAACAAAACTGTGCAAATTTCAAAAGTATTTACCCTATTGGTTGAATGTTTGCTTTTTAAAAATATATTATTCCAAATTGTTTAAAAAATAAAATCAAGGTGGGTTCAAGTGGGTTCAATCTATTGGTTAAGTTCAGATTGAAAAATCAGTTTTTCGCATTTTGCGTGGAAATGTAGCAAGATAGCTTAACATGTTCTAAGATGCAAAGTTTGTGAAATTTCACACCTTCTGCAAAAACAGATTTTAAATTGGTTGAGGTATTGTTGAGAAAATCGCAAAATACGCTTTCTGTAAGCAAGCAAGGGGGGGGGGGGGGGGTGTCAAGAAGTATGTAATGTTTTAACTGTTCACAAAAAAAATTTGTTTACAAATTCACACCAAAAACATTTTTTTAAATTTTCCACATTTTTAATGATTTATGAAAAATTATCAAAATAAAAAAATAAAATAAATTATGAACGTTCAGGAGGGGGGGGGGGTTGTGAGTTGTAACATATTGTAACAAGGGGGGGGGGGTGAAAAAGTCGTTTTTTGCGTAACGTAATAGTTTTTGAAAATCAGTGAATTTTTTGAATTCAACTTTTTGAAAAACGTTTGATTTGAATTTTTTCATCCCGTTAATATTTCTAATTCTAATTGCAACTTTTAAGCTTTTTCGACTTGAATTGTTTTGAAATTTTCTTACCTACTAGTTTATAAATAAAGTCCAAAATGTTGTTTATTACAAAAAACATACAAATAAAGCAATATTGAATAAAAAGAAGAGAAAACACACACATGACTAGAATGATCAACATCTGATTTATTATCGTAACAAAAAGTTTTTATTTCTCACGAAGTTTTAGTTCAATTAATATAATACCAATTTTTCAATTGTATACCATTGATTGCACTCTCTTGAGAGCTGTATGGGTTTTTTGTTGGCAATTGTCAAAAGTGTATGTCGCAGATCGTTCATTTGAGACAAAATGTCAATGTGTTCATCCACGAGCTCTATCCACGATTGCAATTTATTTACGAGTTCTTCGTCTTTACTTAATAAAATTTGTTGATAGTGAGAGTCGAGCAGTAATTTGAACCATTCAAATAATTTTGTATCTAAGTCGAAATCATCTCCTTCCACCAAATTCCCTCTCATATCAAATCGGTCCTCGAGCATGTTTAATGTTAGCATTTTATAAAGATGGTCCATCAATTGAATCATTTCCGTTAATGTTATGTCACTATTGATAAATTTCAGCAGTGTCGTCGAATCGAATGAGCAGCATAAAGCTATGGAAAGTACATCACGAATTTCATTTTGATTTGTGCTTAAGAAAATATTTGCGTTTTTGATTTTCTCACTTTTATTTTGCTGCTGTCTGCCCGAATTTTCATCTTTTTCTATTGACATCTCGGACTTATCATTTTCGTCACAATCGTGTAGTTTTGGACAGTTTATGAGATACTTAATGACTTGAACTAACATTCTCTCGGAAAAGTGATTGTAACGTTTTATTAAAAGTCCAATATCTTCCGCTCTGTTTGTTTTTAAGAGTATTGGAACCACTTTGTTGGTTATTTCTATTTCGCTGCATCCTTGACGCTCCAAACTAGCACAATAAAATTCAAAATTCTCAGACATTAAGGGATGTGATTCGTCAACATTATTAATTAATTTGACATAAGCTGTATCGTCTGGTTGATCATCAATTCTACATAAATCAACCTGCAATTCGCCTCTATAAATTTCATCCAAATAATCTATAACTGTAGAACTATCAGTAACTCCTTTTGCTCCTGACAATAATTTTTTCTTTTGCTTTATATGAACTTCGTTTGGGTTGAATTCCATTCCTTCAACTGGATCTTGATTTTCATCAAATTCTAGTGCTTCTTCATATAAGCCATATTCATTAATATTTTCATTTTCTACAACATTATTTGATGCATCAATTTGGGAACCAATCATTGAACTCAGTTTGTCTGTAGTTACAACGAACGGAATAACTGACAAGTTCTGTCCCATTGACAGATATAAATTCTCATTTACAGACCATAGCTTGAAATTTGAAAGAAAGACTTTGAATGGAATTTTAGATTGGATAATTTTGTACTTGATATTGTAAAGAATGATGTTACTTCCATCGTCATTTGGCTTGCTTGCATAAATTGCTATACAATTCTCACTGATAGTTTGTACTGCAATATCATTACGTCCATTAATGTAATCAATAATTGAATGAAGAGTTCCAATTGAAAGACTATCGTTGCTCATCTGTAGATTTTGTTTAAAGATTCGCTTATCGGACCAAATTGTAATTAAGTTTGTTGCTCCACTGCTTGAATAAATCATTGTCATTCCCATCAATTTGACATTTTGTCCTTGTCTATTTAATTTGATTTCTTTAAACTCTGTTAATGGCTTTAGAGTCACTTCATCGATTATCGCAAACGACAAGACCTTTTCATTATTAATTTTCTTAACATAACTGAAGATGTTATTTCCAATTTGTGGATATTCAAGCTTAAATTCAGCTTTGAGACTTTCTCGTTGTGATTTATCTATTTTCCTAGATTCTAATGCAGAATCTAAGGATTCACATAAGCCATCCTCGTAAATGACCAAAATATTATCATTTGATACATTAATTATTTCAGAAATTGGCTTATGGAACTTGATTTTCTTCACTTTATTGATATCTTCTGTATCTAGATCCCAAAATTTGACATAAATCCCAGAAAATACTCCAACATATTGATTCCTTTTAAAGTCAAACAACACTTTTGATGAAAAGTTGTCAAATGTGCTCCAAGATTTGATCTGTTTCTGTGTTGATAGCTGAAATTTGTTTAATTAGTTTTATTTTCTTACTGGATCTTCTATTATTTACCTCAATGATGTAGACAATCTTTTTGCCTAACGTACAGATCACGGATGTCTTTTGAGCATCAGCTGACACACCCAGTATGTCATTATTAATCGGACAGAGCTTGTAAAGTGATAGTAACTTGGACATTTTTAATTATTTTATTTTGGCTGATTTTTCACGTTGTTTCTGTTGACAATGATGATGTTTAGAAAAAGTTTCAGTGTTTCTCAACCTTATTTAGTCTACGGCACATTTTAGCTCTCAAAATTATCGCGAAACACAGTTTGAGAAACACTGGTACAAAATTACCGACCTGTAAAGTTTTTAATGTTGTATACTTCTATTTTGTGGATGTTATACTCATGACTGTAGTATTCAGGATCTTTAGCAGGTAGCTGTCATATAATTCTAAGATCGAGACCTGTTTTTATGGTATCAAATAAAGCGACGCTCAAATAAGTGCAGATCGGGAAGAGATGCAAAGAAAGGTAAACAAAACGCAAATAAAATTACTCTCTACTTTAATTAAGTTATATTAATTAAATAGTAATCTCACCGATTGTAAATACAGCATGAACCAATAGATATGGCAGTATTTAAACATTCTTTAAGTAAGTCATAACAAATTACCTAAGATTGTGATCAGAAAAGTCTTAATTAAGTTATTGTGAAATAGTTTTTTGTTTTTAAATATTAAATGATGCGAAAGTCAACTTTTTGCTTCATTAATTCAAATTTTCCGCTCAAATCATATTTGGCGCCTTTCTGTGACCTTAATACAGTTCTTTTGGACATTAAATTAATTTATTAGTGAATTTGACATTAGTTTAGACCTTAAAATAGCATAAAACAGTCACTAAGTATGTTGGTTGTTCTCAAGTTATCAAAAATCGCGTGTTTCATACATTTCAATAAAGTTTAATTAAATTTTCTCTTATTTTTCAACTTAAGGACGCTTAATATCATCAAATATAATTAATAATTTCACAATCAGAATGACTTCGTTTACATCAAACAATAAGGCACCGTACACAGTTCTTGTAGAAGGTAACATAGGAAGTGGAAAAACAACGTTCCTTAATCATTTTAAGCAGTTCCAAGATGTTTGTCTAATGACTGAGCCAGTCGAGAACTGGAGAAACTTGAATGTAAGATACTCTAAATGCTTTATATAATAAACATAATGTCATGAAATCTCCTTTATATTAAATCTAGGGAGTAAACTTACTCGACCTTATGTATAAGAATCCTGATATGTGGGCCATGACCTTCCAAAACTATGTAACATTGACGATGCTTAAAAATCATATTAAACAGACAGAGAAGCCAGTCAAACTTATGGAACGATCAATATACAGTGCTAGATACTGCTTTGTTGAGAAGATGCTATCAAGCGGAATGATTCAGCCTGGAATGTACCATGTCTTGCAAGAATGGTATAACTTTATTTATGAACACCACAAAATCCAAGCCGATCTCATCGTTTACTTAAGAACATCGCCGGAAGTTGTATATGAGCGAATGCAAGAACGTGCACGAAGTGAAGAAAGCTGTGTTCCTTACCAATACTTAAAAGACTTACATGAACTCCACGAAAATTGGCTTATCCATGGACATCATTATCGGCCAGCACAGGTAATGTTTTCATCTTTGTAGTCCTTTCTATTGATCTAATTCATTGTGTCGATAAATAGGTGCTTGTTCTGGATGCTAATCTAGACTTGGATAACATAAATGCCGAATACCAAAGATCAGAAAACAGCATTCTACGTCCTATAGTAATTGAGAATACGAACCAACATAGCATATTAGCCTCACCTAGTAAACGTGAAAGAAAAATGTTTTAAGCTACGATAGATAAAGCAGAAGGTGCTCGTCATCACATTTATTTACTTTACTATAATTTCTCTTTTACACTAAGCTTTAGTCAGCATTTAATTATGTAGTTTTGTTTTGTGTGTGATCACTTCTTTGTAATATGATTTTTTTTATACAAATCAATCCTTAGCAAAACATTTCCAGTAATCAGCATAATTTTAATATTTTTCTTTATAAGTCATTGTCATGTGAAATGACTGGATCTGTATCCATTTCATTAATGGCTGCAATCTTTTTTTCTATGAATAAAAATAAAACTTGGCAATACATTTTTGCGGACAAACGGAGAAGAAACGTGTCTATACATGCTTTACAGGTTTATATAGTTCGTGCTGTTAATGTCTGTCAAACGTGATCCATTTTGAATTCATGGATTAAAATTAAATCAAGTCGGATGAAAATAATCGATTCGGATTAAATTTATATCCAGCACTTAATAGCTTATCACGTGACCGAAAATAATCATATCAAGCAGCATAAATGACGCAATGACTAGCTAGTATTTATTTTCTTATTTCGCGCGCTTTTTCGTGATAAAATTGTATTAATATTAAAATAATGTCTATTACTAAGAAACCTTTTACGATTTTCATAGAAGGAAATGTTGGATCTGGAAAGACCTCATTGCTTAATTATTTAGAGAAATTCGAGGATGTGTGCGTACTCAAAGAAGATGTCGAAGTTTGGACTAATTTTCATGTAAATTGATAAGATAACTGTGCTTACAAAAAATATAACAATTAATCTATGATCTTTTCAGGGATTTAATCTGTTGGATTTAAAATTTAAGAATCCAGACTATTTTAATTTCCCATTCCAAAGTATAGCCACGCTGACTCGATTAAGGCAGCATTTAAAAGATACAGCAAAGCCAATAAAAGTTATGGAAAGATCATTAATTAGTGCAAGGCACTGCTTTGTTAAAGCTCAAAGAATGTTAAATCTTCTACATGAAGGGATGTATTATGTTCTAGAAGAGTGGTATGACTATATCGATGAATATCACAAGATCCAGTGTGACTTAATCATTTACATTCAAACTAATCCGGAAATTGCATTTAAAAGAATCAAAGAACGAGGAAGAAAAGAAGAGATTCAAATATCACTTGATTACTTGAAAACTATTCATAAACTGCATGAAAATGTGTTTGTAGACGATACTGAACGTTTGCCTGCTGAAGTTGTCGTGATCGATGGGAATGTCGATGAATCAGACTTATTGGAGGAGTATAAGAAAATCGAGAAGAGGATCTTCAATTTGCGAATCAATTAATATTCTTAGAACTTGTCCATGATTCCTTACTTTTTTTGACTATACGTAAAATTTTAAGTTTCGAAGCACAGGAATAAATTTTTGTTTTTTTAGAACTTCAAAATTACGGTTTGAGGAACCTGTTAACAGAAAACAGAAAAACAGCTGTTTTTCGACAAAAATCTGTTAACACAAAACAGGTCTCAAAAACAGATCTGTTTTCTGTTTTTCATTTTTACATATAATTTACAGAAAAAAAAATTTCTTAATTTTTTGAAGAACCTTATATAGTTTTCAAGAATTCCAAATTGTACTGTATTTACTATTTTGCAATCGAAATTTTAAATTTGTTGAACCTTTTGTAGCATTTACAAAAGTTCAAAAATATAACAAATACAACAAAAGTATAACTAGGGTCGCCCCTAGTCCAAAATTGAAAATGTATTTCCTACTTGGTTCTTTGCACAAAAAAATTTTAGGATGTTTTATTTGTATTTGTTTTAAGCACTAGAATATGTATGCAAAGTTTCAATCCATTTGGATAAACCCTCAAAGAAAAAAGTGACAAAATTGATTTTGACTAGGGTCGCCCCTAGTCCAAAATTGAAAATGTATTTCCTACTTGGTTCTTTGCTCAAAAAAATTTTAGGATGTTTTATTTGTATTTGTTATAAGAATTAAAATATTTATGCAAAGTTTCAATCCATTTGGATAAACCCTCGAAGAAAAAAGTGACAAAATTGATTTTGACTAGGGTCGCCCCTAGTCCAAAATTGAAAATGTATTTCCTACTTGGTTCTTTGCTCAAAAAAATTTTAGGATGTTTTATTTGTATTTGTTATAAGAATTAAAATATTTATGCAAAGTTTCAATCCATTTGGATAAACCCTCAAAGAAAAAAGTGACAAAATTGATTTTGACTAGGGTCGCCCCTAGTCCAAAATTGAAAATGTATTTCCTACTTGGTTCTTTGCTCAAAAAAATTTTAGGATGTTTTATTTGTATTTGTTATAAGAATTAAAATATTTATGCAAAGTTTCAATCCATTTGAATAAACCCTCGAAGAAAAAAGTGACAAAATTGATTTTGACTAGGGTCGCCCCTAGTCCAAAATTGAAAATGTATTTCCTACTTGGTTCTTTGCTCAAAAAAATTTTAGGATGTTTTATTTGTATTTGTTATAAGAATTAAAATATTTATGCAAAGTTTCAATCCATTTGGATAAACCCTCGAAGAAAAAAGTGACAAAATTGATTTTGACTAGGGTCGCCCCTAGTCCAAAATTGAAAATGTATTTCCTACTTGGTTCTTTGGTCAAAAAAATTTTAGGATGTTTTATTTGTATTTGTTTTAAGCACTAAAATATTTATGCAAAGTTTCAATCCATTTGGATAAACCCTCGAAGAAAAAAGTGACAAAATTGATTTTGACTAGGGTCGGCCCTAGTCCAAAATTGAAAATGTATTTCCTTCTTGGTTCTTTGCTCGAAAAAATTTTTAGGGTGTTTTATTTGTATTTGTTATAAGCATTAAAATATTTATGCAAAGTTTCAATCCATTTGGATAAACCCTCAAAGAAAAAAGTGACAAAATTGATTTTGACTAGGGTCGCCCCTAGTCCAAAATTGAAAATGTATTTCCTACTTGGTTCTTTGGTCAAAAAAATTTTAGGATGTTTTATTTGTATTTGTTTTAAGCACTAGAATATTTATGCAAAGTTTCAATCCATTTGGATAAACCCTCGAAGAAAAAAGTGACAAAATTGATTTTTACTAGGGTCGCCCCTAGTCCAAAATTGAAAATGTATTTCCTTCTTGGTTCTTTACTCGAAAAAATTTTAGGATGTTTTATTTGTATTTGTTATAAGCATTAAAATATTTATGCAAAGTTTCAATCCATTTGGATAAACCCTCAAAGAAAAAAGTGACAAAATTGATTTTGACTAGGGTCGCCCCTAGTCAAAATTGAAAATGTATTTCCTTCTTGGTTCTTTACTCGAAAAAATTTTAGGATGTTTTATTTGTATTTGTTATAAGCATTAAAATATTCATGCAAAGTTTCAATCCATTTGGATAAACCCTCGAAGAAAAAAGTGACAAAATTGATTTTGACTAGGGTCGCCCCTAGTCCAAAATTGAAAATGTATTTCCTACTTGGTTCTTTGGTCAAAAAAATTTTAGGATGTTTTATTTGTATTTGTTTTAAGCACTAAAATATTTATGCAAAGTTTCAATCCATTTGGATAAACCCTCGAAGAAAAAAGTGACAAAATTGATTTTGACTAGGGTCGCCCCTAGTCCAAAATTGAAAATGTATTTCCTTCTTGGTTCTTTGCTCGAAAAAATTTTTAAGGGGGGTTTTATTTGTATTTGTTATAAGCATTAAAATATTTATGCAAAGTTTCAATCCATTTGGATAAACCCTCAAAGAAAAAAGTGACAAAATTGATTTTGACTAGGGTCGCCCCTAGTCCAAAATTGAAAATGTATTTCCTACTTGGTTCTTTGGTCAAAAAAATTTTAGGATGTTTTATTTGTATTTGTTTTAAGCACTAGAATATTTATGCAAAGTTTCAATCCATTTGGATAAACCCTCGAAGAAAAAAGTGACAAAATTGATTTTGACTAGGGTCGCCCCTAGTCCAAAATTGAAAATGTATTTCCTTCTTGGTTCTTTACTCGAAAAAATTTTAGGATGTTTTATTTGTATTTGTTATAAGCATTAAAATATTTATGCAAAGTTTCAATCCATTTGGATAAACCCTCAAAGAAAAAAGTGACAAAATTGATTTTGACTAGGGTCGCCCCTAGTCAAAATTGAAAATGTATTTCCTTCTTGGTTCTTTGCTCAAAAAAATTTTAGGATATTTTATTTGTATTTGTTTTAAGCATTAAAATATTCATGCAAAGTTTCAATCCATTTGGATAAACCCTCGAAGAAAAAAGTGACAAAATTGATTTTGACTAGGGTCGCCCCTAGTCCAAAATTGAAAATGTATTTCCTACTTGGTTCTTTGGTCAAAAAAATTTTAGGATGTTTTATTTGTATTTGTTTTAAGCACTAGAATATTTATGCAAAGTTTCAATCCATTTGGATAAACCCTCGAAGAAAAAAGTGACAAAATTGATTTTGTCTAGGGTCGCCCCTAGTCCAAAATTGAAAATGTATTTCCTACTTGGTTCTTTGCTCAAAAAAATTTTAGGATGCTTTATTTGTATTTGTTATAAGCACTTAAATATTTTTGCAAAGTTTCAATCCATTTGGATAAACCCTCGAAGAAAAAAGTGACAAAATTGATTTTGACTAGGGTCGCCTCTAGTCCAAAATTGAAAATGTATTTCCTTCTTGGTTCTTTGCTCGAAAAAATTTTTAGGATGTTTTATTTGTATTTGTTATAAGCATTAAAATATTTATGCAAAGTTTCAATCCATTTGGATAAACCCTCAAAGAAAAAAGTGACAAAATTGATTTTGACTAGGGTCGCCCCTAGTCCAAAATTGAAAATGTATTTCCTACTTGGTTCTTTGGTCAAAAAAATTTTAGGATGTTTTATTTGTATTTGTTTTAAGCACTAGAACATTTATGCAAAGTTTCAATCCATTTGGATAAACCCTCGAAGAAAAAAGTGACAAAATTGATTTTGACTAGGGTCGCCCCTAGTCTAAAATTGAAAATGTATTTCCTACTTGGTTCTTTGGTCAAAAAAATTTTTGGATATTTTATTTGTATTTGTTTTAAGCACGAGAATATTTTTGCAAAGTTTAAATCTATTTGGATAAACCCTCGAAGAAAAAAGTGACAAAATTGATTTTGACTAGGGCCGCCCCTAGTCCACAATTGAAAATGTATTTCCTACTTGGTTCTTTGCTCAAAAAAATTTTAGGATGTTTTATTTGTATTTGTTTTAAGCATTAGAATATTTATGCAAAGTTTCAATCCATTTGGATAAACCCTCGAAGAAAAAAGTGACAAAATTGATTTTGACTATGGTCGCCCCTAGTCCAAAATTGAAAATGTATTTCCTACTTGGTTCTTTGGTCAAAAAAATTTTAGGATGTTTTATTTGTATTTGTTTTAAGCACTAGAATATTTATGCAAAGTTTCAATCCATTTGGATAAACCCTCGAAGAAAAAAGTGACAAAATTGATTTTGACTAGGGTCGCCCCTAGTCCAAAATTGAAAATGTATTTCCTTCTTGGTTCTTTACTCGAAAAAATTTTAGGATGTTTTATTTGTATTTGTTATAAGCATTAAAATATTTATGCAAAGTTTCAATCCATTTGGATAAACCCTCAAAGAAAAAAGTGACAAAATTGATTTTGACTAGGGTCGCCCCTAGTCAAAATTGAAAATGTATTTCCTTCTTGGTTCTTTGCTCAAAAAAATTTTAGGATATTTTATTTGTATTTGTTTTAAGCATTAAAATATTCATGCAAAGTTTCAATCCATTTGGATAAACCCTCGAAGAAAAAAGTGACAAAATTGATTTTGACTAGGGTCGCCCCTAGTCCAAAATTGAAAATGTATTTCCTACTTGGTTCTTTGGTCAAAAAAATTTTAGGATGTTTTATTTGTATTTGTTTTAAGCACTAGAATATTTATGCAAAGTTTCAATCCATTTGGATAAACCCTCGAAGAAAAAAGTGACAAAATTGATTTTGTCTAGGGTCGCCCCTAGTCCAAAATTGAAAATGTATTTCCTACTTGGTTCTTTGCTCAAAAAAATTTTAGGATGCTTTATTTGTATTTGTTATAAGCACTTAAATATTTTTGCAAAGTTTCAATCCATTTGGATAAACCCTCGAAGAAAAAAGTGACAAAATTGATTTTGACTAGGGTCGCCTCTAGTCCAAAATTGAAAATGTATTTCCTTCTTGGTTCTTTGCTCGAAAAAATTTTTAGGATGTTTTATTTGTATTTGTTATAAGCATTAAAATATTTATGCAAAGTTTCAATCCATTTGGATAAACCCTCAAAGAAAAAAGTGACAAAATTGATTTTGACTAGGGTCGCCCCTAGTCCAAAATTGAAAATGTATTTCCTACTTGGTTCTTTGGTCAAAAAAATTTTAGGATGTTTTATTTGTATTTGTTTTAAGCACTAGAACATTTATGCAAAGTTTCAATCCATTTGGATAAACCCTCGAAGAAAAAAGTGACAAAATTGATTTTGACTAGGGTCGCCCCTAGTCTAAAATTGAAAATGTATTTCCTACTTGGTTCTTTGGTCAAAAAAATTTTTGGATATTTTATTTGTATTTGTTTTAAGCACGAGAATATTTTTGCAAAGTTTAAATCTATTTGGATAAACCCTCGAAGAAAAAAGTGACAAAATTGATTTTGACTAGGGCCGCCCCTAGTCCACAATTGAAAATGTATTTCCTACTTGGTTCTTTGCTCAAAAAAATTTTAGGATGTTTTATTTGTATTTGTTTTAAGCATTAGAATATTTATGCAAAGTTTCAATCCATTTGGATAAACCCTCGAAGAAAAAAGTGACAAAATTGATTTTGACTATGGTCGCCCCTAGTCCAAAATTGAAAATGTATTTCCTACTTGGTTCTTTGGTCAAAAAAATTTTAGGATGTTTTATTTGTATTTGTTTTAAGCACTAGAATATTTTTGCAAAGTTTAAATCTATTTGGATAAACCCTCGAAGAAAAAAGTGACAAAATTGATTTTGACTAGGGCCGCCCCTAGTCCAAAATTGAAAATGTATTTCCTACTTGGTTCTTTTCTCAAAAAAAATTTAGGATGTTTTATTTGTATTTGTTATAAGCACTAGAATATTTATGCAAAGTTTCAATCCATTTGGATAAACCCTTGAAGAAAAAAGTGACAAAATTGATTTTGACTAGGGTCGCCCCTAGTCCAAAATTGAAAATGTATTTCCTACTTGGTTCTTTGCTCAAAAAAATTTTAGGATGTTTTATTTGTATTTGTTTTAAGCATTAGAATATTTATGCAAAGTTTCAATCCATTTGGATAAACCCTCGAAGAAAAAAGTGACAAAATTGATTTTGACTAGGGTCGCCCCTAGTCCAAAATTGAAAATTGATTTTCTGTGGTGTACTTTGGTCAAAAAAACTTTTTAGATGTTTTTTTTGATTTGACATAATTCTGACATAAATCACATACCAATATTACTTTTTGTAATGCATAACTTAAAAAAAATCGAAATCTAAAATTTCGACTACCCCATCTGAATTTTGTTCATACTCTTCACTGTGAAAACCAAAAAACAAATTCTTTATCTTAAAACACTTGACAAAATAGCGACATAATTCAGGATTAATTACTTTTTAATAATATTTTAAGATTTACGAGAAAATGTGGTTCAAATAAGTGTGAAGTATGGACGAGATTTGGACCAAAATCAGCTATACTGGTTCATAGTGTTCCCGAGGGTGACAAAATTCAAACTAAGTGTTTTTGTAGCTGACATAATTATGATATAAATTAACTGCTTATAATCACCAAAAAGTTTCATTATCTTAGAGAAACACTTAGGATGACTCAGTTTATTTTGATTTCTATTTTGTTTTTAAAAATCAAAAACCGAAAACAGACTGTTTTTCAAAAACAGCTGTTTTCCACATACTCTATTCAAAAAAAAATCCTTAAAATAAATCAACATGCCTTTATATATATCATGATGATGGTGCATATTTAAAAAGGTTAGAAATGGATTTAGCATTTTTTATTCACTTTTGTCCTTTAAATAGAATACAGCATCTTCTTTTTGTATTCACATTTTTGAGGGAATTCCCAAAAAAACGGCATTCGGTCTTTGATAGCTTATCAGTATTTTCAGTTCTGCTGTTAATCATTGCTTTATTTTTGAGTGTTAAATTAAATCTTGAGATCAAAAATGTTTGTTTTCCTAACAAATTATCACATCCATAAATATATCTTCTTCTGATGTACATTACCGCCCAAAAATGTTCAATTATTTTTCAAACGAAAGAGTGAGTAATCCACATTCACCTTATTTGTTTAGTACATTTTTTTCGATACAAAAGCAATTTTGACAGGTTTTGACAGTTTTATGACTAATCGAGCTTGTATGCATGACGAAAGACACGAAGTTCTAGAGAAAATTTATTCTGAACATCTATTCATCTCTAAAATTCAATCTCCTAAGGCAATAAAGGAACTTGTTGGAATTTCAGTTAATCACGGCATGAGCACCCAATTTTTGAAGGTACAGCTTATTTTAATATTCTAATCATGCACTTGTGTTTATTTTCGCAAAAATAAAGAAGATACAAACGCAAATTGTACAAATTGTCATTGAATTTGACTATATAGACGGCTTTAATCGTGATTTGAAAATGTGATGCCATTTCGGTAATTTAAATTAATTTACAGTATTAAATTGTTTACTTTATGCTCTCTCAACACTTTCTGGACATTATTTACAGATAGCTCAAGGAACTTAATAATTACAGATTAAGTTGATTTTAAAAATTAAAATTTTAACGTACTTTTAAATTTTGAAAATTTTAAAAATTGAATTTTTGTAGACAAAAAGATTAATTTCAAAAATTTCCTCTAAAACCGAATTCAGCAAGTGATTGAACTTTAAGCAATTGAAGCCACGTGAAAGCTCTTTCTTTTAATGCCACTTGAATCAACTAGACTTAACTGCAAGACTTCAAAATTACAAATCAAAGAAACACCAAAAACGACATACAATTTAAAAATATTTTGGCAGTTACTTCAAATTTCCGGGTTTTCTCTCCTTCCGATTAACTTTTAAAGAAGTAAAGGATATGCAAAAATAGAGTAAGTATCTATAAATATTGCAAACTATTATTTAATTTGAGAATATCTAACGCAATTGAGTGTACAAGCAGACATAAATAAAAAATTGCAATACATCTCTATAGAACATTTATTCTCCTCTCTCTCTCGGTGCTTGACTGTATGTACGTAACAAACGTAGCTTTTTTCGTAAAATCTATAAAATACATTGTGCTTTGAGTGCCCAAGTCAGTTAATATCTTACGTTCAAATACAATATATCGTGAAAGGAGTGAGTGACAAAAAAAAAGCTTTCAAATTTAAGTGCTATAGGAGAAATTAAGGCAGAATGTTTCTGAAACAAACAAAAATTCTCGACTCTAGTCATCCAGACTTGATGAAGTAATATAAATTTTAATAATATTTTATTGACAAATGTGATAAAAAAAGAGGTTTTGGACATAAAAAGTTGTGAATCATCCAGAAATAATTAAGTAATTCATATCTATGGCAATAATATTTAAACAACTGTTAACAACGTCTCTGTTCTTGCGAATTATAATGTACATAGTCACAACAATGACGAATTATTGTCTTATAGTGAAAGTGACGACTATTTCATAGAATCTACCTTGTTCCTAGTAAGAAGCACTATCATTCATTAATAAAAGTGATAATGGAATGTTTCAATATGCTGCAAACAGTTTCTCAAGTCGGTGTTACTCAAGCGTTCCTTTGCGGCATTTTCTTAGAGCCATGGCATTGCCTGATTTAATGAACAGTTCTTATCCGAAAGTATCATCATGATAAGAACGACAATTTCTAGTTCAAGGTCACCAACCTACAACAAGCACCGACTATACTGTTTGTTTTTGAAAAAAAAAATGTTATTATTTTTTAACAAGCATATTGAAGTGCTGTGCCTACCTGTAACAATAACAAATTATATTGGGAAATTTTTCATTCACTATAAAGTCATCAATAAAAGACATCAGTTCTGACAGATTCGACTGACTGACAGTTACACAGCAGGTTCTTTCAATATGATCTTCAGAAAGATTGTGAAAGTCATTCAGATTTCTCCCAATTATGTTGTTGAACCGTATTTGTTAACGTCATTTGCAAAACAGGATGTAGCAAACTTCTTTTGGGGATTCATTTCTTTTTGTCGCTACATTTATTTGAAATTATGACAATTTTAACGGCCCAAAATAATTTGAATCTTAGCCGATAAAAATATTTTGAGCTTTTTTGAACCTTTAAAGTTCAAAAATTCCAAGAATTTTATTTAAAAAATTCCGATTATGTCAGTTAAACACGGAACCATATTGATCTTCGATAGCAAGATCACGCTTCTCTGTAATTGTCGTGCAATGAATAGAATTAAAGTCATGATTAAAATGAGTCAAGCTGTAAATTGCAGCGTCCATGTCTCTCTAGGAACTGCGTTTGGCTAATAATTCGTTTTTTTATAATCTGAGATGTCAGTCAGCCTTGTTAACCGGGATCATAATAATCATGAGCTTCCATAAATCTTTATTAACGCATCAATTTGTACTTTTGCATGACGAATGAGAAGTAAGCATTAGAATGTATTTTTTTTTACGAAACAAACAATTGATAAGTGTGAAAATAGAGATTTCATGATTACTGCCTGCAGACCTTGCAATTTGATCAGACAAAAAACTTACAAAATGCATAGAAATATCACGTCTTTTTATGTAATTGTAATGTCATTAAATACCTAAATATTTCTTAATAATAATAATTTAAACACGTTTATGCTGCAGACACGTGATTTCTTTCTTCATATTAATTTAAATGTTTTAAAGATACGGAGTCAGTTTCATGCATTTATTCTAAAAATTATCGACATCATCAGTGTGAATGCATTAATAAATAATTAAAGTAGCAAATTGCAATCTTTATTTTACAATCCATAAAAATATTATGCCCGTTCTATTGTCATAACTTTTAAAATAATATAATAAAATTATTTACCGACTTGACAATGAAAAAAAGGTAAAAATTATTCACTGACCCGCACACAAACAAATGATTTCAATCAGACTTAATCATTACATTTCGGTAAAAAAATATTTTGATTGTCATTTTCACGCTTCAAAGCACTCAATTGGATAGCTAGAACAGGTTTAGAAATTTATAAAGGTTTCGACACTTTATGTTTTTAACGGTTATTTAAAATTCAAAATATAGCAGTTTTTGAAATTTTAAGTGACAAGTTTGAAATCAAAAATTTGAATTTTAAAAAACCATTTAAATTTAAATATCTCAGAACAGTTGGAACTTTCTAAGCCTGAATACTTTTTAAGTCATCTATGAATCACATCCCTAAATAAACATGCACTTTGGCCCTTTTAATGAATGAAACAACTTATTCTTACAGACTTCGTCGTGGTATTGTTGAGAAATCTTTATGGATAACTTTAATATTTTGCATTTCAATCATTGGATGTCTAATCGGCGCTGTGTTCTATTACAAGATACAAGCTGAAAAGTTACGTAAGTATTTCGATAAGCGATCGCATAATGTTGGCACAATTTAAGTAACAAATAATGAAATTATTAACAATTAAATAAAGGTTCAATCAACTTTTATAATTGCAAATTGCTAGCATTAATGAAAGCTCGATTGACTAAAAAGAAGAAGCTTTTTATGTCTATCAATGTCTAATGATACATTTTTAATTATTCATTTATAGCGCCAAATGACACATTCAGCAAAATCGGTGCTAGATATTTAGGTAAATGTGTGATTATTAAAATTAATTATCAGCTTGACATAGGCACTAAGTACCGAATATTAGCGAATTAATAAGACAGTGATGTATCTTGTGAGATTATTAAATGGCATTTGTGCATGCATGAATCAAGCTTTTAAGTCCATTGACAGCATTATGATCAATATTACTGCTTTATCGACTTTCTATTCATCCACAACTTTTCACATAAGTTGGCATGAAAAATCTCAAGTCCAATAACTCGGCTCTGTTTCTATGTCAAAGTCAACATGCTGCTAAAAATAACTTTCAATTTTCGAAGTGGCTATTGCTCATTAATTGTACTGTTATTAATGGATTTTTTAAATATTCTTTACAGCCTCAGTATTTCAGTCTAAAATGAACAGCACCGTAAATCCATGCGATGATTTTTATCGATTTGCATGCGGACGATTTGAAAAGACAACAATCATACCTGACGATGCGGGAAGTGTCAATACAATAAATCTAATTGAGGGAAGAGTCATTGGGCAATTACATACACTACTCAATAATGAGATTCGCGATAAAGACCTACGGCCGTTTAAGCTTGTTAAGCAATTTTACAGACAGTGCATGAATACTTGTAAGTTTTGTAATTCTTGTGCTTTTTGTTACAGCTGCTGTTACTAAATGATATTTTATTTTGTTGTCTATGCAGCTCAAATTGAACAAACTGGATTAGAGTTTGTAAAGAAAAAAATGAATTTGACTCAAATGTGGCCAGTTCTTTCAGACGAATGGACTGAGGATTTATGGAATAATACTGAGTTTCATCGATATAATGTCAACTTTTTCATTGATACTGATCAGAAGAATACATCAAGAAGGACGCTTTATGTAAGTTTCAATTTTAATCCCTAGATTAATTGTTTCTTATTATGGACTATTCTCAACGATGAAATTTAAATTTACAGATTGGAGAAGGAAGCATTGGACTTAGCAGAGACATGCTTTTAAACGGCTTTCAAGACAAAATAGTTCAAAAATACCATCAATTTATGGTCAGTGTAAGTGTCCATTTTGGAGCTAATAAAACACAAGCTGAAAAAGACTTTACAGACGTTATTCTCTTTGAAATGCGCTTAGCTAACGTAAGTTCCATAATTAATCCATAAATCAAATTCTAAAGTTCATTAAAAAATCTCACAACTTAGATCTCAATGCGTAAGGAAGATATCAGAGATTCTAATAAGCTTTACAATCCAATGACTATTAAGGATTTGAAAGAGAGATATCCTTACATTGACTGGATTAATTATATAAATTCAAAGCTTGGAGAAGGCTTAACTTTTGATGAAACTGACCGAGTAATTCTACAAGCACCAAATTATTATGAGCAATTAGAGGCTGTGCTGAACAGAACCGAGAAGAGGATAATTGCAAATCACATTATGTGGCGTGAACTAGCTGAATACATTTCATTCCTAACGAATGACTTGCGTGAAATGGAATTTGAGTTTTACAAAACATTTACTGGTCGATCAATTAAGCAAGCTAGATGGAGTGATTGCATAAAAACGGTGTCAGGCATGCTGAACATTGCAGTTAGTTCAATGTACGTTCGCGAGCATTTTCAAGACAAAAGAATCAAGCATGACATTGGAGAAATTGTTGAGGAAATTTCAATTGAATTTGAGAAGCTTTTACATCAAAATACTTGGATGGATGAGCAGACTAAGGAAGAAGCTTTGAAAAAGCTTCATGCTATGAACTCGAATATTGCATATCCAGATGAGCTTTTTGATGACAAATTAATTGACAACTTTTATCATGACTTGAAACTTAATGAAACAAACTTTTTGCAGTCTGCGATTCAGATTGACAAGCACAATAAGAATTATTTATTTAAGAGATTCCATCAAGCAGCTAAGAGAAATGATTGGATTGATCAAGCATCAACAATTTATGTCAACGCAAATTATCATGGAAAATCTAACAGCATTCGTAAGTATTTGGGGTGTGCCTATATAACTCTTTGAACTAATCTTAATTGATGTTATGCTCAATGTGCTTATTTATTTTCAGAAATAATTGCAGCTATACTTCAGGGTCACTTTTATGCACCAGATCGTCCATATTATATGAATTATGCATCAATTGGATATGTTATTGGACATGAAATAACTCATGCATTTGACGATAATGGTAGACTATATGACTCGGAAGGGAATTTGATGAATTGGTGGGATCCAGAGACAACAGAGGCTTTTAAAGATAAGAAGCAATGCTTTATTGACCAATTTGGAAATTATACAGACAAAGCAACTAATATGAGCATTAACGGAATAACTAGTCAGGGAGAAAATATTGCAGATTCAGCTGGTTTGAAGCTTGCATATAGAGCATACATTTCAGCTATGAATAAATTAAAGACTAGAGATCCAATTCTACCAGGATTACCATACAGTCCTGAACAACTTTTTTGGCTATCAGCTGCTCAAACTTGGTGCAGTGTAGAACGTCCTGAAGTTAAGAAAATTCAAATTCTCACTGATAATCATGCTCCGTCAGAATTTAGAGTTATAGGAACACTTAGCAATTCTGAAGAATTTGCAAGAGATTTTAATTGTGACTTAGGCACGCCGATGAATCCTGTCAAAAAATGTGAAGTTTGGTAGGATGACAATTAAAAGATAAGTTTAAATCCCAAAGATTATTTAGGTATTAGATCTAAGAAAGTGGTTCGTTGACTAATGATGATTTATGATTCGTGTCCATTTTCCAAAAAAAAAAAGTTAAAGAGTGACTGTTGATGACTTTCCATTGATTTGTGACTGAATTTGACATCAACTTATTCAAATTTTGAGTAAACCCTTCAATTTTTTGAGTTTACTTCAGACTGTTGCTGTTATAGTAACTTTGTTGATGACTTTTCACTGATTTGTGACTAAAACTAAGCCTTAAAACCTCAAAATTTTCAATTAATGAACATCATTAGTTAATGTCCCCACGTGTAGAAATTAAAAGTAGTGATTCTTAATTTTTATGTAAAATTCTCCTAAATTAACATAATTGGGAGATTTTTTATTGAAAAATTAAACCCATTGAACGGCAGTTATTAATTATAGCTACTATTTTTTTTTTAATTCTTAAGAAACAAATCTAATTATTTTTATATAAAATGATAAAAGTTCCTTATTTATGTTTTTATTACATTTCCATAATTTTAGAAATTTAGAAACGATTTCTGTGATTTCATTTGCAATGAGTAAAGGAACACGACGTTTGACTTGTCGAATCGAATACAACATAATGAAAATTGTATGTCCTCGATTCATTCATCAAAAGCAGATAGAATCAATCAAAATTCTTTGTCACTTTTTTCATATTTAAAAAATATAATCACATTTTTTTTAAACATTAAGATTCATAAATATTTCTTTGATTGATTTCTATTAAAAATGTACATTTTCAAATGTATTGCTACATATGCAGTATTACCTTAGTTCCTATAATTTAATTATTATCGTAGTTTCCTTGTGCACTAATAGTTTTATGATCCAATTTCTCTTGTTCTGATAACCAAGCCATCTACGAATTTAAAAGGAAGTATTAGAAATAAAGCACAGAATTTAATTAAACAATAATATTCGTACCTTTTGTTTATGTTGATATACAGCAGATTCACATCTATCAAGAACCATCTTTTCAGTAAGAATTCCATTTTCCGAGGAATAGACAGCGGCTTGCCATGAAACACCCAATTTTGATATTTCACGACCTGACATACCTTCACACATTTTAGCCATTTTATTACAGACTGTACCGTAATCCCACTGTTCGACCTTAAAACGTTTCTTTCCTTCTGCTGCTGGTTGAAGAACATATTTGTCAAAGTAAAGACGCATAAGACGATCTCGTTCTTCAGGTCCAGGTAATGAAAATTCAACCATTTCATCCAACCGATCATTAATGGCATAATCAAATTGTTCGGGTGTATTACTAGCAAGAACAAGCATAAATTTGGGATTTTGTTCACCAGTTCTGTAAAGGAAGGCATTAAGAGCAGCCCGTAAATCCTCAGAAATTCTTTCGCTTGATCTCTTTCTCAAAAATGCATCGGCTTCATCAATAAACAGTAAAAGACCTCGACGAGAAGTTGTTGCCCAATCGAAAACTTTGTGAATTTCAGTTACTGCTTCACGTCCAGTGGGAAGAACATCACCTCCAGTCATTATTGCATAATCCATTCCTGAATGCTGTGCTAATTTTTTAACAAACATTGTCTTTCCAGTTCCCGGTGGTCCGTGCATTAAAATATTTCTATATAATCCTTGATTTTGTTTTGTATTTTTTGTAGCAATTGCAATATCACGCAATCTTTCTTCGAGCTTTGGTCTCAGTACAACTCCTTGAAGAGCATCGAGTGGTTTTCGTTGGAATCTTTTTATAGTCTGAACTGGATGTTTAAATGCTTCCAATATAGAAAAACGAGATGTTTCGTTAATTAGTGATGGTTTGCCTATTCTAGCTTCGATATAACGAGCTGTAACTCCTGTAGTGCCTTTCGCGGTATAAATACCTAAAGCTAATAATGATAAACCACCCGCAGCAGTCATAACTTTACTCCAATCAGTCAATAAAGCCTCAAATCCAGTTCCAATTACAGTTCCGGCAGTTTTAATTCCTTCTAATAATGTTACCCGACTTTCTTGTGCCTTTAAACGTATTTGTTCTAATGTCAAATCTCTATTTTCTCTCTCAACTTTTGCCCTTGCCCTCATTTCAGCTTCCAATAGCTTTAACTTATTTTTTTCACGCATTTCCATTTCATGCTCAATTGTGGACCGTCTCATTGCTTCCTGCTTTGCAACTGAGTCTTCCTGCTTACGAAGATTATCATCATTTGCTCTTTGTTGTTGTTGAAGTTGATCCTCATAACGTTTTCTAGCCAATTGATCTTGATATTGTGCACGTTGAGCTTGTTGTTTTGTCTCTTCCGCTAATGTTTTTCTTCTTTCTTCGTGATCAATACGTCTTTGGTCGACTTTTGCTTGTTCCATTGCCGCTTCATATTCCTTAACTTTAACTTGATATTCTTGTTGTCTCGTTACTTCTTGTAATTTTGATAATTCAAGTGCTTCTTTTGCATTGCCTATAAATTAAATTCATATTTCAATGTTATAACTATCTATTACATCATTAATTTATTGACTTACTTGATCTTTCTAATGTTCGAGCTGCATCTGCTGCCCTTTCTAAAGCGCTAGAATCAAAACGATATGCTTCCATTGCTTTTTTTTCAGCTTTAGTAAGCTGTTGATCATTTGAAGCTTGTCCTGCTGTATTTACAGAACCTTCTTGAGGCATTTCAGGAATATTTTGTTTTTTCACTCCAAATAACCACGACATCTTTCAGAATAACGCTTTTTCTGTTCCTTACTGTTTAATCTTTAACTTTATTGTTTTATATTTCACTTAATTAAAGTATTTACTGTGTTTTTTAGAATTTATTTTGTTCTTCAATTTTTCCAAATAAACACGAGTTTAAAAATGAGGGGGCCTCGTCACAAATAAATTGTACGTGAGTAACGCTATGTTTTTCTTGATCATTTGTTTTCCTTAAAAGTGATAAATTCAAGAGTTACTTTTTTAAAAAGGAAATTGAAATACCTGGAAATACCCATCTATTGTTGTACAATTCTTTTGTTGAAACTTTACAGTCACTTAAAAAAATCACTTTAACTAAGCGTCACTTAATATTGTTTATTTATATATCACCAAATGTTTTATTTAAGGTCAGAAGCTTAACTCTGTTCTGTTTAAGTTTATAAAAACTTTAAAATTGTTGTGTGCACATACCTAAATGAACAAAATTAAGTTAAAATTTTTTTAACGATTTTAATTTATTTTGATTTTTTTCTGTTATAATTTGTTTGTTTACAAACAAAAATGAAAATGAAATTTAAAAAGTCACGAAAATATCACTCAATAATGATGTAAAAGCTCTTAAAATAGTCAGAACAGCTAATATAACATCTACTTTTCTTATTCAAATCTTAATATTTGGGATTAATGATTGAATAATTAAGAATTCAGAGGATTTAATATTTGATGTTTTGTAAGATAGTATTAGTGAAGCATTCAAAGTATTTTTTTCCGTTAAGCAAAAATCCTCAAAAAAACGTCGAGGCTCAGGGTTTTCAACTATACAATCTATCGTTAAAATAATTTGACAGTTATTTTTTTATTTGAATTAAGTCAGTCAAAAAGAACAAAATTTTAGAAGAGAATAAATTTATTTTAATAGTTTTTGTGAATTTAATCAAGTTACACACAATTGGTGCCTTTTGATAATCAGTAAGTTAGTATTTGATGAGAAAATGAACACGAATAAAGTGCAGGTTGGCAAGGAAAATCCTTTAGACCGAAAGAATCAGATATCAAACCAGCAACAACAATTTAAAACGGCAGTTTTAACGAGTAATAATCAATCGAATGTAATTAAGAATCCAAATCACTTGAATATAAGGCCTATCCAAAAGACATCAAATGATCATCCCCCACAACAGCTTTCAGGACAGTATCAAATGGGCCAAACCCAACCGAATAAAAAGGCATGGTCATTAGTTAATTTTGATATTGGAAGGCCTTTGGGTCGTGGAAAGTTTGGAAACGTCTATTTAGCGAGAGAAAAGGAAACGAAATTTGTGATTGCTTTAAAAGTACTGTTCAAAAAGCAAATAGCTGATCAAGGAATTGAGCATCAAGTACGACGAGAAATTGAAATCCAAAGTCATTTGAGACATCCGAATATTTTGAGAATGTATGGATTCTTTCATGACGATGCTCGTATCTACTTGATTCTAGAATATGCTCCAGGTAACTTATATTATTCTACCTGAATAGATTTTATATTAAATTGAAATTTTATTATTAAGGTGGAACCCTTTTTAATGCATTAAAGAACCAGCCAAATCATAGATTTGATGAAAAAAAGTCTGCAAAGTACATAAAGTGCCTTGTTTCCGCCTTAATTTATTTGCACGAAAGAAATGTTATTCATCGTGATATTAAGCCTGAAAATCTCTTGCTTGGGAATGATGATCAATTGAAAATTGGTAAGTTCCTCGAAACGTTGCATTTATAGATTGTGACTTATTAAATATAATGTTCTGTTTAGCTGATTTTGGATGGTCTGTTCATGAGCCAAATTCTCAACGTACAACATTGTGTGGAACTATGGATTATTTAAGTCCAGAAATGGTCCAAGGAAAGCCACACACAAAGAATGTCGATTTATGGAGTATTGGAGTATTAGCCTATGAATGTAATATAAGCTGATGTTTAATTCTACAAATATTAGTAAACTGTTTATTTTAAATATCCACAGTACTCGTTGGATCAGCACCATTCCATCACGAGAATTATGACAAGACATACCAGAAGATTATGCGTGTAGAATATGTCTTGCCGCAATATATTAGCAAAGCAGCTGCTCATTTAATCAAAAGTCTCTTAGTCTTCAATCCAGACAAACGAATGCCGTTGGATCAAGTTGCAATACATCCATGGTTCACATCCAATATTAAGTAAATTAGTTTAGCTCAAATGATAATCAACTGCCAATATTGGATCTTTAAAATATGTACATGGAAATCGATAAGGATAGCAACTGAAGCTTAAAAATGCATTCTAATCCTTTCATTATATTTCTAATTCCTTCAAAATAATCGTTTCTAATACAATTAATAAGCCATATTAAGTTTTAAACATTCTTGTAGCTAATTTACATGCACTAAGCATTTACTCAGACATTAGTCGATAGATGAAAAGGATGTGAAATATGTTTTTTGTCAAGTTATAATAATATTAACAAATAAAGGAACAAAAAAATTTAACGGTCAAAAAAAGTATGTGTGCAGCATAAGGTCATTATATAAATCAGGTAGTGCTGAAGTCAAATAAAAGAAAAACATTAGCAGAAAAAGTGTCACGAAATAAATTTTTGTGGAATCAATTTTAAAATGAAGGAATCCAGAAGCAATTAATTAAGTTATTTCTATTGATATCAATTTTATAAAATCTGAGCAATGATACAGACGAGGATAAGCTTACTAAGGAATAAGTTTTTCTTTTTACTTGGCATCATTATTTTACTTTCAATATTCTTTATTGCTTTAACTAATTTCCAAACACACGAAAATGATTTAATACAAAAGATTGAGAAACTTGAACTGCAAAATGAGGCAGTGAACAAACAAGTTGAAGGTAAATTAGCGTAAGGATAATGATTTGTGTAAATATTCTAACATTTTTCTCACATGAATTAGTTGAGAAAGAACAACAACATCAAAGAATATTAGCTGAGAGACAATTGTATGAGAAAACGAAGAAGGAATTGAATCAAAAATTAAGGGAACAAAAGGAAATATCTGATAAGGAAATCCATCAATCTCAACTTCGTTTTAATTCATTACAGCAACAATATAAGATTTTGGTGACTAAACATGATGATCTTGATCAGCATTGCACGCAAGTCCAAAAAGATTTATCAACTGAAAATGATGAGTTAAAGAGGAAACTTGATCATATTCAGGCTCAAAACTCGAAAATACAGACATCAAAAGATAATGACATCACAGTTTGGAAGGTATTGGATGCTACATAGTACTATTATTATCTCTTAATTGATTTCACTGAACTTCATTAGGGGCCGTTCACTTATTACGTTACGCAAAAAAAAACTTTTTTCACCCCCCCCGTCCCTTTTTGTTACAATATGTTACAACTCACACCCCCCCCCCCCCCCCTGAACGTTCATAATTTATTTTATCATTAAAAAGGTGGAAAATTTAAAACAAATTTTTTTCGTGAACTTTTTTTTAAAAGACAGACGACAGTCAGAATGTTACATACTTCTTGACCACCCCCCTCCCCCCCTATGTTACAATTTTTCAACCCCCCCCCCCTCCCCCTAAAATGCGAACGTAATAAGTGAACAGCCCCTTATCACATTTTCTTATTTGTGCTGTTTATTACTTAAAACAGAGTTGCGACGACAGCTACCTGTCACAGGTAAAGGTGACAGATTCTGTCAAAAGATCACCTGTCATAGGCCGTTACCTGTTCACAGGTCAAATTTTTCCACCTGTCACAGCTCTGACCTATCGCAGGCCCCACCTGTGACAGGTCGTCATCTGTTGACAGGTAGAAAAAATCGAAATTTTTCTTCTCTTGTGAAGTATAAAGATTTCATATAAAATTCGTCAATTTTTTTCTTCCTCAAGTCACTGGTTCAAATCTCACCGCAAGCAACTTTTCTTTTTTTTTCCTTTTTTATGATTTGTTTTAAAATTTTTTTGATAAAATATTAAGTTTTATGATAAATTTTTCCATTTTCATATTTTATTTTTTCATTTTCCAAATTTTAACTTGTAATTTAAATTTTTTCCATATATTTTCATACAAATTTAACTTTTTTTGTCCTAATTTGTTTAAGTTTAATAAGCTAAAATTTGACATATTTCTCAAAATCGTAATCCTGCATCGTAATTTATTATATATTTCGACTTTTTGCGGTCTCGAATGAGTAAGTCTATACTACTTTTCACATTTTATGCCATTTTTTGATCCAGGATTATGATTTTAAATCTAGAAATAGAGCCAGGTGGAAAAATTTGACCTGTCAACAGGTGGAGTCCTGTGACAGGTAGAACCTTAGACAGGTCAGACCTGTGACAGGCAAAAAAAATTGATCTGTGAACAGGTAACGGTCTGTGACAGATGGGCTGTTTTCGTTGACCTGTGACCGATCGCAACTCTGACTTAAAAACACTTTAGCAATTAAATTTTGAAAAATTCGTACATTTCATTTCAGTTTATATTTTTGAATTTCAAAAACTCGTTATAATTTAAATTTTTAAAAACCGTTGAAACTTTTAAATTTTAGATGAAGTATGAGAACGAAAAGAGTGAAAAGGAGAAGCTTCAAGGGCTATTGAATAGTAATAATGGAAACAATGCAAATAGTGTGGCATCAGAGAATGCTGACGAGCATCAAGAGCTCATAAAATTAAAGTATAAGAATTATCAACTCGAACAAGAGATTAAAGATTTAAAGAAGAAACTTCATATCAATAATGAGAACAATGAGGAGCATAGACAAGTTCCTGCACCTGAGATTAATAATAAAGCCATAGATAAAAGTTTTCAAGAGCAAATTCCAGTGAGTGATGATCATTACAAAATTCCAATTAACATCCGTAACAAATCTAAACTAGTGGTGAAGGAAACCTCTTCTTCTTCTATTAACATTAAGAAAAGTAGTAGTAAAGGCATTATTAATTCAGTGGAAAATTTTCAGATAATTCCTGAGCAGATTGTCGATAGTAAGAATGTCCTACAACAGCCAGCACTATTAAATGGAAAATCAACGACAACGACAACACCTACATCAATCATAAATAATAATAGCAATAAGAAATTAGTCATTCCTAATAAGTTAACATCATCGACTGCTGCAAGTACAACAAAATCGTCGAGAAAGCTTCCCAAATTTGTCTTACCCATACCTGACATTAAGAATGACGATAGTGAGGTAGCAAAGGAACCAGTTAAAGAGGATAAAAAGCAAATTCTCGACGAAACATTAAATAAGCCACAAAACGAGGACATTAATGATATTGAGAATGGCGCAAACGAGATCAACGACAATGACTTTAATATCGAAGAAAAGAATCAAAGGAATTTTGATAATATGGATCCAGATAAGAATATGGTGAATAATGCAGCTGAGGAGTTTGATGTACATAAACCAGCTGAAAAGAAGTCACTAGGCAATGAAGAAATGGATTTAGAAATTATCAATCGACCTCCAAATAACGGAAATGTTAAGGATAAATTAAAGGACGAAATAGCTAATGATCATGGAAAGGAAGAAGCATATGCAGAAGAGGACTTACATTTAGAACAACAAGACGAAGATTTAGGTGATATTGGTGAATATGATGATCCAAATGCACTAAAGAATCAAGGTGTAGCGGAACGAAATTAAAGTACATAAAAATATATATCGAATAATTCCTTAGGAAATTTTTAAATGCATTTTTTTTTATAGTTTCTAATGTGATCTCAATCACCACAATTGAACTTAAGCTATATCTTTTACTACTCGCCGTTCACTTGTTGTTCAACGTTTACGTGTAATATTATTTTTTTTTTCTATATATATATTAAATAGGTAGTAAACTTATACTTACAGATCCAAGTACTTTTCATGAAATTCATTTTCATTTATTATGTTCTCATTTTATTATCATTTGCTATATAGATCTAGACGTAACTGTGAGAAGAGAATATGACATTTTTAGTTGTGAACAAATGTTATGGGAATTTTGAAGGAATAAAAGAAGATTTTTACAAGAACTAGCACTTAAATAGCTTACTTAATAATTATTATTTGCAGTTCTTCTAACCCAAAAACGTGCTCTAAAGTCATCGGAACATGTCAAGAATGCTGGTGCAACGGGTGAATGAATTAGGTATCTAACTGGACCATTATGTCCTAAACTCATTAAATGACATCGACTTGCATTTCGAGAATTCCATGCACAAAGTGATGTTGTAGCTTCGTCTGGAAAGAGGACATAATCTTCTGTATGATTAAAAACTGCTTGTGTGCTATGTTCTTGTTTGCCTGTAGATCCAGCTCCTGTATAAGCTATTAATGCACGACTTGTACTTAATTCCCAGAGTTTTACAAGAGAATCTTTTCCGGAACTTAGCAAATATTTGCCATTTCTTGAGAATGATATTGAATAAATGTCTTGTCCATTATGAGCATCAGCAAATGTGTTAATACATCGTCCACTAATTCCATCCCAAACCTTAATCGATCCATCAGTGCTGCCTGTTGCATACAATTTACCAGTCGCAGCATATTTTACACAATTTATTGCTCCTTTATGATGCTGTGCAGGAATTGCGCTAACAAAACATTGTCCTGTATTAACATCATAGACTCTTAACAAATGATGATCAGTTCCAACGGCAATAAAGTCACCAGATGGATGAAATGATAAGCATCTAACTCCTTCACAGTCACTAAATGTTCGGTGAGCTTTCTTTACACTTGGCTTACTAATATCAAAAAACTTGACAGTACAATCTCGAGATCCACTTGCTAGAATATGTAACGATGGATGAAACTCGAGATAAGCTACTTCCTCTGTGTGATCATACAATGTTCTAAACAATAATGTAAAATTACTAGGAATGAATATAGTCAATAGTTTAGTTTTATTACCTTATTACTGGATGTCCTTGCTGTTCTCGTCCAAGCTGCTCACTATTTTCGTCTGGTGCTGATTTCGCCAACATTCTATCAACATCCAAGATTTTAATTGAGGCATCGACAGATCCAGTAGCAACTAATTGTCCATCAAAACTGAATGATCCAGATCTACAAGCTTGTTTGTGACTTGTTACATATGCTGTTTCATAAGTAGCTGGCTCGGGAGAATTGGCAGTTCCTTCAGCTTGAAATTCAAGATCTATGCCTGGATTTTCATCAATATCAATGTCTTTCTTTTCATTCTGTAGTCCATTGATCATTATTTGATATAAACGATTACTCGGTGGACATGGTGGATCTGTACGAAGACTGTTGGCTAGTTCTGCGGCAATAGCAGCAAATCCATCATAGAACAATTGACTATTTATATTTGGAAGATGATGATTTTATTTTGCCGGTTCCAATAATCACTTAATTATATAATAAATGTTACCTGATAATCAGCCGATGAAGGATCTCTCGATTCTTGGTCGTATTGTTCGGATCTAATATCTCAATATCCTTCATTTCTAATTCAATTAAGTTCCCAGAAATTTGATAAAAGTTTGTCAATGTTTTCCTTCGACAGTGTTGTTACCAAAATGGCATGCAAGGTAGTGTTCAAAGCTATAAACAAATCAGTCACGATTTCAAAATGTTTCATTTGTTTCTATTGTCATCAAGTCTGAAATACAAATAAGATTCAACTGTCAGCGCCATATAGTTCCTGACTCAGAATGTAACATTATTATGATAATACCCAATAGCCAACTCTGTACCAAACACTAACACACTTTCAAACGTTTGCATCCTCAATAGAGAGGCAAAATCAAGTTATAGACGTTGCTGGCACTTCTATTAAGCGATTTAGAAGCATTTACCTCTTATAGATCATGTCAAAAACTTAATTAAAGTTCATTTTGAGCATTTTTGAAGATTTTGCTCAACGACTTTTTGAAATTCAAATTTAAGCTCCTCAAAAAAAGTGTAGCTATCCAGTGTCACTAATGTGTCATAAGCTTTTTTTTTGTTAATTTAACTAATTCAACTTAATTATTTGAATGAACAAACATAATTATTTGTTACTAGAATGTTATAGCTACAAAATGAAGTGAGAGCATAAGCCTTCGAGTGCTTACGACGCAGAGTTAAAGACAGTCGGACAAGAGATACTGTGACGCACATTGTTGGAATAAAAGTCGCTAAACAGTGAACATCGCGCTCATTGTAATCAGTAAAATCACGAAATTAATTAAAAATAGCATTAAACAGTAATATTAATCATGTCTGAACAAGTTTCACCAACTACAACTAGCTCATCACAAGATGAAAATCAAAATAAAGACACTCCGGTAAGTAGATGCTTAAAAAAAAGCCAAAATGATAAAAGAGGACGCTCGAAAAAAAAAACTTGGAAATCGGCATTCTAAAATGCTCAAATATAATAACCTTTAGAGAACGAACAAAAGAAGATTGTGCGCAAAGTATTAGATTTAAATGTAGTGTATTAATTTCATAAGACAATGAGATAGCCTAAAAAGACAATAGATGCATTAAGTGTAAAAAGTAGCGCAAAATTATGAAGTAATAATGAGTGCAATTTTAGGTATATGTTATACACATAAACCGTTTACATACACAACCACGCACCTCTATGTAATTCCTTTTACTTACTTCCATATTGGAAGTTTGGATGTTCTGTTCGTTTACATTATTTTTGTGTTGTGTCATGTTCTCGTTCTCACTTTTTGGCGCTTTCTTCATCGCAAGATTGTTTTTATCCGCTTTTCTTCTTCCATATTTGACCACGACGACACACATACCGATCATATAATGTCACACATTATTCATGTAAATCCATTCGCCTGTTACACGTTCACTTGTTGTTGGTAACGTCAAGAATTTACTTTTCGCTGTGTATGATAAGATGCATGTGTACTACATTATTATTTTATGTATTATGCAAGCGATTAATTTCATCACACATTAGCTACATATAACTACCTAGAAATACATTAACAATACAATTTGTATTATATATTTTTAGACAAAGCGAACGCCATCAAAACGCAAGAGTCATATTGAGCGTATTCAGGAAGAAAGCAAAGAATTGTTGAAGAATATGGGAGTCGAGGAATTGAGCGATACACGCTCAAGTCGACGAACTCGATCGAGTACGAAACAAACACCTATAACTCCTGTTACACCGCCAACTCCAAAGAGAACTCCAACAACTCCAAATTCGTCGAGACGTGGACGAAAAAAAGAGGAATCGATAGCTTCCGAGAATAATGTGGAAAGCTCAGAGCCATTGTCACCAAAAGTACCTCCTCGAAAGCGACAAAAGCTTTCCGAAACGATTAAAGAGGAAGAAGAAAAGGCAACAACAGAGGATAATGAAGTCAATGAATCTACTGAAACTAAATCTGTGGCTCTAGAAAGTGTAAAAGAAAAGATCGAGGAACCAGAAAAGATTGTTGAATCCTTAACGGCGGAAAAGGAAAAAGTTGACGATAAGAAAAAGGACGAAATTGATGCTTCAAAACCAGAAACATCAGAAAAAACTGACGAGGATGTTAAAATGGATGTCGATGAGCCTATTGCTGAAAATAAGCAAGCTCCAAAAGTGGAAGAAAAACCTTTAGAAGTCGCTGAAAGTACCAGCGAAGAAGAATCAACTAAAAAAGTACAAGAACCTATTGTCGAAGAAAATAAATCACTGCCTGAAAAGTCAGACGAAAATGAGGCTGAAGTAGCTTCAAAAGAACCCGAAAAACCAATTGAACAGACAAATGTTGAAGCTATGGAAGTCGATTCGTCATCATCAGCTCCAGTTATTAGCGAAAACATAAAGGAACCTGAAAAAATTGAATCCAACAATGAAGTTGTTGAGTCAAAAGATCTTGAAACAACTGTATCATCAGACAAAAAGGACGAGGAAGTAAAAGTTGACGATAAGGAAGCTTCATCTAGTATTGAAAAAAAGGACGAGCCTGTTCAATCAGAAGAATTACCTGAACAGAAAGAAATTTTGGCTGAATCGAGTCCTATCGAAGAACAAGTCAATCAGATTGAAAGCACTACACAAGAACCATCAAAAGTAGTAGTGGATGAAAAACCAACGGAACCTGAAAGCTCAACAATTACAATTACGGACGAAAAGGATGTAGCGGCAACTTTAAAAGAAAATGATAATGTTACAGTCAACGATGTCGAAAAAACAGCAGAGCCATTAACACAAGAAGCGTCAAAAAAGCTTCCTATTTCAGCTGAGGAACCAGTGGAAACAATTTCATCGTCAAATGTCGAGACAACAAAAATTGAGACATCACAACAAGGTGAGGATGGTGAATCAATAACAACGAATTAAAGGTAGTTTAGCAATGATAATTAGCAACCCAAAAAATCATTCATTAATTACAGATGAGCCGAAAATTGTAACTGAAACTGCTGAATAGAATCACGTCGCACATCTCACTCACTTCTTAAACTGTTGCAATCGAACGACATTTTACAGTGAAAACACAATATGAACCTACCTAAAAAAATTATTACATTAAAATTGAAAACAATCATATCAAATTTCAGCAGACATTAAAAAAACGAGGAAAATCGCCAAATTAAATTTAGAGAAAAATGAAAATTCCGAGAAAATATTTTGAAAATTAAGAGAAAAAGATTTTTTTTTGCCATAAACAGTTTAAATAGTTATTAGGAAATTATGTTATATGTTGTAAATAACATAAGCTGTAATTTTGAATGAATCCGGTGGTAAATTGTAAGAAAATAATGCTTGTTAAATTGATCATCTTAAAGTCTGTCGTAGAACACAAATCCGGAATAACATAAATCATTTTTTTTTCATCTCAATTTTTTGATAAATCTAATAATTTTGTTAACAAGAAACAATTTTTAAAAATCTATAGAAAATTATGAAAAATAATAGTTTAAATTTAGTGCGAAATTTTCCCTTAACAACCATATTTTTTGATATTTAATATGTAAGTCATCTTTTACTATATCGAAAATGAAACGTTGTACAATATTATTAAAGCAAAACTACAAAAAAAACAATGATTTTTATCACAAAAGAAGAAATGAAAAAATAAAGAAAAGAATGATTAAATGGGTTTCAAATTAGGTGTTAATAATAATAAAAATAATAATAATAATACTATTAATAATATATGGACATTAAAAACAAAGATCCTCACAACAAATCATTTTGTTTTTTACTTTACTTATGAGTCTACGTTGGCCAACTTGATATAATGATTTACAGATTATTCTAATATTGTAAGCAGTTTATTACAGAGGAATTAAGTAAAGTAAAAACAAAAAATTGTATATTAAAACAATTCGCTGAGTAATAAAAAGGGATTTAAGAAAAATAAAATAATCAAAATATTTCTTTGACTGTACAAAAAAAAAAGTAAGCTCAGGTCAATGACATCATGCTCTTGATAACAGACAGGCAACAGAGAAAATGTACGAAAACACACTTGTTGAGCAAAAGAAGTTTGGCGGCAAGGAATTTGACAATAGTTATATAATTCCTATGGTTCGTTCGTTAATGACGTCCATAAAAAATAAGGGAAAAGCTTCTTTAAAGGACTGACATCGTTTATGAACAAGACTTTTAAAAATTATATTTAAGTTTAAAATTTTAGATTAATTGACAATTTTGTACGCAAGATCTTTGTGACTCATATTGCACAAAAACAGCTTTATATTTTATTTTACTTTTCTACACAACACCTTATGTTATGCAGCCTGTCTAAGGAGCGTACGAAAAGTATTAATTACCTCTGACTGACATACTTGAACCATATCAACTCATTAGCTTAATTTGACAAAATGTAAAATTATTTAAATTAACATAAATCACATGAGAAAGCTTTAACATCATCAATAGCTGATCATCAGTAGCTACATAAAATCACAGACCAACTCTTGTTTGATCTTTAAAATGTTTGCAATTTGGCTGCAGCAATTAATTTCAGAGGACATTTATATTTTAATGAAATTTCATAACATTGTGAGACAGGCATGATTATGATGATCAAAATTGAGACAAAAACATTTAAATAAGCGGATAGACATTTTTATGTGTTGGCTCACGAATAAACTTAATTAAGGACTTTTTAACACTAATAAGATGCAAATCTATTACCTACTATCCGGGAGAAGGAACCATCAACTGACTCGTTATCATCCTGCTAATTTTATATCATAACAAGTTCATCTGTTCGACAATCTCATGATATAATAAATTTAACAATATCGTAAATTTCTCTTTCTCTTTTATATACGCATTTATGGTCTATTCGGTTCCAAATGTGCTATTTATAGAGGAGATAATAGTTGCACGACATGCTATAATAAAAGTTGCGAATATGAAGAAGATATGACAAGGACGTTCATTGAATGGCTGGGCTGCATTAAATTAAGTAGCATTTTCAAAAAATAATAAGTTCGTCGATTAACTGAAATTGCTTATGAGACCGTCTGTAAAAGTCGTTAAGATCAAGGTTTCGGCGTGTCAGAGAAAAAAAAGAAGTTAATTACATGTGTCTTCCTTTCAAATGCTTATTTCATGTCTGATATCCGTAAATATTTGCGAAACACAAAGTGACAGTCAAAACCTCCCAAAAAAACAATGTTGTTAACATGGGTCATGGTTGTTATGTCAGAAAGAAATAGGTGGATAAATAAGATTGATGGTTTTACGAAGATAAGTTAAGTAACTTACTTACCAATCATTTCTTTCATGGTCAATGATGATTTTGAGTCTTTTAATTTTTTTTTTTGTTCAATTGAAATCTCACTTAAAGATCATAATTTTGAACAACAAAAAGGCGTTCGTATGGGGTAAGTATCATTAAATCGCTTAATACCATTCAAGTTTATGCTTGACAAATGCCAAAAAATTAACGGTGGGATAAGTTTTTTCATGAAATTTTTCCTTCATAAAGGCTGTGATGAATAAATAAGACCTATAAATGCAATCATTAGCAAAATTATAGGGATTAGCGCTTTAGTGTTCATTTTGATTGGGTTATAAACCGTTAAAATCTGAATTTTTAAAAACTATTATAAATTATTCAACTTATTTCAGTTCAAATTTGAATTTTTGAAAATCGTTAAAAATTATTCAACTTATTTCAGTTCAAATCTGAATTATTAAAAATCGTTAAAAATTATTCAACTTATTTCAGTTCAAATTTGAATTTTTGAAAATCGTTAAAAATTATTCAACTTATTTCAGTTCAAATTTGAATTTTTGATAAACGTTGAAATTTTTTTTTAAATGCAAATTTTAATAAATCAAAGTTAATAACTGAAAATAATAATTATTTCAGTAAAAGCATGTTTCGTGCTTGACTGATTTGATGCCGTGAGCCATATGATCTTTGTAATTGAATATAGAGACAAAAAAAAAGAAGAAATAAAATTTACAAAACAGTGTGAATGCACACGTAAAGCTGCATTATATGTCTATGTTGCCATCTTTTCCTCTCAATAACATTGATATGCTGTGAGAATTTTTCGTACATTTTTATTCACTTTTCAGATATCATCATCAGCATAGCGGATGATGCAATTTTCATTGCATTCTCTTTCACTTCTATCTGTCCGCTTATTAAATTGCAAAATACTAGTTTTTTTTTTTTTTGAATTAGCCACTCACGATCACTTATTGCGTTGATGTCTCTATGCTTAAAAAATGATGAAGATTTCAATTACAAAAAAAAAACTTCAATTCAATGATGAAATATGCACGTCTGCAATATATGCAAGAAATATTGATACAATCATCGACTGACTTGCTTGTTACCAGAAGAAATTCCCACAAGTGAATCTTATTTTCATAGATAAATGGATGCAAACAGGTTCATAAATAAAATCTCAATTAAATTCATACTCATCATGATGAGCATATGAACATACTTCCTCAAAGATTATCATCGACTTTGCTTTTTTGGCACTTGTGATTTTTGATTGAGTAATGCCAAACAATTTAATCGACCAATAAGTAGTAATTGAAATGCTTTATTGAATGATCTTCAAATTTTAGTTTCAAGTGTAAGCTTAAGAGCAGCATAATTATGATCAAATCAATACAGACTGACTTTAACACCTCTGCTTCCTTGATAGGATCGTTTTTGTTTGTTTTGATGCCTAAGATTGTTGATTTATTAACTTATTTAGAATTAAAAAGATCCAATCAATTTGAAATTCTCAGAAAATCGGTCTTTCGCTTTTCAGTGTTGTTCATCCCATTACTGACCTTCATTCCTTTCATTTATCGTAGATTTTGTTTATTGATAAGCAGTAAATTCATCTTTAAGTGCATACTTTTTTTCCCCATAAAAATATGTCATAAAAAAACGACAATGCATCGATATAGATATCTGTCAAACTTTCTGCACCAATTAAACACTAAGAAAACAGCTCATAAAACGTTTTATCACTTTTGTGAATATAATACCTAATTATATAATTCCTAGAGATGAGTCAAGTGTTTGTTTTCGTTCGACTGCTTCTCTATTCGTAAATAGCGATATAATATTCGTGGAAGAAGCAACCAAAAGATGCATTGAACAATCTAATGAGACCGCCTGTGCACATTTTACTGAACTTTGGCCGAATCTCAATAATTTATGTTTTCTAACAAGCATCATTGATTTGTATGAATGCAGCATGTATTCTGTAATTCAGGAAGTAACGAGAATGAGCATATTTTATTCGTATTCCTAAATAAGACTTGCATGCATGCTTATCCAATAAACCCAAGACCGATGAAGTACATCCGAAATGCCATCCATCCCAAAAGAAATCGAAAGTTGAAGATAAAATTGAACAAGCACGACTTTAATACCACGATTATTTCTACTGACTATCAATGAAAAGGAGAAGAGAAATGCATTATGGAGAATGCAGTAAGTCTATTACCTGATTTTTTTTTTAATAACCTACAACTATATGAGCATTAAAAGATGCTATCTGATATTTATCATGATCAGATCAAAAGAGTGATCTTTTTACCGTTCTATCTTGGAACTTAACTTGATTAAGCATGATAATCAGCATTTCATTTTAACGGATATTTAAAATAAACAAAATTTCATTTTAACGGAAGCTTGAATTTTTGGAAAACTGAATTTTTGAACAAACTGAAATGAAATGAAGAAAAACTTACTGAACGACTTTGATTCAAATAATAAATTTTCCGTTAAAATTCAAAACTTTTTGTGCACTCTAATTTAACCAAAGCCTCATCATGTGCTTCAATATACCTTCAATGTTGAGTACGAATACATTTCTTAAATATTTTATAAACCTATATGAGAGAGAGATCAATGACATAAATGAAGAAGAAGCTCTCTTTCGATAGAGCCCCACTATTAAGACTTTTGAGCAAAAAAAAAAAAATACAGCATAACGTAATGAAAAGCAAAAACAACAAAAAAAAATCTGATGGCACCGTCGCGAAAGAGCTGAATCTAATAAACCCGAAGCGATGTATTTTTTTTTGTATGAAGATGTTGAAAAAGAAAAAAAAAGCCAAAAAGATAATTTGCATTATTGCTGTTGCATGGCTATATAAAAGTCGAGTTCTATGAATGGACTAACAGTCATTTATAAACTTTGTAAGACAGCGAATCTCGCTCTCTTTTTTTCCTTCATTCAATAATAAAAACTCAAGAAAGATGAACTCCTATGTAATGGTAAGTAATGTAAAGCATAGACACACTGTGATTTTAAAATAAAATTGTGTTAAAGCAAAAGAGTCAAATGATAATTAATAATGACAATTTTTATGGCTTAAAGGATTAACGAAAGTGTGAAATAATTTACATATAATTGTGCTTTAATATAATTATTAAGTGATGCTGTCCTGTTATTAACACAAAATTATTTTTTCTCATCATAAAACAGTTTGCAGTATTCGCATTAGCCGCTTTTGTCAGCTGCGAACCTCCATCTGGATATAACTATAATCAACCGTCATTCGGTGGTGGAGTTTCAAGCAGTGGAAATTCTTTCTCAAATGGTGGAAATTCCCTTTCAAGCGGTGGAAATTATGAACAAGTCGCAATTGGACCAAACACACAAGAAGGATTAACCGTCGATCCAGCATTGTTGGAACAAATTAAGCAAATCATTTTGAAAGAAGAAAGCAAAGCTGGATCTGGCAGTGCTGGTGGTTTTGGACAACCCTCATCATCATATGGAGCTCCACAGGCTCAATATGGACCACCTGCTCAACAACAAGCTCGTATTGTTGGAATCGATTTTGAAAATACAGTTCCAGCAATCCAAGTTGCTCAATTACGCGCACAATCACAAGAAGCTGGCGGATATTCAGCATCAAGCTTCGGAGTTGCACCAAGCTCAAACTATGGAGCCCCAGCTCAAGCCCCAGCTCGTCCAAGCTCACAATATGGAGCTCCAGGAAGATATTAAGCTAATCAAAATCTATTCATTCTTAAAAGCGAAACATTGACAACTAGATAGCACATACGACAATGACAATGCAATTCTGCAAACATCATCGGTCACATATTGATATTCACATTCTCCCTATAAATTGAGTTAATGCTACTTTTACTATATGAATTTTGTATGCCATCTATCTCATCTAATATTTAGAGAGAATTATTAGGCAAAAAGACCTATCATCATTTCTTTGGATATATCTAATCGAATCTTAATAAGTCTTGAACAAAAAAGATATTGAAATGCTAATTGGCCAAAATCCCAACAACAAAAAAAATTAATTTCCAAAAGTGATTATTCACTTTTTTGACGACTATAACATCTCAATCATGCGATCTAATCGCCCTAATCTACTTAAATACAAAACAAAACAAACTATGAACAGCAACAAAGTGAGAGTTTTTCAAAATAGAAAAATCAAGAATGATTCTCAGTTAGCAAGTCCACATCGTGAACATCCAATAAAGTCAAAAGAAACGGGTCAATATTATGCACAATAAAGAATCAAGAGGCTTTACTTGCTAATCGAAAAAAAATCATTTCAAAACCTCAAATGACGGCTTTAAACCAAACGACAGAAGAGTTACAATGGACTTAATGAATCGGAATCAAATAAAGTACATAAAAATTGCATAATTCCACTCACCTTTCTCTTCTTTCGTGAATGATGGAACTTATTGCATTCTTTTTTGCTACCTTACTTTTGTAAATAGAATTCTTCTTGTTAATATAATTAAATGAATAAAAAAAAATTATTTTGTCACCGTTTGAAAAAAAAAACCATGCCTGCTATTTTCATTTATCACATCTTTCTAATTTCATATTATAGAGCTTAAAAGTGTTCATTTTTATGGATTGTATAATATCAGTGAATTAATAGATACACTGTCACTATCAGACTCCATGTGATGTCTTTTAACATTTCACTTTTATGTAGTCACATTGCCTCATTTAAAATCTGCAGTCATTAGCAGGAACAACTACCAAAATTATGTAAATTATGTGAAAATAAAATGTGCATATATGCTTTTTATATCAATTTAGCTCAGTTAATTTCCGTTTATGGATTCACAAATCTGTGACAGAAAAAAAGTGAAAGGATCGCTAAAAGAAAATAGAAATGAACAACAAAGACACTAAGAAAAGTTATAGTGACGGTAAACATTTCTTAATGATGATAATAATATGAATGTTACCATCTCGCAGTGCATAAAAGGCTTTTTTTTTCTTGAAAACAATGTATTAATGTTGTTCACACGATATTTGTTGAGATTTTTATGCTGGATATGAGATTGAAATTTAACGATTTTCAAAAATTTGAATTTTAACAACTCTAATCAAGCATTTGAAGTTGATGAAACATTTCTACAAAATTGTAGTTCATCATTTAAAACAATCAGCACTAAGGGGCTGTTCACTTATTACGTAACGCGAAAAAATGACTTCTTAGACCCCCCCTCGTAACAAAATTTGTATGAAAAAAAAATTTCCTTGTTTAAACCGTAACAAAATCTTAGACCCCCCCTCCCCCTAAAAGCGTTACGTAATAAGTGAATGGCCCCTAAGAATAGCGGCTTAGAAAGTCTAATGACAGAAAGAAGATTCAGTGAAGTTCAAAACTTTTATCAACCGTTAAAATTCCCAAAACTCTTTACAAGCCTCAAAAATATTCATTTGTCGCATGCCGTGCATGAATTTTGATGGATTACGGTGTATGTTGTGACTACTATTTTGATGCAATAATAAAACAAAATGTATGTGCAATAAAAATAATTATTATCCACTTAAAGTATGTCATCTTTCTTTCTTTTTGTGTCTGTTCATGTTACATGAACAAGCACTAAAGACACCGTGTTGCTTTCAATTTTATTTTATGTAAAAGATTTGTTTTCATTTAAATGTAACATGTGTTTACCAGTGTTTACAATCAAAAGTTTAATTTTTTTTTTTGCACCGATTGTGACAATAATGACGACAACAGATGCAAAAAAATTGGACCAAGGCCAGAGCTAATTCTCAATAATCACAGCCAACAAAAAAAAAACTCATCTTCACACTTTCATTGATATTATAGTGATCGATGACTGATTATGTGAAATGCCAATGATACTTAACATTCACAAAATACCTAATTGTATATGAATTTTAATTTCGTAATAAGGTATAATTGGGATGTCTTAATAGCAAGCCAGCAGCAATCCAATTGATTGAAAAGAGTTAATTAATAAATGACAAAATGTAAAGTTCAATGTAGCCTAAAAAACTGCCACGAAATCAGGTAAAAATCTTTAATGGACTGACATTCATGTAATAATAATTCATTTCGAATGTCGCGCGCGACTTCATATTACATGAAGATGCACATATGCAATTTATGGATAAGTTAATTAATAAACTTTTACTTTTTTTATCCATTCTAGTCATTAAAATGACGTTTATTCTGCAGCACGTGGATCATCGTGGATGTTGAAAATTACAATTATGTAATGATATAAATGTCTATGCTGATGATCATGCGGAAAATTACATTACTGTGTTTCTCGATTTGCTGGACGTCTTTCAACATTCACTGCTTATTATTTCCACCGCTGAGATTTGGTAATTTATTGTTATTTCGGTCGAACCCTAATATTTGAATCAATTAATCGATGGATTTAATTAATCCTCCTTTTCAATCCATGGATTAATTTATCTTATCACTCAAATAACATACACTGAACAGTTTTATGACCTTATATCATGTAATACAACCTGAGTAATACAAAATAGCAATCATTACTAGATGAATACCTTAATATATTTAAATTAACACACATTTTAAGTGTGCAAAATTAATTCATGTTTCAGCAATTAATGTGAGAAGCAGGGTTGCGACGACAGGTACCTGTCATAGGTAAAGGTGACAGTTTCTGTCAAAAGATTACCTGTCTCAGGCCGTTACCTGTTCACAGATCAAATTTTTTCGCCTGTTACAGGTCTGATCTGTGAAAGGTTCTTCGAAATTTTATTCCTCTTGTGAAGTATTTTATGATTTTTTAAAACTCTTTTGATAAAATATTAAGTTTTATGATAAATTTTTCCATTTTCATATTTTATTTTTTCATTTTCCAAATTTTAACTTGTAATTTAAATTTTTTCCATATATTTTCATACAAATTTAACTTTTTTTGTCATAATTTGTTTAAGTTTAATAAGCTAAAATTTGACATATTTCTAGACCTGGATGTTCTAAAATCGTAATCCTGCATCGTAATTTATTATATATTTCGACTTTTTGCGGTCTCGAATGAGTAAGTCTATACTACTTTTAACATTTTATGATCCAGGATTATGATTTTAAATCTAGAAATAGAGCCTAAATGTCAAATTTTAGCTTATTAAACATAAAAGTGTTCAAATTATGACAAAAACAGTTAAAATTGTATGAAGATATATGGAAAAAATTTATAATACAAGTTAAAATTTGGAAAATGAAAAAAGAAAATATGAAAATGGAAAAATTTATCTTAAAACTTAATATTTTATCAAAAAAGTTTAAAAGAATCATAAAAAAGGAAAAAAAAGAAAGTTGCTTGCGGTGAGATTTGAAACAGTGACTTAAGGAAGAAAAAAATTGACGAATTTTTTATGAAATCTTTATACTTCACAAGAGGAATAAAATTTCGAAAAACCTTTGACAGGTCAGACCTGTGACAGGCGAAAAAATTTGACCTGTGACAGATCGCAACTCTGGTGAGAAGTATGCAAAGTCTTGTGTGATCACAGTTCTCATGAATAAATCGCTTATTTTCTCACATAGATGAAGCTTCTATTAATTAAAAAATAGTTTTTGAAAGAACAGCAATCTTGTCAAGAGATTTCAGGAAGTATTTGAAGCTGTCAAAAAATTCTTGTGCTTTATGTTTGATTATGGAAATTAAAGAAACAGTACTTGATATACCTAAGCATTATAAAGTCTGCAAGCATCTGCAAGTAGTAATGAACAAATAATTTCAATTTACAAAAATTAACGGTCTTTAAAAATTCAAAAAGAAGCGCGAAAAAATTTCACCACAATCCAGTTAATAATAGTGTGTGACTGAAAAAAAAAACATTAAATAGCACTAATTAAGCATGGATAGTGAATTTAAAGAAAAGTATGAGAAATATAAAAAGACTGTCAAGATCTGGGAATATGAGTTTAAGAAAGAGAATCACAGAATTCCATCAAAAGTAAGATTTTTAAAAACAAAAATTAATTAACATCCAGAAGAATTAAAAATTTGATTCCATTAACTTACAGTTGGACATTAAAGATGCACCATATAATGTTAAGCAAGCATATAAGATGTATTATAGAATGAAGACATCATTTTTGAATGATACTCTCACTGATATTTTGGACGATGACAATAATACTGAAGAACAAAGTTCAGCTGATTTCTTAGAGATATCCTATAATAATGCATCGTTTATGGAATCTATGGAGAATTCAATATCAGACTCTATTCATGAACTTTTAGATCCAAAAAAGAAACTTCCAGACTCATATACAAATAAAGTGACTAAACAAACAAGTCAGGACTTTGATGCAGTTAGTCACGATGCAAACAATGAAGATGTATGGAATAAATCTCTTAACAAACGTGTGCCCGTTAAAAAAGAAGAATTGATGAAAAAACCAGATCCACTTAAAAAATCGAGAGAATCATTCTCATTAAAAATGGACAGTTCTACAGTAAAGGCACCAAGAAATCCAAGAAAGGCTCTATCCAAGACATTTTCAGCACAAAGTTTGGAATCAGAAAATAGTCAAAAATTAGATACACTTCCTGATTTGGAGACAATTTTGTTGGAAAAGTCACGATCATCAAAACCTGTAGAAATCAAAAAACCTGAACCTAAACCAACAGAAATGGAAATAAAGACGTCAATTGATTGCGAGTGGCTCAATAGAAATGCTCCATCAACTTCTAAAGAAAGTGGGGAATTAACAGTCAATTTCTCTACGTCAAGCTTCGGTTTATCAAATTTGAATTTAAAATCATTTGATTCTTCTATGTCTATTGGAAAGATTGACTCAAATGTTGAGGCTACATATCACACAGCTGATTTATCAGATAGCGAATACATAGATTCACATGAAAACTTAAAGACTGAAATTTTGCCAATATCAAAGAAACGTCGACTGTCAATAGACATTAAGCCAACAGAAAATGTGATAATAGTTGAGAAAATAGAAAAAAATATCCAAGAATTGCCACAAATTAAGAAAATTCCAGACAAGCCAAAAAGAAAAACTGTTCAAAATAAGACTAAAATTATTCCAGATATTGAGGAAGAAAAGACAGTTCAAGGAACACACTTTGATACTGACGACGATTCCGATAAAGATCCAACATATGCAGAGAATAAAGATATTAAGGATAAAGAAGCATCGCCAGAACCAGTTGTAATGAAAAGAAAGAAAAGTTTAATTAAAAGATCAAAAGAAGGGATTAATAAAGTCACAAAAAAAGCTGCCAAGTTGCTATCTAGAAATAAGACTAAACATGATCAAACTGATGAAAATGAGCCAGAAGAAGAAGAACAAATTAACTTTTTTGTAGACACAGAAATAAGCAGCATAGAAAACATCCCAAGAGTCTCAGAAAAGGAATTAAAAGCAACTGAGAAACTTTTTGGACAATTTGCATTACAACATAACATGGGAGGAACTAAAAATGGTGAAAATCCATCAATTGACTTGAAAACAAGGACAAAGAAGGATGCACTACAGAAGAAAGTCTCGTCTGGTACCTTAAATGACAATTATGTCCGAGTAAATCTAAAGAAAAAAGTTTTCGTACGCGGAAAAAAAGCATTCAACTTTAGTCGATATAAAAAAACATTGTGGAAGAAAAAAAAGGCAGAAGATTTAAATGATATGAGAGGATGTGATGGAGGTGTCTTAAAATGTCACAGTTGCGGTGGTGTTGGACATTTTGCAAATCAATGTAAGCAAAAAGGCGACAGTTTACTTCCTGTTGATGCTCATATTGAGGATGAATCTCTTTTGCCCACTTTGAAACAAGCTTCAGAAATGGCAAATGATCAGAAATTACTAGCACATGCTAATAGGCCTAAATCTATACCATCAACGTCAAATGAAATTTGGAAAGAAAATGGAACCAGTGAAGAAGAAATGGATCTTGATGATGACATAGAATTAATTGAACGAGAATTAAGGACCGCAATTGATAAGGAAAATGAAAATGCAAATATAATATTCAATAATAAGAGCTACATTGGACATAAAGTTCCTGACGATTTCCTTAAGAAATGTGATTACTTTAATGCTAATACAGCAAGCAAGGATGAAATTAAGCCATACTATGAACTTGATGAAAACGGAACTGTTCCTGCTGAAATTCCAAAAGAGGTCTATAATGTCCTCGAAAGTTTTGGACATAAAAATTTCAGAAAAGGTCAAGAGAAGGCAATTATGCGTATTCTTTGTGGTCAATCGACGTTAGTGACTTTGAGTACTGGAAGTGGAAAATCTTTATGTTATCAACTTCCTGCTTATTTATATCGTCAAAAGTATCATTGTATTACGCTTGTTATTTCACCATTAGTGTCATTGATGGAAGATCAAGTTCATGGAATTCCAGATTTCATCAATGCTCAATGCCTACACACCAATCAAACTCCCAAGTAAGTCGTCCCTAATTTAACTGCTTAAAATTATTCAAATTTTATTTTGAACTTTTTAAAACCACCACAACATAATTTGAATTTTTGAAAACTGTTGAAAATTCAAAATTTTAAAAGACGTTAATAAAAACATATTTTAATTTTATTTACAGACAGCGTGAAAAAGTAATGGAAGAGATTAAAAATGGAAATGTAGAAATTCTTTTAGTATCTCCTGAAGCTGTTGTAGCTGGAGAAAAATCAACTGGATTTGGGTCACTTTTAAATCAATTGCCACCGATTGCTTTTGCATGTATTGATGAAGCGCATTGTGTCAGTCAATGGAGTCATAATTTTCGTCCATCATACTTAATGATTTGTAGAGTCTTGAGAGAAAAGTTGGGTGTAAAAACAGTTTTAGGATTGACAGCTACAGCAACTTTACAAACTCGAAATAGTATAATTAAGCATCTATCAATTCCTGATGGATTAAATGGTGTTATTAGTGATATTCCACTTCCTGACAATTTAGTTTTGACTGTTTCAAAGGACGTAAATCGTGATAAAGGATTACTTCAATTACTTCGTAGTGAAAGGTTTAATTCTCTTCAATCAATTATTATCTATTGTACTCGACGTGATGAATGTGAAAGAATTGCTGGATATTTAAGGACATGCTTACAGGATGAAAATAAAAAGGTTGAAGAAACAAAGACAAATAAGAGAAAGAGAACAAAATGGGTTGCTGAATTCTATCATGCAGGAATGCCAGCATCAAGACGTCGAACAGTCCAAAATGCATTTATGGGAAGTGATTTAAAAATTGTTGTGGCTACAATTGCTTTTGGAATGGGAATCAACAAATCTGATATTCGTGGAATTATTCATTATAATATGCCAAAGAATTTCGAAAGTTTTGTTCAGGAAGTCGGTCGTGCTGGAAGAGATGGGAAAATTGCTCATTGTCACGTTTTTCTTGATTCTAAAGGCGGAGATTTATCGGAATTAAGAAGACATATTTATGCAAATTCCATTGATCGTCATGTTATCCGTAAATTACTCCAAAAAGTCTTTGTTCCTTGTTCCTGTAAACAACGAAGTCATGGAACTAGCACTGAGAATGAAAATGGTAAAAGAGTCTGTCCAGGACATGAAGTATGTTTTGCAAAAGAACAAACTGTACAAGCTTTGGATATTCCTGAAGAAAATATTGAGACATTATTATGCTACTTGGAATTACACGAAGATCGTTACATTAAGGTTTTAGGAAATGCATACACAATGTGCAAAATAATTTCTTATAGTGGACTTAATTATATGAAACAAATGGCTAAATCATGTCCACCATTAGCGATGGCAATAGCACTTGAACTTAAAAGAGGAAAAAGTCAGGAAGAATTGAGTTGTGTTGAATTTTCAGTTGTGGATGTAGCATCGTCAATTGGATGGGATAGTGGAGTTGTTAAATATCAATTAAAACAATTAGAATGGACAGTAATTAATGGAATGAAGCGAAGATCACCTCTAACTGTCTCATTCTCAGATCTTGGATTTCGTATTCGATCACCAGGCGATTTAAGTGATTCAGAGCTTGATCAAGCCTTAGATTCTTTAGAATTTCGTACACAATCGCAGGAACGAACTCAGGTTGTTCAGGTAATTGACAATTCTTACTTAAAATTATCAGGAATTTATTAATAATAAAAATTTATTTTTTACAGCTTCAAGTGATTTATGATTCGTTCAATTCGATAGCATTTCCGAGTTTTTCAAAATGTTCCGAGAACAAGGCTGAGTATAAGGAATCAGATGAACTGAAAAGTACAATTAGAAAATATTTCTCAACAAATTTACCAATGGATGTGGAAATAACTGAGAAGAATGAAGAGACAGCTGATGAACAGATAGTCAGTGATATTAAAACAATGATTCATATGTATCCTGAGAATAACTTTAGTGGACGATCCCTTGCAAGAATATTTCATGGAATTTCGAGTCCTGTTTATCCAGCTGTCATTTGGGGACGATGTAAGTACTGGAGAGCTCATCTTATGGTGAGTTTCCATCGTCTCGTTAGAATTGGCAACCGTGAAATAGTTAAATATCGATTAAATTAAATTAAAACTACTCTTATTGTTACTTACTCTCTTAATAAAAATAACAGTCATTTTAAATTCAAATATGTTTCTTGTGTCAAAATTTTCAAAAAAATCCCTACAAAACAAAACAAAACAATTGTTTTCAAAAAATTATCAATTTTAATTAATTACGGCATAATTAGTGCATGCAAGATGATGGAAATAGATCCGATTTGTGAGGAAACAACTCTTTGGTTCGAGTTTCTATTAAAACCTGAATTACTTGAGAAGCAAATGACAAATCAGACAAAATCACTAGAAATCATGTCTGAATTTCTGAATATAATTCCTCCAGAAAATGGACAGCAAACAAACGACATTAATTCACCAGATTCTGATTCTTTGTCCAAAATTGAGAGCCTTACAAACAAGTTTGGACGTAAGCAGTTGGCTATTAAAATCCTTGAACTTAAACTAGCTTCTTGTGACTTTATTCATTGGAACTTGGATGTTATTGAAAAGTACCTACCTATTTCGAAACAAGTACAGTTATTGAGTGATTTATGCAGTATAACTTCAGGACGCTTGGTCAACTTACCACTTTCATTAGTTCATGAAGTTCCTGTATCCAATGATGGGTCAAAAAGTGCTTTAAGGTACGTAATTGAATAATAAATAATTTGCCGGTATAAAGCAGGTTTAAACTTAATTTTCTTATAGCTTTGCCTTAACTATATATCATCGATGGCTTCTAAGAGCTCAAGTCTTGAAAGGATCAGCTGTGAAAATTAAGCCATATCAAGCAGTATTAACGCCACAGGATCCAAATATTTGTGCAAATTCAGACGATAAGTTTATTTCTGGATTAGAATCATTCACAACTACAAGCATTGAGTTCCTCAATGGAATCATAACAGATACAGAACCGTTTAAAATGCCAATTTTTGATTCCTTTGTTCCACTTGAAGAGACATCAATAAGTAGAAATGACATTTGTAATGGACAAAAGTTTGATAAATTTGCTATAATCGGTAAAACTGAGTTAAAGGCACAAATCTACTTTGATCTATGCTCATACTACATTTTTACCAAAAAGTATGACTCTGCTAAGGAAATGGCAACACTTTGTAGGAGCAACTATGAAAAGCTTCAAATAGAACTGAAGGAAAAGTCCACAGAAGCACGATTCTGTACTGTAAGTGACGAGAATCTTAAGGGATATTTATTAGCTTGTGGGATTCTTCAGGAAGGAAATCCATCATTATTCCAACGGTTTAATGACTGTACCTTAAATGAGCTCAAAAACATTGAAATTATATTAAGTGAGGATAATTATAGGAAGGAAATTCCATTTATTCATCGAAGAGCACTAGAAGGAGACCTTGATCAACAATCTAATGAATTCATTAAAATATTGGCTCTTAATTCAATTCGTTATATCTTGGATAGTACAAATATTGTCACAAATGACATTCCTTTCCTGGTTCTCAGAAATAATGTCCAAAGGAGTCTGTTGCTTAAATATTTCATTCAGTACTCGAATGAAATCATCCCAAGCATGTCACTATCGGATAAGAACAAGATTAAAACTTATTTAACCAACTTCCTTGTTCGTTTTCCTCCAATAGAAATTGAAGTTAAGGATTCAAAGCTATTTAGCAGAGATGAGCTTGATATGCTGAAAAAGCAAAAAACTATCGATAGTAAAATTGATCTAGCTTCGATTGGATTACAACAGGAATGGATTATTCCTAGTGATTCAAAAATACAGAAAATAAAAGTTGCAGATTTTGAGAGGAAACTTGTGGCAAGCACAACAAGTAAGCAAGTCAGGAAATATCTCGTAGAACTTGCAAAATTCAATCCACAACAATCATTATGGTCGATAAATCGAAACTGGTATTTGCCAAATGATTTGCGTGTTGTTGTTCTTAATCTCAAAAGAGGATTCCTTCAAGATTTTTCGTATATCCTTCTTGGAAAAGTCAATGAGATGGTTTCGAAGAAAGACTTTGTTGCAGCATATGCACTCATATCGGAACTAAAGAATGAAGCCAAAAGGGCTGAATGGTCAAGCGATTCGATTGTTATTAAGCTTGGAAAGCTACTTGAATGGGAAAAAACCAATATTCAAATTTTAATGAGACTAGATTCAGCATGGCCAAAAAAACCACCGACTTTAAGAGAACAATGGACAGTAAAATTCATTCAATTGACGAAGACAATAACTAATGATATGCCACGACTCGATATTATTGAGAATTGTTTAATTATGCTACTTAATTTGAATGATTGGGAAAATTGTGTCACATTTGAGGCAAAAAGAAGTTCGATGAGTGAACTTTCAGTGCTGTTTGCCAAGACAATGATTGATATACAGCTTGACGCAAAAATTAAGAATACAATTCCTCGCAAACGTGACGTTTGGGACTTTTTATTGCCAATTTTCAATATGAGTAATCAACAGCAACAAACGAGTATGAAAAGAAATCAACAGAATAGACGATCAAGTGATTCGCCTGCTAGATTTCTGATGGGAGCAATGAATGTATCAATTTTAAAACAGTTCTTAGAGAAGATGAGAGATCCATTCATAATATCGATTTTACTGTCAATGTTTGCAAAAATGCACAATTTAATTAAGGATGACACAAGTGTAGACTTAGTCATTGAGAATCTACATCTTTGGCCATTAAGTATCAGTAATGTTAATGGATATAATATTAAAACAATTGCTGAGTCACTGTCACAGCTACTAAAATTAGCAATCAAGATATATCCAACAAATGCAGCATGGATACGAATGCAAGGCGATTTAGAGTATGTAAATGGAAATAATGAAGCAGCAATGAAGTTCTACGTTCAATCATTAATAATATCAACTGAATATTGTGCATTGCCAATTCAACGTCCAGTAATTGACGAGAATATCATCAAGAAAATGATCAAATGCAGTTCAAATCTTGGATGTTATTTACAAGCTGCAGTTTTATGCCAATTTGTTGAGGATGTTGATTATACACTCGCATTTAAGCTTCTCCAAGAAAAAAGTAGTAATTTTCAAGATGCTATGGATAGCTATTACTCACTAATATGGGATACAACACTTCTTGAGTACATAATTAATTTGCATGCTAAAAAAGGCGAACATAAACGTCGATTACAAGCTATTTCCTACATCCGACAATTAGAGTTGAATGCAAACAATAGCGAGGAAGTAAAACAAAAGGCTGCATCGGTTAGAAAAAGCAAATTTGTACGATCCTTAGCGAACCAATATTTGTAAAACAATAATTAAGAAAACTGCAAATAAAATAACGTGTTTTAAGAATTTGAAATTTTTGCATTTTTTGATGTACAAAAAATTCAATTCAGTTGATTTTCCCCTAAAAAACAAAAATATTCGACAATTTCAAAAATTGTTAATTAATAGTTGAAATCAACTTAAAAGATGATAATACACATATAAACGGATAATTTATAGGATAAAGTAAGTATGCAATATCAAGTTTAAGTGCAATTTGATCGATAAAGGTGTAAAAAGTGAATTTTAAAATTTCAATAAAAAAAAAAATCAGCTGTAAGTTTTTATTTTGTATAAAAATAGACTCTGAAAAAATTGTTGAAAAAGAGAGGAAATGGAAGTAAACAAAATAAAGAAGAAATCAACAAATATAGATGACGAAAGAATGTATTAAAATCCGTGAATTGTTTATATTTATCTGTATTTTCCGCCAAAAATGTTACAAAAATAATAAACGAAACTCGAGAAAGGGAAATTATTTATGAAATTCTGGCAAAGTTTAATATCTGAAGGTCATTAGAGAACATTGCCACGTTTGAGGGTCTATTTATAGTTGGTTCACAAGCTTTAATTATTATTGGAAAATGTTTGCGCGTGAAAAGCTTTCAAAAATTTGTTGATTTCTAATTATTTCATCATTCTTTGGCTTAATCTTCGATGACACATCCATCATACACAAAAATGATAAACCTCTCCAAAACAGCATTTCTGATTTCATTATTACACGAAATAATTGAATGTATTGCTGTAAAAAATTTAATATAATTGTTTAGTAATATTAAAGGCACTGTTAAGTACGGTACGTGCTCTAGTTTATTGCTAAAAGTATGTCTGTTCACGATTACTTTCACTTACAAAGATTGCATCATAAGTATGCTTGTGCATTTACTATTTATATTTATACATTACATTAGACTTAATGGCCTTGATAAATTCACACAAGGAAACAACAAAATTAGATTTCTTTGTATTTAATGACTGTATACATCACAATTGACTCAACTATCTGTGCACGTGTAAAGAACAGATATTCCCTATATCGCGCGACTTATTTACTAGTAAACAGTCAGTTTCGTATCATGAGAATGCGACAATATGAGTTGCTTGAACTTTAAAATCGTGTTGTTGATATTTCACTAATTATCTTTTATTTTTCTTTATTACAGCTGATTGACTGGATTTATATAGATTGTTTGAAACAAGCAAAAATAAAAAATAAATAGAGAGAGAATTAAGAAAAAGAAGAATTAAATAGAAATGGATTTTCTAAGCCTTTTTGATCCATCCGATGAGACGCAGACGGATGATACGGATGAGACTGAGACATTTAGCAGTAGTGACACAGAATCGATTGACATAAATGCAAAACTTCCACCAGAACCCGAATATGGAAATATCGAGTATAAGTTGAAGCTTATAAATCCTTCAAAGCAAAGATTGGATCATCTTGTGACACAAATGAAATGGAGATTACAAGAAGGAAGCGGTGAATGTTTTTATCAAATTGGTGTGTCTGATAATGGAGTCATGAATGGATTATCAAATGACGATATGAATTTATCATTAAAAACATTAAAAGTTATGGTTTGTCAATTGGGTGCAACAATGTCAATACTTAAACGAAAGCACTTGCATAATGGACGAACATGTTGTGAGGTTCTTGTACGAAAGATGTCGGATACAAAGAATATAGAAGAAATTAGAATTAGTGTGATGGGAAGTGTTGATGCTGGAAAAAGTTCATTAATTGGTGTATTGACACAAGGTGAACTCGATAATGGACGTGGAAAAGCTAGACTGAATATGTTTCGTCACTTTCACGAAATTAAATCTGGCAGAACGTCTTGTGTGTCTCATGAAGTTCTTGGTTTTGATGAGTGCGGTAATGTAATCAATTACAAATATAATGAAATGATGACGGCTGAAAAGATTGGCGAGAGATCATCAAAGCTAATTAGTTTAATGGATTTGGCGGGTCATCGACGATACATGAAAACGACAGTTCAAGCAGTAAGTGGATATGCCCCGCACTTTATTGCACTTGTAGTCGCTTGCGGCAATCTTAATCAAATGACTATCGAAAATATCCAAATTATTAAAGCTTTCAAGATTCCTTTCTTTGTAATTTTGACAAAATGTGATCTCGTGTCACCTGACGATTCTGGAACTTTAAAGCAATTAATTCAGTTGCTCAATGAAGTCGATAATAAGAAAATTCCTCTAGTCATTACAGCAACAGACAATTTTCGTCTATTAGACAATGTAAATGGTAATAAATATATCCCAATATTTTGTGTGTCAAACGTCACTGGCGTTGGACTTGACTTAGTACAAAAGTATTTGTATATGCTTACACCAAATATCAATGAAGGTGAGCGACAGCGATTAGAAAAGGAAAGTCCTGAATTTCATATTGATGAAATTTTTCGAGTACAAGGTGTTGGTACTATTATCGGTGGACTACTCGTGAAAGGCTTAATTTATGAAAGAATGAAAGTTAAGTGTGGACCAGGTCCAAATGGTGAATTTTATAAAGGACAAATTAAATCTATACATCGCAATAAATTTCCTTGTAAGAATATTCGACCAAATCAAAGCGCATCAATTTGTTTGGCATTGAACTCTAAGGAAAAGCTGCCAATTCTTCGAAGCGGCATGGTATTGATTGCTGACAATGACGATAGCGAAATGTCTAGTGTATTCTTTCAAGTAAGTATTTGTTGACAAACTTATTTATTATTTCGTTGTGGTGTAATTCCTTTCTAATTAGTTAAATATATCAGATTTGATTCTATTGATTCACTGTTGACAATGTAAGGGTCTAGTTGAAGAGAGTAATTAAATTCCAAGTACATTTTTCTTTTATCATTCAATCTATTTACAAATTTTATCTTACAATATGTACTTCATGAAAAAGGTGGTATTCGATTTCATTTTAATTAATTTGGTGAGGTGACAATGCAGATAAAATTGCTGAATATAAATTGACAAGCTTTAAATAATGAACTTTTTTGTCATTCAGTAATTCAGTTCATTTGGGTTCAGTTCAATTCAAATTCTTAAAATCCGTTAAAAATTCAAAATCATTAAAGTCGTCAAAAAGTTGAGTCTAGCTAAATTTCATTCAAAACGAAAAAAGACATAAAATGAACGTTAATTCAATTACACCGAGTCACGACAGATTATTCAATAACAAATTTGCACAACGCACATAAACATGTTTGTTTTGTGAATAGAGAAAAGTGCGCTAGAAATTATTGATAATAAAATTAATGACTCTCTTTATTGTAATTCCATTCTATTTCAGGCGACAATTGCCGTTATTCAACATTCAAGTCTCCGAGGAATAAAGAAGGGATTTCAAACGACAGTTCACATGGGCAGTATTCGTCAAACAGCTGTTGTAGAAGGCATATTCGGACGTGATTCGCTGAAATCAAATGAAACTGGTTCGTGTTTATTTCGATTCTTAATAAGACCTGAATTCGTCAAGGTAGGAATGTCACTGCTCTTCCGCGATGGAAAGACAAAAGGTGTTGGTGTTGTTACTCAAATTTTTCCATTACACGATGACTAAATGCTTGAATTATTGGATTTTAAAGCACTAAAGAAAGAAAATTTTTATCGCACCGATTTTACTCAACTTTCAATTAGTTTTTTTTTTGATTAATGAAGGATGAAATGAATAAACAGATAAGATGTAGGTAGATAGAACTTAAATTGTAGAGAGAGAGAAAGAGAGAGAGAGAGAGAGAAACTACATTTAAGCTATAACAATGATTATATTTAAAGTGATTGTAAATATTTATTGAAGGAACTAAATAGAAGAAAATTAAGCGAGTAAATGATTTAAGGATGGAATGAGACAAGCTTATAGTGAATATTTAAATGTACAAATAAATTGTATGAAGCCATCCCTCGAATGATGACGACGACAAAAAAAGAAAAAGAAGTATAATTAAACGAATTTCTATCTCAATGAATATTTGTTGTAAATATCGAGCTGTAAAGTCATTATTCTGATGACATAATTGCTTTCCTATTCTTATTTTACTAGTAAATTACTTAATTTAATTTATATTAAAAAAATTGACGCTGGACGTGCTTCTTTCGTTCTTTACAGATACAAAATACATGATTTTTTTTTGATTAGATTTTTAGCTGTGTAAATTCATAACATATTTAAAGGGACTTTTTTCCTTGTGATAAATTTTATTAATTTTTCGTTGTTTCATTAAGATCTTGAAATCTACTGTAATTATAATTATGCTAATAATGAAAGAAGGGAGGAAAAAAAATTAAATAAAAAGAAAATGAAGTGAAATTTAAGAAAATTTAAGAATTTAATGAGATACATCCGAAAATTATTTTACTTTTTTTGTTTACAGTAACTTTCCTCTTATCTTTTTAGCATGCTTTTAATTAAAAATGTTGCTCACGTGCTCGTTTTGGTTTGTTTTGATAATTAGACTAGATATATGCGTCTTTATTTGAACGGCTGGTCTCAAAATAAGATTTTTCTGGTTGCAACTCAAATCCGTTAAAATTCAAATACTTTTTGGACTGTTAAAAATTTAAATATTTTTTCAAATGTTAATAATTGAAGTTTGTTTCGAGGGATTGTTTGAACTATTCATTCACAAAGGAAATAACTTTTGCTTCCAAAAATAAGTTCAAGGCTGTCTGTGTTTACACTTTTTGAGTGATGACTAAGGTCATTGATTACATCCATTTAAAATTTAAAACACCTGCAACAACTTTTAAAATCTAAACAAGTAAGAAACTCTAATAAATGCGCTCTAAGCCATCAAATCCAAAATATTATTCACTATCAGAACTTCCAGAAACTGATAAACCTAAACAATTAATAACTCTTTTAGTCATCATTAATTAATCCTTTTTTTTTTCTTAAACATTGGAAGTTAAGAAGAATGCGAAACAAATAAGCAAACCTGGAATTGTTATTACAATTAATTTCACTAGGGATATACATTAGAAATGGCAGCACGGCAATGTGATTTAACTCAGATTCAGTATGAGTGATTTCTTTAATTAAAAATTCGTTTGACATATAAGCAAGCAGAGATAGAGCAGAGAGCAGAGATGGAAATGATTTTCACTGTGAAAAATGCCGAAATGTAAACATTTTATCTTTAATTCTTCTTCTTTTGTGTGTGTGTATGTATGTGCCTTAGTTAAACAATTAAAGTGTAATCGGTCGTGTGTATAAATTTGTAGATATTTAAGCAACAATGAATGCTATTGATGAGTTCATTTCGCTTTGTTCATCATGACTGTTCATGAACATCTTCATTAATTAAAATCTAAAGCAGTCGATTGTGCTTATGAATGACCAAAGGTGTTTTGAGCAATTAAACATTTTCAATTTGATTCTGTTAAGGAACCTGTCAAATAGGGTGGAAATAAAGGTCGAAAGAATTTTTTCAATAATTTTATTTAAAGGTGTAGATAGAAATAATTGATGCTAGTCATACATAAAAGAAGCTTAGTTCCGAGAACATCAGACTCAACTACCTTAATGAAGAATTTATTAAAATGTTTTGATATGAGAATTTTTAATTTGAAAATAATTTATGAATGGCATGTTTTCATAAAGATTTCTTACTTCCATTATTTTTCATCAAATTTCGTATCATCAGCATTTTCGCTCGGATGCTTTAGTCTTGATTCATTTTGCATTCTTTGTTATTATATTTATTTATTGTAAAATTTGCATGAAATCGTGACAATTGAAAGATTTGATGTAAAGGTTGGTCTATTTTTAAGCTGCTTCAAGCTTGTTACAGTTTTTTATTGTATGCAAGAAACTTTAAATTTCTAATGGTTTTCTAATATTCAAATGTATATATATTATATATTCAATGAAATTCAAAGAAATATTAAAATTGAAATTTAACGTTTCTCAAAAATTCAAAATTTAACGGTTTTCAAAAATTAAAATTCTTCAACAGTTCTCACAAGTTCTCAAAAAAACCAGCATAATTTTCAAATTTTTGAAAACAGTTTTTGATTTGAATTTTTAAAAACCTTTCAATTTCAATTTTAATATTTCTTTGAATTTCTTAAATATCCAACCAGCAATGATTCTTTAAAATGCGCCAACTCTTTAAACATCCTTGAAAAATTTTCTCATTCCAACATGTGCTTAACAGCTTATAGTAAGCAGAAGAAAGTGATTTCCTTTATTTTCTATAAAACAATTAAGACACACACTTTAATTTAAGCACATTTCATTAAATAATAGACGAATTTTATTGGTCAGTTCTTATGACTGTAATAACTCCTGCTGTGTTATCTGCTTTTTGATTCACAACTTGTTCTTTATCGCTCACATATTATATATTCGTGGGTTGAATTAGTAGCTTGATAGAGGATATACGGTGAAAAAAAAAATATTGATATTATTATGAAGATGTTATTCATTGATGTGCGGAATGCTTACTAAAAAGAGTATAATAACATCAGACAAATGTGTGACTGACTGATATGTATAGGATAGAAATGGACACGTTTTTCCTCGCGATACCGTGTAATTATTTCATCAGTAAAGCTGGATGAGAAGAAAAACATTTTCCTTCGCATTTTCCTTTACTGTGCTTGTTTCTCTCCTCGTCATTGAAATAAAATCCAAAAATTCGATTAAAATTTTCTCAGTCGCTCGTGTGCTTTTATCGGCAAAGGATCTCTCCGTCTCGCTCGTATCGTGTACACACAAGAATTATTAAAGAGCATACCAAGTGAGTGAGAGAGTGAGACAGTATATATAACGAAATTATCGTCAATTCTAGTACGGTTGTCTGTGTCGAAGATCAAAAGATAAGATATAATTATTGCAAATTAATTATCAACGTTGAATTATTTTGTTGTTGATTGATGAATTTACAAAAGATAAGGAAGGCATTGAAGCCTGCTCCATGCTAATGAAAAAAGTTTGCCAATATATTTTTACTTTATTTTTTTGACAAAAGACATGAAATTTAATTAATGATTACTTATTATGGAACAAAAGACGCTATTAAAGTGACATTCAACAAGTTGACAAGTTAAAGAAAGTCCTTTGTGGATATAGGAATAACAAATAAGTGTAAGGAAGAAGGTGTGAACAATTATGAGTGAATTACAATTTCCTGATGACTTTATATCAACATCACGGCCAAGCCCCGAAGAATTGGAAGCAAATGAACGGCTTGAGCTGATTGTGTCAATAATTGTGCCAATTTTCTTCTCCTTAATCGGAATTACTGGATTTATTGGAAATCTCTTAGTCATAATTACCGTTTTGTTTAATCAACAAATGAGGAACACGACAAATTTATTAATTTTAAATCTTTCATTTGCCGACTTGCTCTTTATATGCTTCTGCATTCCATTTACTGTGAGTAAATATATATATTTTATTTTCTAGCAATTATAATGTCCCAGGGAGTGCCAATGAAGCGCTATCGATATTTTATTGAGAGACATCTTTCAAAACTTTTTTTTCTTTCCTTATTTTTGCGTGGAATTTTAATATGAGGAATTGAAAGAAGTTTCAATTTTAACAATTTTTAAAACCCAAAATTCATTACTATTGACTTTTAAGATCTTGCTGGTTTCAGCTTTAATTGACTGAATTAAAGTGAATTTCTGGCAGTTTTTGGCTCTTCAATTCACTTCTCAAAGAAATTTTTCTTAAATGACGTAAATTTTCTAAAAAAGGGTTCGTTCAATTATTTCATTACAAGGGTTAGTAGAAGGTCTAGAACATTATTAATTGACGACTTTAAATATTAGACTTAGTCTATTTAGAAGAATCTTCTTTATTGTGTTACACAGTCAGTGAACGGCTCCTAGCAAAATTAATTTGAAGAGCTACTTACATTTGATTTCAATGGAATTTGCTGGATTTATCAAGTTTCATTAATGAATTAATTTTCAACAATTAAGATAAGGGAATGTTGGTAAATTACGTTTCTACTCCCTTTTTATATAACTTTCGTGAAAATTCTTAATATTGTAGAATGTCATAGATTTTCTCAAACCAGACTGGCCTAGATTCTAAAGCTACATACTTTAAATTACAATAATTCAAGTAAGGAATCGTTTACTTATGAATTCCAGGAATTCTATTATTCTTTTTTTCTGACCCCACCCCATCCCTGGACGTCATAAGCTTTTAGATATTTCTTCTTGTTATTAGATCTAGATTCCATTGCTTCTTATGTGTAATTCAGAAAAGACTTATTTTCTAATTAAAGAATGTTTTCAACTATTAAGTTGTCATCAGGCGCTTAGCCAGGGGGTGGATTTGGGGGCAAATCCCCCTTCGTCTTGAGAAATCTTTATTTTGCTAGAGTTTTTATAAAAAATACTCGACCCCCCCCCCCCTCCTAAAAGTTTTCCATACAAAAAAAAATTTTTGTCCCCCCCTCTTCAAATTTCTGGCTACGCCCCTGGTTGTCATACCTGGTAGTTTGATGAAATACATGTTTACAAGTTTTGATTCAATTCCATTCTAGTGCTTCTAAATTTGATCAATTTTGATTTCACAATTGTGATGTCAATTAGTAAATAACAATTTCAAACCCTCACGTACTTACTCTACTTTTAATAGCTAGTATGAGGGATGACATAAAACCTGTGAATTCCTTAAATTTCTATCATTTTGTTACATATATTATATTACAAGATGCAACTATAAGTGCTCTTCAACTAATCCAATCCTCTTCAATTCACATGTAATACTCGTAATACTTATTCCTACTTATTGCCTCTAATTGATAAATGTGCTACAATCTTCTTATTTATTGCAGTGGGATTGAAATAGAGTTTTCAGAAATCAGCTCAAATCTTTGTTGACAAATGAATTAGTTCAAAAAGAGACAATTTAGCTAAAGGCTTATTAAGTAACGCAAAAACTGAACTATTTCATATTTTTTTACCATCAGACCCCCCCCCCTTGTTTTTGTAAGAGCAATGCATAATAATTTTAAGTTGTTTGGGGATTAAAGGAAAGGTGGGGGGTGATCAGATGAGAAAATTGAAGAGAAGGGGGGGAGGGGGGGGGGGGGGAGGGTGAGACAATGTAAAACCATCTGTTCCTAGGTTATTTGGTAGAGTATAGAGTATAAAGACCCATAGCTCTCTCCTCAATTTATATATAAAATTTCGCGGGAAACTCCATTGGCACACGCTTGGTCATAATGTTCATAATTGTTACTTCATTTCTTTTTTAATATTTTGTTTTAGTTATAATATATTCTTTTTTTTTTTATTCTACAAACATTTGAGTGCAGAGCTAAGTTAAATAAACTCGGAGTAAACTTTATTTTGTTTTTCTTTCATTTCTCGTAACTGGAATAGGGAGCAGACTATTCGCTTTCATGGTGGCCATTTGGAAATTTTTGGTGTAAAAGTGTACAATATTTAATCATATGCACAGCCTATATTTCAATTTACACGCTTGTACTGATGTCATTGGATAGATATCTTGCTGTGTGCTTTCCAGTAAATCGAATAAGATCGGAAAGGAACACAATTGTCTCGATACTTTTTATATGGGTAATTGTACTCGTCACATGCTTGCCAGTATTTCATGCACACGGAATTGTCGAGTATATGGATAATGGAAGAAATTTAACATCGTGTACATTCATGAACGACAATGATTTTATGGCTTGGAGTACATTTCACATATCGTTCTTTACAAGCAGTTACCTTATGCCGTTAATCTTTATATCAATTTTATACTTCCTAATGTTATTGCGTCTATGGAAAAGTAATTTAGCACAATCAACAGAATCGAAACGAGGAAAGAAGCGTGTCACCCGCCTAGTCATCGTTATTGTTGCCTGTTTTGCCATCCTTTGGCTTCCCATTCAAACTATTCTTCTTTTAAAGAGTTTGAATCATTATACAGCACAAACTCACTTGACAATTGCACTGCAAATATGTTCTCATATATTGGCTTATGCATCATCTTGCGTCAATCCACTTCTATATGCTTTTCTTAGTGAGAATTTCCGGAAATCTTTCAGAAAGGTAATAAAATTGGATTTTACATGGTCTCTCTATTTTCATTTATATCATATCACACATCGTTACATTTTATTCACAGATAATATACTGCCATCCGTCGAGTCATTCACGCTACCTTCCGACTGCTACAAAATTCACAGCTACTGGCACTTCAGGTAATACATGAAATGGAAGCCACGCGTTAACAGAACGTTCAAAATAAACAATTATCTTATAGTCTAGTTGTACTTGATCTGGTGACGTTCGCGCATTTTATGCTGATTAGCATTTTAATACCTAATTTAACGATTTTTGAGAAATTTGAATTTTTACGGTTTCCAACAATTTAAATTTTTACCGGATTTTAAACATTTGAATTTCTAATGTTCAATTTTTGAACTTAAATTTAAATTTAAAAATGTCGTTAAAAATTCAAATTTCTCAAAGTCGTTAAAAAATTCAGCTTTAAAATTTAATATACTTAGAATGATTAAATCAGAATCAAAAGAAAAGCGAAGGAAATGCGTTTAAAAAAGTATAATAATATAAGATTAAGTAAAATGTAATTATGTGAAAAATTTTATGTAAACTCTACCCATCTGTAAATCTAAAATGCTTTTTATTTATCATGAAAAAAAAGAGTGTGATAATTGATTGATTGACAGCTTTTTTTCTTCCTTCATTATATTTATTTTTATACATAGACTCTTTTTTCAACCACTCTCAATTTATATCTGTTATCGAGAAAGAGAGAACATATAAAACATGCAGCTCATGATTATAAACAATATTTTTATTATTTTCCTCCTCTTTCTCCTCGCGTATCATATTTTCCCCGATATTATATAAATTTATTTAATTTTATTGTTATGTGCAAACATTTTTTTTCATCTTAATTAAATTTGATTAAACACCGATTCACTTATCTAGTCATATAGTCATAAAGAATGTAGCATTTTACGATTGATTATTATTTCCATATTTTATAGCTTTCCAGGAAATGGATTCAAATTATACAAATTATACACTTTAATTGGAAAATTGCGCCAAAAGTCACAAATTTTGATTAAAAGACCCTCTTAAAGCTAAATCTCGTCCTTGAAAGTACAGAAATTTAACCTCGTCAAGTTGAATACCATCCATATCGACTGGATATTTTCATTTGTCCAATAAAAAGTCTTATCATTGTGTTACTTAAACATTACATTAATTAAATTTGTATTTTGTTTCATTAAGCATTGTTTAGCTATACAAGATTATTGAGTTCAAGTTACCCTCATTTTTAAAATTGTCATTATCATTAATGTGCACGTCAGTTAATGTATTTGTGTACAATCAAAAAATATAACGAATTTTATAGATTTGAATTTAAAAAATTGTAACTAGCTCAAAGCCATAGAAATGTTGTTGAAACCATACAAATTAATAATTTGATCATAGCTTTCAAAAACATTTGTAAGGTTTTGAAAATTTAAAACATTTAAACCGTCAAATGTGGATTATTTTTGTACGAAAGAAACTATACAGGTATAATAAATTTCCGAATTAATGAACATATTGACTCAATTGTCAAAACATACGTGAGAAAAATCCATATTAATGTTAACAAAATGTCAATGCTAATGACCAAAAAAAATGTAAGAACACCATTATGAAAGTAAACTAGAAAATGGAAAATTTGCTATAAATAAAAAGAAATGTTGGTTTTGACTAGCATTGCAAAAATATTTAATTAACAAACATGTAATTAAAGTTGACGTTAATCTTTTGTTTATATAATCTGAGAATTTTCCTCTTGCTCTCAGCAATGTAAGCGCAGCTACAAAGGTTGAATATCTTTTTGGTAAATTCCAGCTTTTCATTTTACGCGAAAAAAATCTCGTAAAATTATTTTTATTGCAGTTTTTTTTCAACAAAGTCTGCTTTTGCACTGATTTTGACCTGCTGACTTTATTGTTTTTATTATTGGGCCGGAGACCACTTTTTCTTATTTTTCATTAATTTTCTCCATTAAAGCATTTTATATTTTTAACCAGTCTTATAGAACTTGCCGAGACAAAGATTTTAATAACAAATTTAAGTATGTACAATGTCTAGTTCCTTCTGTAGAGCCATTCGAATATCCTTCGATAACGTAGAATTTTCGGGAATGGGTATTTTGAGTAGACAAGACCTCTCATATCTTTTTAATTTAAAGCTTAAACTTAAATATTTCTGCACCAATTTGTGCAAGTTCATCTAGTTGTTCATTCAAATTATCATTTTAAACAATAAAATGATTGGAAGTTACTTAAATTAACACTTTAAATTTCAAAATCTGTAACGATTGTCATTTTTTTGAATTTTCTTGTGTCGGTGAAACAATTTTTTGTCAACAAAAAAAAAATTTCTTTCTAAAATTGCTGCAAACATGCTTAAAACCTTAAGTTGCCAATGATTAAAGGCCAGGAGTATGTTTTTTATGTTCCATTGTGTGTGGCAAAAGCGTTAAAGTTAGGAATCGATGTGTATTAATAGGATTTTCAGATATTAGATTTTGGCAAATATTCTCAAAAATGCGGGAAATTTTAGGAAATTTTCAAATTTTTTTAAACCGTTGCTTTGAAATTCCTTTTATTTTTGACGCAGCCCTATTGCATTAAGAGATGTGGACATTGAGATACAGGATAAAGCTTCTTAATCTTTGAAAAAAATTACTTTAATCAATTGTTGAATCATCAGTTTTGATTAAAGCATCTTTGTGGCGCCTATACAACTCGAGCAATGCGCTCCAACCACAATCCACATTGTGAAAATCTCCGAAAATATTCTTTTCATCTCTTTGATTGGAAAAAAATTGAAGGAAATGAAAGGGAGGAGAGGTAAAAAAAATTACGAAGAGAAAGAACTGATTGATCATATCCTTTATTAAGATCTTAATTGCTAATAATAGAGCTATGTAAACACTTTATCAATATGTATATGACATGAGGAATTTCTTCAGTCGCTTTTTGTTCTCCTTTTTATCATCAACTATCATCATTCCTTATATTCACTCTCGCCTGTTGTTTTCTTTTTGGATATAAATTAAATAAACGAACTGTTCCTGCTAATCCAAATGCTGTTTAAATAAATTATAATTTTTTTCTTCTTTAATTTCAAACATTTTTGACATATTGTTTATGCAATATATTAAATCTTACCGGTAGATATTAAAATCATTCCGTTTCTATTCAATCTCGTCTTTCCTAGAGACTGCCGATAAATGTATACACTTGCAATGTAAAGACCACCCGCTGAAGCTAATCTACATCCTAAGCAGTCGTTGTCATTCTGTTCGGCAGTCATTTTAACTGAAAAATTTATTATTTCACAATATATTTATTTTTTGTTCTAAATGCTTCGTTTATTGAAGAAAAAATACAAAAACAGCTGATTAGGAATGTGTGTGAGTCGTGTAACATAATTTTTTTGTGGCTTATAAATGTTTCGGCATGGGAGGGTGAGGCATTTGATTGAGTTTTGAAACCAAATTGATTGAGAACCATACAATAGTTTTCTAGTTTTAAAATCAATATAACAGCAATTTTTTGGATTTTTGAAAACTAATCAACAGTTATCATATATTTAAAGCTGTTCAATAGCATATTGAGTGGTCGGAAACCATATAAGTGTTTTTCAAGGCGTGGACACTGATTTAATCCCAATAATCCCAAATAATCCCAGGTTTGGGATTATTGGGATTATTAAAATAATTTTAAAATTTTTATATTCACACCGTTTTCACGTGTGAATCTATTGGTTTTGTTCAGATTATAAAATCAGTTTTTTGAATTTTGTGAGGATATGGAGCAAGATAGCTAAAAATGTTCAGAAATGAAAAGTTTGTGCCTTAAATTTCACATCTTTTGCAAAAAACAGATTTTAAATTGGTTGCGGCATTGCTGAGAAAATCGCAAAATATGCTTTCTGTAAGCAAGCAAACAAGCAAGTTAATCAGGAAGAAATCTCAATAACGAGACATTGTAGAGACTTCTAGTTTTTTACATTTGATCCGTGCTACTTTATGGAAGAGCTGTATTGTTTTTAGGCAAGGTAGGAACAGCCGTTGCTTCAGAAAAAGCAAAAAACTTTCCTTTCTTACGAATTTTTCAAATTAAAAGTTCATTGTGATTTTTTTTAATTAAACTTTAAATGAAAAAAATTTTTTTAAACCCTCGAAGAAAAAAGTGACAAAATTGATTTTGACTAGAGTCGCCCCTAGTCCAAAATTGAAAATGTATTTCCTTCTTGGTTCTTTGCTCGAAAAAATTTTAAGATATTTTATTTCTATTTGTTTTAAGCACTAGAATATTTATGCAAAGTTTTAATCCATTTAAATAAACCCTCAAAGAAAAAAGTGGCAAAATTGATTTTGACTAGGGTCGCCCCTAGTCCAAAATTGAAAATGTATTTCCTACTTGGTTCTTTGCTCAAAAAAATTTTAGAATATTTTATTTGTATTTGTTTTAAGCATTAGAATATTTATGCAAAGTTTCAATCTATTTGGATAAACCCTCGAAGAAAAAAGTGACAAAATTGATTTGACTAGGGTCGCCCCTAGTCCAAAATTGAAAATGTATTTCCTTCTTGGTTCTTTGCTCAAAAAAATTTTAGAATATTTTATTTGTATTTGTTTTAAGCACTAGAATATTTATGCAAAGTTTCAATCTATTTGGATAAACCCTCGAAGAAAAAAGTGAGAAAATTGATTTTGACTAGGGTCGCCCCTAGTCCAAAATTGAAAATGTATTTCCTTCTTGGTTCTTTGCTCAAAAAAATTTTTAGAATATTTTATTTGTATTTGTTTTAAGCACTAGAATATTTATGCAAAGTTTCAATTCATTTGGATAAACCCTCGAAGAAAAAAGTGACAAAATTGATTTGACTAGGGTCGCCCCTAGTCCAAAATTGAAAATATATTTCCTTCTTGGTTCTTTGCTCAAAAAAATTTTAAGATATTTTATTTGTATTTGTTTTAAGCACTAGAATATTTATGCAAAGTTTTAATCCATTTGGATAAACCCTCAAAGAAAAAAGTGACAAAATTGATTTTACTAGGGTCGCCCCTAGTCCAAAATTGAAAATATATTTCCTTCTTGGTTCTTTGCTCGAAAAAATTTTTGGATATTTTATTTGTATTTGTTTTAAGCACCAGAATATTTATGCAAAGTTTTAATCCATTTGGATAAACCCTCAAAGAAAAAAGTGACAAAATTGATTTTACTAGGGTCGCCCCTAGTCCAAAATTGAAAATATATTTCCTTCTTGGTTCTTTGCTCGAAAAAATTTTAGGATGTTTTTTTTGTATTTGTTTTAAGCACCAGAATATTTATGCAAAGTTTGAATCCATTTGGATAAACCCTCGAAGAAAAAAGTGACAAAATTGATTTTACTAGGGTCGCCCCTAGTCCAAAATTGAAAATATATTTCCTTCTTGGTTCTTTGCTCGAAAAAATTTTAAGATATTTTATTTGTATTTGTTTTAAGCACTAGAATATTTATGCAAAGTTTTAATCCATTTGGATAAACCCTCAAAGAAAAAAGTGACAAAATTGATTTTACTAGGGTCGCCCCTAGTCCAAAATTGAAAATGTATTTCCTACTTGGTTCTTTGGTCAAAAAAATTTTAGGATGTTTTATTTGTATTTGTTTTAAGCACCAGAATATTTATGCAAAGTTTGAATCCATTTGGATAAACCCTCGAAGAAAAAAGTGACAAAATTGATTTTACTAGGGTCGCCCCTAGTCCAAAATTGAAAATGTATTTCCTACTTGGTTCTTTGGTCAAAAAAATTTTAGGATGTTTTATTTGTATTTGTTTTAAGCACTAAAATATTTATGCAAAGGTTCAATCCATTTGGATAAACCCTCGAAGAAAAAAGTGACAAAATTGATTTTACTAGGGTCGCCCCTAGTCCAAAATTGAAAATATATTTCCTTCTTGGTTCTTTGCTCGAAAAAATTTTAAGATATTTTATTTGTATTTGTTTTAAGCACTAGAATATTTATGCAAAGTTTTAATCCATTTGGATAAACCCTCAAAGAAAAAAGTGACAAAATTAATTTTACTAGGGTCGCCCCTAGTCCAAAATTGAAAATGTATTTCCTACTTGGTTCTTTGGTCAAAAAAATTTTAGGATGTTTTATTTGTATTTGTTTTAAGCACTAAAATATTTATGCAAAGTTTCAATCTATTTGGAAAAACCCTCGAAGAAAAAAGTGACAAAATTGATTTTACTAGGGTCGCCCCTAGTCCAAAATTGAAAATGTATTTCCTACTTGGTTCTTTGCTCAAAAGAATTTTAGGATGTTTTATTTGTATTTGTTTTAAGCACTAGAATATTTATGCAAAGGTTCAATCCATTTGGATAAACCCTCGAAGAAAAAAGTGACAAAATTGATTTTGACTAGGGTCGCCCCTAGTCCAAAATTGAAAATGTATTTCCTACTTGGTTCTTTGCTCAAAAAAATTTTAGGATGTTTTATTTGTATTTGTTTTAAGCACCAGAATATTTATGCAAAGTTTGAATCCATTTGGATAAACCCTCGAAGAAAAAAGTGACAAAATTGATTTTACTAGGGTCGCCCCTAGTCCAAAATTGAAAATGTATTTCCTACTTGGTTCTTTGCTCGAAAAAATTTTAAGATATTTTATTTGTATTTGTTTTAAGCACTAGAATATTTATACAAAGTTTGAATCCATTTGGATAAACCCTCAAAGAAAAAAGTGACAAAATTGATTTTACTAGGGTCGCCCCTAGTCCAAAATTGAAAATATATTTCCTTCTTGGTTCTTTGCTCGAAAAAATTTTAGGATGTTTTATTTGTATTTGTTTTAAGCACCAGAATATTTATGCAAAGTTTGAATCCATTTGGATAAACCCTCGAAGAAAAAAGTGACAAAATTGATTTTACTAGGGTCGCCCCTAGTCCAAAATTGAAAATGTATTTCCTACTTGGTTCTTTGCTCAAAAAAATTTTAGGATGTTTTATTTGTATTTGTTTTAAGCACCAGAATATTTATGCAAAGTTTCAATCTATTTGGATAAACCCTCGAAGAAAAAAGTGACAAAATTGATTTTACTAGGGTCGCCCCTAGTCCAAAATTGAAAATGTATTTCCTACTTGGTTCTTTGCTCAAAAAAATTTTAGGATGTTTTATTTGTATTTGTTTTAAGCACCAGAATATTTATGCAAAGTTTGAATCCATTTGGATAAACCCTCGAAGAAAAAAGTGACAAAATTGATTTTACTAGGGTCGCCCCTAGTCCAAAATTGAAAATATATTTCCTTCTTGGTTCTTTGCTCGAAAAAATTTTAAGATATTTTATTTGTATTTGTTTTAAGCACTAGAATATTTATGCAAAGTTTGAATCCATTTGGATAAACCCTCGAAGAAAAAAGTGACAAAATTGATTTTACTAGGGTCGCCCCTAGTCCAAAATTGAAAATATATTTCCTTCTTGGTTCTTTGCTCGAAAAAATTTTAAGATATTTTATTTGTATTTGTTTTAAGCACTAGAATATTTATGCAAAGTTTTAATCCATTTAGATAAACCCTCAAAGAAAAAAGTGACAAAATTGATTTTGACTAGGGTCGCCCCTAGTCCAAAATTGAAAATGTATTTCCTACTTGGTTCTTTGGTCAAAAAAATTTTAAAATATTTTATTTGTATTTGTTTTAAGCATTAGAATATTTATGCAAAGTTTCAATCCATTTGGATAAACCCTCGAAGAAAAAAGTGACAAAATTGATTTTACTAGGGTCGCCCCTAGTCCAAAATTGAAAATGTATTTCCTACTTGATTCTTTGCTCAAAAAAATTTTAGGATGTTTTATTTGTATTTGTTTTAAGCACTAAAATATTTATGCAAAGTTTCAATCTATTTGGATAAACCCTCGAAGAAAAAAGTGACAAAATTGATTTTACTAGGGTCGCCCCTAGTCCAAAATTGAAAATGTATTTCCTACTTGGTTCTTTGCTCAAAAGAATTTTAGGATGTTTTATTTGTATTTGTTTTAAGCACTAGAATATTTATGCAAAGTTTCAATCTATTTGGATAAACCCTCGAAGAAAAAAGTGACAAAATTGATTTTACTAGGGTCGCCCCTAGTCCAAAATTGAAAATGTATTTCCTACTTGGTTCTTTGCTCAAAAAAATTTTAGGATGTTTTATTTGTATTTGTTTTAAGCACCAGAATATTTATGCAAAGTTTCAATCTATTTGGATAAACCCTCGAAGAAAAAAGTGACAAAATTGATTTTGACTAGGGTCGCCCCTAGTCCAAAATTGAAAATGTATTTCCTACTTGGTTCTTTGCTCAAAAAAATTTTAGAATATTTTATTTGTATTTGTTTTAAGCACTAGAATATTTTTGCAAAGTT